ATCATGACGAGTCATTTGCCTGATGATGATTCTCGCAAGTTTACTATCTGCACGCCAAAGCGGGGACAAGAGGCTTACATGCGCTGTATTGATGGGGCGCCAACCAGCAAACAGATCTGCACAGACATCCTCAAGTTCGCCCATGCTCTCAAGGAGATCTATCGAAACGAGGGAGCAATTGTGCATCGATTGGGCGACCGGACTGGTTCGCGTGGACAGAGTGCACGGGCTGCTTTGGCGGCTGACGGAAAGAAGGCGGATCGTCGCGGAGGACCTCGTTACCGTGATATCGAAAAACAGATCAAGCGCATGAGGGATGTGTGGTGGCATGACGATGCGGAGTCTGTTTTGCGTGGAAGGGGACAGCCAGAGATTGATTTGACGAGTGCCGAGGCTCAGGCGGCACTTGACGAGGAGAATCCCTTGGGCCTCCTGTGGAACGAGAACAACCAGCTGGAGGATCAGGAGTTTGACGAGGACGAGGTTGTCTTTGATGCGAACGGAGAAGAGATCTTGCAAGGTGAGTTCTTGTGCTGATGTTGCCTCTTTTCTTTTGGTCTCCTTTCTAACTGTTGTCATTTTTGGATTCCAAGGTGGAGATTGAGTGCAAGTATTGACTGTTGCAGGGGATGCAACAGTGGCAATTGTTGTGGTGTTTTTGTCAAGCTATTTTGCTTGGCCTTTTGGTAAGTCTGTGGCCCTGTTTTGGCTGTCTTTTTATCTTTGCAGAAGTGTTCAAATCCTCACTCTCTGTCAGTTTGTTTACATTTATTTTCCCTCAAAATATGAGGAGACATGTGGGGTCATCTGCCAACAGCTGTGCACTGTACAGCTTCAAATGATTGGTTTGTGGCTCATGTGTTGGGGATCCTTTCAGTGGCACAAGCTCGCGCTTCCCCACCCAGTTTGATGGTTGACTGTGTGGCGTCGTGCGAACTTTTGCTACGGAAAGGATCTTTGGTGACGGACTGATGGATCTTCGGTTCCGAGGATGGGATGGTTGGGATCTTCCAGGAATTTGTGAGCGATCACGGGATCTCTCATTGGCTCGCAGAAATGTGTTGTCTCACCGTCTCACCAGTTGCATGGTGGACTGCTTGTGAGAGAAAGCATCTCTTTACAGGTGTTTCAGTGGTCAAATGGTGCTTGGTTGATTGACGGGGATTTATTGTTGCTTTGCTTGAGATCGTGGATTTTCTTCTTTTCTGAAATGTGACTGACTGTGACTTAAAGAAACGGTTTGCCTTTTTCAATCCCGATTGGGAAAAAATGTCTCGGATTCGCGGAGAAATGTCTCGGACGCCAGGCGAGCCTCACTTTTTTCCAAAATCAGTTTCAAAAGTACATTAAACTCAATAGAAAATCATTGCTTCTGCGACTACTTGATCATGCTCTAGCATCTCCAGTTTACACTCTATGACATTGCTACCCATAGTCCACCTTGGGTTTTACACCTCCCTTGACACGATGGAACCATCTTAGCATCCATTGGGTCAACTTGAAATTTTAATTACCGATACCTTTCAATGCGTCGGTACGCGGTAAGGTTAGATACTACTAAGTATGTTCTGTCTGATGTTTGCAATGGGACTGAAGTCAGTCCCGACTGTATCACTAGTACGATATTTCGCGACCCATCTTTCGATGAAGATCCTTGCAAATTAATTGCTCTGCCTGTCGTGAATTCACAAAGGACACACCACAAACAACAGGTCAAACTTGGCTCCATCATTATCCATCCAAAGCGTCCACCGCAGCACAAGACAAGCACCATGGCAAACGTCCACGGCCTATTCAGCGGCGACGACAATAAGGAAGACGAGGAAGAAGATAACACTAACAACCGCTATGTGGGTGGCATAGGTGCTCGAGGAGGAGGAAGGTACGAATTGCTCAAGATGGATATCATATTTGTTTTTCAGTCCTGTTAGTGTTGTTTTATCGATCGGCATTGGCATTGGCTCTTTGGTTGCCCTTCTTCTCGTGCCGGTATGATGAACTCACTCGCTCTGGTTACCTTTTGCGCACGAAACTTTGCTGCTTCGACTTGCTAACTATGGAAACGGATGATTATTTTTGCTTTGTTAGCGGGTTGGCCGTGGAACCCAACCATGACGAAGAAGCCGATCCTCGTGATTCGGTCTTCTCGCAGGCAGAAAATGTCGGACCGGGTGGAGCAGGAGAGGAAGTGCGTCGGACCATCACCATGTACCGCAACGGTTTCATTGTCGACGACGGTCCCTATCGCCGTTTGGACGATCCGGCCAATGCCGAATTTCTGCGTTCGCTAGCACAAGGCGTGACGCCTCGTGAATTGTTGAGCGAAGGAGACGTCACCGTCGGTCTCATTGACAAACGCAGCGAAGAGTACATTGAAAAATTCCAGTCCTTTTCGGGAGCGGGTGCTAGTTTGGGAACCAAAACGACCGGGGAAGAAGGCGGCAGTGACACGGTAGACCCAGCAACACTCCCGCCACAACCACCCGCCGTGGATGCCAGTCAACCCACGACGTCCATTCAGGTGCGATTGCCCAATGGAAAACGCAAAGTCGTCAAAATCAATCTGTCTTCCTCGGTCACGGATCTCGCCGCTCATTTGCGGGATGTGGCATCGGGACGATTCCGACTCTTGGCTGGATTCCCGCCGGCGCCCATTACGGATTTGACCCAATCTGTCGAGGCAGCTGGACTCAAGGGAGCTTCTGTGTCCATGCAAGCGGCATAGATCGACAATACAAAAGAAAATGTTCAACAAACAAGAGAAAATAATATACAGAAATACTTGCGCACAGACCAAATCCGTTGTGTGGAAAAAAGTGTGTGCCAAGAACAACACGCCCCAATGATCGCGCGGTGACTAAAACAATACACAAATTCGAAGCAAGACGATTGTCCGCTTAGTCAAACGTAAAAAAGATCAAACCATATTCCATAAACTATCTAGATGCTTGGATCTATCTCCTGCCCATGATTCTTGTCCAGAGTTTTTTCGTGAGTTCCACCCAACAATTGCCTAGTGGGATGTTTACTCCACAACCGACTGCTCTCGAGTCATCACTCTTTTTCGTTGGGCTTTGAAGGAAACCCACAGTTGTCTGGAAATACTGGTACAGTATCCCTCAAGGAGTTTGTCAGATTAATGGCACCTGTGTTGGCGTTGCCTGGGATCCCCGTGACCAAGTTGGTGGCTTGACATGGACTGTACTGGTACCGTACCGGTACCAATGCGCCATGTGGTTGTTCTTGCGTATTCGAGGATGCTGGCAAAATCTGAGTAAGTCAACATCGTTGATTGTCTCGATTGGGCGGCAAACAATAGCGCTAGCTTGGCTCTCTGCATTGTTTTATTTGCGGCAAGAACGTTTTGCCCACATGGATTGTTTGTTTGTGTCTGGTTTACGATTGAAAAACACCTCAGTTAGAATAAGCCGCCATTTGGAAGGACAAAAGTGCTAAGGTTTGCTATTAAATCTATCATTCCAAGCCCCTACCAGATAGATTACAATCAATCCCAGCATCTCCCTCCGATTCTAGCAAGCTGGCGTCCCTGGGTGGTCAACTATATCTCCCGAGCCCACTCAGAATTCCTCCAACATAATCAGTTCTTGTCCGTCCTCGCCGCTGGCAAAGGTGTCGCGCGTCATGATAGAAGGAGTCGATTCTTCCTCCGTGTCGTCCCGTCGCTCCGGTTTTCCATACTGGTACATCGGCAACATTGACCTGAATGCTTCTGGCCAGAAGGCACTGCCTTCTTTGCTCTGATAGTGATCATTGCTGTTTCTTCTCGATCGACGCAAGGAGGATGGTGGTGCAGGCGGGGGAGGAGGCCAATGGCGCGGTGGCTTCAAAATGGATTTGGCCGGTCGCGGAGTGACAGCCGAAGGCGGAAGTCTCTTTGGGGGTGGACCCATGAACTTTCGTGGCGACGATGGTGGACTACTGCCCGATTCCTGGATTTTCACAGACGCGTGGCGGCCTGCTGGTGGGGTTTCGTTGCTGTCGTATCCACTAGTCGGTCGTCCCAATCCCTCGTGGCGTGAAATGTACCGAGCACTCTTGTTCCTTGCCTTTTGAGACTTCGCGGCGGCCATTTTTGCGGCTTTTGCTGCATACTTTGCAGCCCGACGCGCCTTCTCTTGTGCTTCATCAGCAGCAATCCGTGATCTAGCGATATCAATGAGATCGTTGTTTTCGTCGGATTCAGATGTCACAGAATCAAAATCTTGCAAGAGAATATCTTCCAGGCTATCGGCTCCAAATATTCCACACCCCATGTACTTGTCCTCGTCGACGTCGAATGAGGCTACTGTCATGGACGAAATGCCGCCCGATTCTGTAACAAGTGCGGTGTCAGACACATAGCTTTCAAAGTTAGTATTCGCCTCACTTCTTGGCGAAAAGGGAAAGTTGGGAGTGAAAGCGGCGCTCGGGGTCTCAGGCTCAGGCCGAACATTCTTTTCGTGCTGCCAACCAACTGGAGAGCAACACATTTGACCCTGCCCGTTGTTACCGCTCCTGTACATGCTCAGCGAGGCCTCCACGGCATCATCGCTTTCGACTGTCCTGATATCCGGTAACTCCAAAGAATTGGGTCCAAACGTGTACGTTTCATTGCCATCTGCCTCGCATTTTGGAAAGGCGCAGGCTTTATGTGCACGTTCGCCATCCGTACTCCTGGAACTTTGAGAACGTGCTTGCCGATTCGGTATCAGCCTTCGAGTCAGACTCTTCACGGCATGTTTCCTGCTTCGTCTCGGTGGCGGACTTGGTGGTGGGCTTTTTGGTGGCGGAGACACTGGCCTCGCAACCTCAAATTCCGTTCCGTCGTTTTCAACATTGACGTGGACCTTCTTGGGCGAAGAAGGCCCTGCTCTGGGTGACTCTGAGGTTTTACTTCTGATACCGAAGAGAGCACCCAATCCTTTCTTGTTTCCCCTTTTCCCTGCAGGTTTTGCTTGGACAGGTGGTTCACTTTTCTCAGTGATGGGGTCATCCTGTTCGTGTGAAACTTGTGGCGAAACAAATTCTATCTCTCCAATAATGTTTGGCTCCTTGGGCATTGATTCCCCTGACGTCGAAACCTCGTAGGACAAATTGCTATTGTTGCGTTCCATGCGAGCTTGAACTCTGTTCTCATCGAATAACGAAGTGGTTTTCTTCAACACTGGAGCTGGGAGTTTGAGTACTTTTGGTGCGTATTTCGCAAAGAGCCTCTTCTCACCAGAATCCGCCGCATTGTCGACATCGGAAGAAGTTTCAGTTTCAGTTTCAATAGTGAGCATGTTCAGGATTTGTCTTGTTGTTGGACCTCCATTGGCAGAGTTTTGTCTCGAGAACGAGTTCGTTCTGATTAAATTCTTGGCGACTTTTGTGTCCGATATGTGAGCAAGAGAAATCGGGGCACTGGTTTCTTCATCTCCGTTCAGCAGTGAGTTTGTTTCGAAGCTTACATCCATATTGAGCATTGATGTCTTCATGGAAGGCTTTTCTTGCAACAGATCGTTGCTGAGCCATCGTTTGAAGCGCCCACGGCGTTCGCCCGTCGTTCTAAATTCGTCCTTGTGGTCTGGGAACCGATGGTGCTCGGCTTCCAGCTTCCTGCCATGTTTGCTATGTCGATCCCTACGCACGGGTACTTCAATAGTCTCAGGTTTTCCCATGTCGCATTGTCCTGGAGACGCACGTTGCTTTTCTTCGTTGAAGACAGGAACTGGTTGCTTCTTCTCATGCAATCCATGTGAGCCCTCCATTAAATTCCGGACATCGCCCTGGCCAGTTGCAGGGATCATAATCGTCGTAGGTGTTCGTAATGTTGTATTGAGACAGTTGTCTCCCGATGCTGCTTCACCTGAATCGGATACTTCCAATCCCTCGTTGTCTCCGTCCTGGTCAAATGAAAAGCGGACACCTTTGTTTTGGCCGACTGCATCTGGGTGCTCATCATCGAACGTCACTTTGCGCTTCGGTGATAGCTCTCTTTTCGGGGACAACTCCCCCTTCAGCGCAGGCCTCTTCTGAGATGCTTTGACCGTCACTGCTTGTGAGCCTGAGCCTTGCTCTTGCTTCTCAGAGTCCGAAGCGTTGCTTCGTACTGCATCCAAGGAAGTCGCCGTAGTAGAACGAGGGCTTGCCCTAATGGCAGCTTTCTCTCTGCGTGAATGAAGCATACGTTGAAAGTGGGTGACAGCACCTTTTGGGCGCGGCACTTGTGGTAAGTGTGGCATGTGTGGCATGTGTGGCATGTGTGGCATGTGTGACCTGTGGACGATATTTTTGAAGCCTCGGGCGAATCTCTTCATTGGCTTCACCTTTTCAGCAGGTGTCGTTGGCCCTTCGGTCTCGAGCGGCTGATTCTGATCTTCGTTTGCTTGTGTTGCCGTCTCAGGCTCGTTGATTCTTGCTTGTTTTGCCTTTGCTTCTTCTGGCTCGCCTGTTTGCGGAGGTGCAGTCTCCACGTCTTGGTTTGTCGCAGGCTTTGTATCTACTTCTTGGTTCGTTGCAGGCTCCGCATCTTGAGATGCCGGGGTCTGCTCTTCGTCCTTTGTCATAGCGACCTCTTCTGCTGGAGTAGCTGCTGGGTTGGGTGCTCCATTTTCTATAACGGCAGCATCCGAAGTTGAGGTTTCTGTCTCTGCCTCGGACACCGCTGTCAAGCATTTTTTCAGTGGCTCTTGACTGACTTCAGATATTTTCCTGTACCCCATTTCGTTCAGCTTAGCCTCCACACGAGCTTTGGAAGATGGCTTCTTTTGTGGGCTTTCAAGCGGTTCCAAGTTCTCAAGGTCCAGCTTGGATGCACCATTCTTTGTTGAAGGTGAATGTGCCTTCTTAGCCGTTGCCGCTAACTCAGCCACACCAGTAGGCATCTCCGAGCTGCTGGATGGTGTGCCTGTGGTAGAGGAAACTTTACTGCTCTTGACATTTCTCAACAAGTTGAACATTACCTGCCGCATGTTGTTTGGCTTTCCATCTGCCACTTCCAACAATTTCGACTCTGGTGAACTGGTAAACATGGTGGGTGCAGTAAGCACCGATGCCTCAGGATGGTCGTGCCGAACCTCAATCGCCATGACAGGGGCATCGCAATCTCCATCTTGGGCACTATCAAACAAGATTTCGTCGTCTCGCAAGTCCAGTTGGTGGTTGGTAGCACAGAAATTCCCCAGACTGCAAGCATGATCAAAAAGTCCATTTGAATCTCTTCCGCGAGGGGTACTTGGCGGCAGCCCTTTACTACTGCTAGGCTTTTGAACTGGTTTCGTGACCGCGTTTGCCATCTCAGCTCTCTTTGCTTCTATTTGCTTTGCTTTTTGGACCTTCTTTCTCCTCTCCATCGCCTTGTTGAGGTATTTGAGTGCTGTTATTGTCTGCGTTTTCGTAAGGGAAAGGTCAGTAGTGCTAGCATTGCTAGTAGCACTCTGAGCACTTGGGCTATTGGGTCGTTGCGATGAAGTTGGAGGCGGTCGGCGTAGTGGATCGTTGCTTGGGTCTCTTGGCGGTTTCCGAGACGCTTCAATGTTTCTCTTCTTTGCGGTACTCAAATCCCACATGTCTTTCATATGATTGTTGGCTCGCTGAAGGTGACTAATGCTCTTAGCCTTCTGATCAGCTTCTTTTGACGAAGACTTGTCCTCAAAATTGAGGTAAGGAGGCAAATCTTTACAGAATTCCTTGTCTAGGTCGTCCTCAGATGATTGATTGGAGGCACCGGCACCTTTGATCGTCTTTGCGAATCTTTCCCTATCATCCGCAGAAAGGACCTGGAGGGGAACTTTTCTCCACTTGGATTCTCCCGTCTTATCATTCCCAAAGACAAAGGTGCGAGCCCGAATCGGCGATGGTTCTCGTGGCAGCTCTCCCCCCTCCCCGACATCCTGACTTCGAACGATATCGTCCTTCTTGACGTAGAACACGACGGCTTCCCAATCATCGTCGGCATTTAATCTAACCATTTCCCTTGTAGGTTCATACGAAATAAATTTGGACTTTTCTGCACCATCGTGTTCGCTCATTGTTGCCGCAATGTGAGGGGGAGATTTCCGTCCAGCCTTATCATCTACCATCGGCGGATTGGCAATCTCCATTTTCGCTTCCCCTGATGCTGACATCTTGCTTCAGCTCCACCTCACCTCTCTCCCTTGCCAGGGCTGTGATGATAATAGCGAATTATTGGATGGACCACTGCAAGCAAGGCTCACAGGTGGAAGTACGTTCACACTCCAATGTGGCGACGTAGCGACGAATTGGAGTGTCGAGAATTTGTTTTGTGCTTGTTGAGCGACAACCTTCGAAAAAGTGCACGTCGGGCGAGTTTATAAATCACATGTTAGTTAGGGCAGAACCTTCGCTGAACACGTACCACAAAAGATACTTAGAGACTGAGCCAGGCTGGCTGCGTGAAGGAAGATCAAGCAAAACGGTCTGCAAAGAATCGGGCTTAACAATAGGTGAACATTGTTTAGAAAGCGGTGACAAAATGAATTTAACACGGGGTACTGGCTAGTAATTTCTGGTGTCCAGGTACAGTCTGTACGGTACGGAGACAGCTGTTCGGCTCTTCTGTAATGGCGGCTAAACCGGCTTAAAAGTCTTGATCAAATTTTGTTCCCAGCTGAAGCAGCTTATTTGACTTCAATGGCTTGGCTGCATGCTCTATGCTGTTTGTTGAATGTGGAGGAGATGGCGATTGGCGATATCGCGTCAATGCGCCTTCCAATGTGGTGTCCGGCTAGAATACGAATGAAGTCGACCATGTGTGTTTTAAAGACTGCCAATCCAAGCGCTGCCAATATTTTGGGTTTGTTGAGATGATGGTTTCGTCTCCATAAAAAAAAGAAATCATCTACCAGCGGTAGCTACCATAGTAGAAGTCACCACTATCAAATATCAAACGCAACCATGTCACCTAAGGAGCCCTCACCTTTCAACACTATGACTCTCTTCAAGGACCACTCTTGGAGAGTAGCCTTGATTACAGGCCTGCTCAGTTGGAGCCTCCATAACACAAGGCTCGCCTTCTTAATGGAGTCGGCTATCACCGGAAATAGCAGTATCTCCGTTCTTGCTTGGGGTATCCTGACGCTCGGACTCTGCAATTGGCTACGCCTTGAGATCAACACCATTTTGCTTCGATCCAAGCTTCCTCGGGGAGATTTGGGACTCTTGTTTCTGGGAAACTTGTATGAGGCTCTTGTCAACAACCCCGCCAATATCTGGTACGATCAGAGAGCCAAGTTTGGCAGATTCTTCTCCACAAATGGAGTCTCCTTGCATGTGACAGGCTGGACGGCAGAATCCACGGCTTGGCTCTGGAACGTGGAACGCAAGGGAGGAGCCGTCACGTCGTGGCCACCTCAAATACAAAAACTCACTGGAAAAACCGCCTTGACCAACGTCAATGGAGCCCATCATCGGGCATTGCGCAGGATCCTGGAACCAGCGTTTACGCCGAAGGCAACACGCGATTACGTCAAGACAATCGACACTGTCATGCAACAAACGTTCCGAGAATGGAGCGAGCGCGACACAACAATCTCCTCCGATGATCTCAAACTGCTGACACTGCGGGTGTTCCTCTTGGCAGCATTTGGCAAAGAGTTGGAACCGAACACTCGGGATGTGTTACACCGTGATTTTAAAATTTGGACGGAAGGTTTTGGCAGCATCATCCCATACCGACTTCCCTTCACACAGTTTGCAAAGTCCATGGATGCCAGAGACAGAATTCGAAAGACATTGGAGGAGGTCATTATCCAATTCAAAAAGGACAATCCTCCAGGATCATTTCTGGCCGAGACAACCATGGTTGGTCGGGCATGCTACGGGTTGGACGAAGAGGGCAAGACCATGTCCATGGAAGAACTCAAAGATAATCTGCTGGCCATGATATTTGCAGGTCACGACACGACATCAGCCAGTATGGGTACTGCCATTCACTTCCTTTGTGAGAACCACGCCATTCGACAGGCGCTGACTGAGGAAGTGAAAGGATTCAAAAAACCTCTTGATTTTGATGAACTCAAGGCGGCTCCCATTCTGAATGCTTTCCTGGCAGAATGCTGGCGTCGCGATCCACCTGCCATGTTCATCTTTCGAAAGCTACAGGGATCTTGGAACCATGAAGGTTTTCAACTACCGTCTGGATTGAGATTCAACATTTCTGTAAAGTTGGCTGCATGGAACGAAGAACTCTTCCCACAACCAGAGAAGTTTGAGATTCAAAGGTTCTTGCCCAAGGACCACCCACTCGTAGACAACCCTGAACTTGGCGAGGCAGCGAAGAGTGTGGAATTCAACAGTGATGGAATGAAAGCCAACTTTCCCATCTTTGGCGGGGCCAGGCATGCTTGCCTCGGAAGCCACTTTGCAAAGGTGGAAATGAGGGTATTTGTGACAAGATTACTTCAATCCTACTGCGTTGAAGAGCTGAGTGCAGAAAAGATGCACTCCCCAATCAACGGATGGAAAACTCGGTTTCAGCTGGCTTGCCCAGCAAGCTAGTGCATGTAGAGAGCGTCAGTAGAGAGCTCTACTAGCCAGCCAGTTACTAGTAGTAGCTAGCATCCATGCGTTACCGGTAGCTGAAACAATAAGGGAGAGTGATGATACTTGCCAGTGGGTTGCTAACCTAACCCATCGCGAATGAGATCGGATGCCTGCAGTATCCTTCTTTGTCACCTTGGTTCCTAGTAACATGATTCTTTGGTTGTTGCTTTGTGTGGCACGTAGGGGTAGTTTTGGGTGCCGACCTTGGCACTTGTAGGCCTTGAAGGCAATGGTAGTGCCGGGGGCAGCCTTTGGAAATCATTGATTCGATTCTGAGAAAGCCCGCTGAGTGCGCCATGGAGACTTATCAGCCTTGACGGTTTATTTCTTGAAACGAAGAAACGAAACAGAACCGTGACAGTTCACGAAGACCCTGACGTCCTTTCTTCTTTCCTTCACACGACAAACAATTCTCTTCGACCTCTTGATGTTGCCTTCTGTTTAGTAAAGTTCGTCCACTTACTTTCATGTGTCGTGTCGTCTGAAGCCGTCCATTGTCACTGCTGTCTAGGAAGTTTATTCATCACTCAGCAGGATTTGTTGGTAGTTGTGAAGGGCTTGTTGCAGCAAGTCAGTCCACCATTATTGTTTTTGAAGCGAAAGAAGCTATCACGTCCAGCTTCTTTGTTAGATTTTCACTTGCGAGGAGTACACTTCTTGAGCAATGGGTGCTTGTGATGCTTGCGGCGGGGGAGGTGCCTTCATGTCCATGCTGGGGTTTGGGTCATTTGGTACGGTATACCCTCGTTTCCATTTTCCTTTCGAGTCGCCTCATTCTCATGCGTAGCTCTCTCTCTCTCTCTCTCTTGGTCACTTTTCCTCTTCGCCTTAGGAGCACCCATCAAGAGTGTAAGTGGCCCTTGGCAACTTCCATACGGTAGACTCGAACTGGTTTAGCTTGAAATGGCTGACCTGTGAATTGTCTCCATTGACATTTCATTTTTGACTCAAACAGGAAGCTGCAAAGAGTGTTGACGTGGATCCCTTGGTCTTTCAGAGTAAGTAAGAAGTCGTTTGCCGACGGAATACAGTTATTTGTCTCCACGCTCACGAGCAACCTCTTTTTTCTTCAGCATACAAGACGTTCATGTGTTTCATGACATCATGGTTGGTGTTGGCATTTGGAGAACCGTTTACTTTTACGCCTTGGGGAATTGCTTCCGCATGTTTTTGGGTTCCCAGTGGCGTAGCTGCCATTGCTGGAATTAAAATGGCTGGATTGGCAGTGGCCATGGGAACCTTGTCGAGCTTTATTGTCCTAGTCAGCTTTACATGGGGTAAGTGTCTCCAGGGAAAAATTCACTGTCCTTTCTTGTCTGTACGATCGATCAGACAAGAATCACTGATGTGTTTGATGCTTCTTTACAAATGCAATACATACATTGGACAGGGATTTTCGTCTTTGACGAACAAATACATTCGCGTCGAATGGCATGCTTTGCCATTTTTCTCATGATGATGGGATTGGTTGGAATGAGCTACTATTCATCACTGGAAAAGGAAGAGGAGGAGCAACAACCACAATCCACAGAAAATCCCACCACATCTCTTGACATCCCGGAAAGCTCCACCGAATATCAACCACTGGCCGACAACAGCAATGACGAGGAGGAAGCGCACGATGCACAAAGTAGATCTGCCAAGACGGAAGTAACGGCGGAAACTTGTGCGGAATCAGGCGTCTCGAGAGAACCTCTGATTCCATCCGATCAAGAGGATCACAACAATGACGCAATGCCAGGAAATCCATCCGACTACATGCTGCTTTTCGGTACTCGTGTCCATCGACGGGTCGTGGGTATCGCGTGTTCTGTATTCTGTGGGATTTGGGGTGGAAGCATCATGGTACCCGAAAAATTTGCAAAGGCCAATGATACTGGAGTTGGCTACCTGATAAGTTTCGGCATTGGAGCGGCAATTGTCACGGCAGCACTATGGGTGTTTCGATTTGGATACAATTACCAACGGTTTGGCTCTGCGACTGCAGCATACTATGCATTGCCATCCATGCATATCAGGGTCATGTGGTTGCCTGGCTGTACCGCTGGCCTGCTTTGGAGCATTGGAAACTTTGGCAGCTTGATCTCTGTCAAGTACCTCGGAGAAGGCGTTGGTTATTCCATTACTCAAACTGCCATGTTGGGTATGTTTCAGTACTACTGGTTTTGGAGAATGGCTTGTCACAGTCTCATTTGAATGCGTCGCTCAAATGTTCCTTTCTTTTCATCCTCCAGTGTCTGGTCTTTGGGGCATCTTCTATTTCAAGGAAATCAAATCCCCAGATATCATTGGCAAGTGGTTCCTTTCGGCATCGTTGTGTGTTTTGGGCATTATCTTGCTGTCCTACGAGCACCATGAAAAGTGAGATTGAACGTATAGTATCAGAGGAAGAACGAAGCATTTAGACCTTATACAACAAACGAACAACAACTGATACACGAGTTTTCTTTTGGATTGTCATGAACAAGCTACAAGTAGAGCGAGTCGAGTCGAGTCGAATCATAGAGACGCTGAATCGAATCGTTTGCAAAGCTAGCTCGAGAGAGTGCCCGGCATCTTCTACTACGCAGAAGTACAGTGGAAAACACCCAGACAAACTTTCTTGTAAGCAATCCAATTAGCTATAGTACATCGTTTAGTTATGTGCATATATATCAAACAGGGATATGCATCGTACATTGCTAAATAGATCGGTTTCCATCGCACCACCGAGCAAACGGTACCAGTACGCATTGGTTCCAGTGCTCGGCCGAAATCACACCCAATTGCATGTTTCCAACTTTGCAGCAGTTTCCGCGCTGACTGTCGCCATCGAGCCATCATTTAGTTTTAGTCGCAGAACTCCCGGTCTCAGTAGCTTTTTCGATGCAGACCGTACGAATGCTCCTGGACCCGACAACGGCGAAAGCTTTGACGAAACCCTCTCCACGAATGTTGCCGGCCTTGTTGGCGACGGCGAAATCTTTGACGAAACTCTCTCCACGACTGATTCCTGCCCTCGCAACGGAGAAGTTGATGCTTCTCTGCTTGCAGGTTTCGACGAGTCTCTCCTTGGCAACGGCGAAAGCTTTGACGAAACCCTCTCCACCAATGTTGCCGGCCTTGGCGACGGCGAAATCTTTGACGAAACTCTCTCCGCGAATGATTCCTGCCCTCGCAACGGAGAAGTTGATGCTTCTCTGCTTGCAGGCTTCGACGAGTCTCTCCTTGGAGACTTTGACGAATTCCTCCTCACGGGTGCTTCCGGCTCCTGCAACGGTTCAATCTTTGACAACTCTCTCCCCACGAGTGCTTCCGGCTCCGGCAACGGTATAATCTTTGACGACTGTCTTCTTGCGAGCACCTTGGCGAGAAGACTCTTTCTTTTTTCCTTTGATCGTGTTCTTCTTCTTGCTGGCTCTTTCTCAAAAGAACATGAGGTATATGGGATTTCCATCCCTTCTTCGTGATTCACATATGGATCGCTGCAGTCTGTAAAACAAGATGTTAATGCAGGATGCTCTCTTTCGCCACCAAACATGGACGGTTCAGCTTGGTCATCTTCATCATCATCATCATCTTCCTCCTCCTCCTTGCAATCTTCTGATTCCATAGATACAATCGTTTGTATCTTTGGGCCAAGTACCATATATTGAAGGAGGGAAATCACGTTCAAATTCTCGAAGCCATTTGTGAGGACCTCTTCTCTCAGCCTTGACATGTCCTGAACCAAAACGTCAACCTCGAGTTCTTCGCATAGAAAATCGTTCAATTTGTCTAGGCTCGAACCGGTAGCCTGACCAAGATCTGCTAGGTGTGATGCAACGTCTTCTCCGTCGCAAAAACAGCTCTTGGTATTCTGGGCTATGAGGTCGATCCCTATTGCGCTGGACCCCTCCGAGGAGCCGTCCGAAGTGCTTTCATCGTCGTGCAGTCCTTCGTCCTTCATGAGATCGTCGTAGCTCTCGGATCCCGCAATTGCCATGATGTCTTGTACAATCTCCTCTCGAGACTGAAACCCATCCGATGAACTCACCATCTCCTCAAAAGTACTTCCGTACTCTTGCTCATAGGTCGTATCGTCTCTGTCGCTATGCACATAGCTGAGCTCATGTTTCCAATCTTGCGGGTCGAAGATTTCATCGAGCTCCTCTTGCGTGTACTTCTTCTTGGGACCAGCAAATGTCGAAAGCCCAATACGGTTGCCACCCATCTTCAACTAGCTAGCCAAATCGTTTCCTTGCAAATTTTTTGCTGAGAGCAATTGATGAGGGAAAGATTTGGAAAAGCGAGTGTCGGGGTAGGACACAAGCGCTGAAGCCGTTCGCCATCACGCTCCGCGATGCAATAGGCTGCACGCTTGGCCGTTGCACACACAAAATTAGGATAGATTTCCTCGACAGTTCCTCCCACCAAAGATAGTATGAGAAGCACCAGTTGTTTTGATAACGGTTTGCCAAGAAAACCTCATTATTGTGGAGCTGTTGGATGAAAAAAATTCACGCCTCCTCACATAAGAGTCATGCCAGAGCTCTTCCTTGCCCGGTGCGCAAGACTCCTCCAGCCTAGTCTATGTCGTTAGAATGAACGGAGAAATAGAGATCAGTCGCAAAAAACTAGCTGGGCTCCGGGGCGACCACGTTACCGTGACCGAGTTAGCTGAAGCTAGCTAGTACCACTAGTACTAGCTAGCTAGTAGCAAGCTTCGGTAGTCTAGCAAGCTGCTCTCCTCGTTGGCTCCAATGATGCTGTGCAGTCTACAGGATATTGCCTGCAGACGTAACTAGCTACAGTCGTACCGTTGCAGATACATGACTTCGAGGAAAGAACGAATGCAGCGGACGGCTTTGGTGCGGAAACGTCGCCACGCACCAATATCAGCGCTTGAGACGCCCAAGGCCTCGATTAGTGCCGCGCAGTGATTCGCTGTTGCCTCGATGGTGCTGGGCGCATGCGGCAGCTGTGCATTGCTGCAGTGTCCAGCTGAAGTACCTTTTGGTACCGGCGCGCAGGCTCCAGCAGCACAGGCAGGGAAAATGGAACGAGAGCGACTGGCTAGCAACTCAACGATCATTTGCAATTCCCGTATCTAGCTACTACTAGTAGAGTCCAATGCTGGATTACAAGGATAAGACCCAGCTATGGCAGAATGAAGTAGCTCATAAACGCAATGAAGTTATGTAAATCGCAGTTGGACTGGTAACTCCTAGCTAGACACACACTTTCTTTTGCTTGATGTGGCCGTCCTTGAACATCCCATGCTTCCCGGTAGTATTTGGTTTCTCAAGTCCATTCGATTCAATGCAATTATTAAAGTTTCGTCTGCCGATCGATCGATCATTCATACCCAAGAAAGGTCTTGAAGTCGTGCGGTAGTCGTTTCACTCACTGACACCATTTCACCCTTGTATTCCATTCGAAGTACAGGCCCTTTGCTCCTCCGAACACCTGTGTCTTTGTCGTAACTGGCAGCAGCGTCTTCAAAGACATGAAGGGAATCACCGCTATCAGAAGGAGACTCCTTTTCGGTGGTGCTTGTAGCAGTTTCACCCTTGGAGCTCTGATCAAAGGCTACCCACGACGATTCTGAACTGACGCTGTTTCTAAACGCGTCGTCAAAGTTGGCAAAGCTGTTTTGAATGGAGGAAGATGGCTTTGCCGCCGAGGAAGAATGCCACTTGTTGCTGCTGTTTTCCTTCGATCTTTGTCTTCTACTAGAAAACCTTCTTACCCCGGAACTGGAGGTCGTTTGCGCAAAGGGGTCATCTGAGTAGCATTCCACTGGCACTGGTTCATCCACGACTAGCCTTATTGGTAGATCTCTGCGCTTGATCATGGAGAGATCTAGCGGTATGGGGTCTGGGTATGGTGGTGGGAGGTGCCGCGAACCCCTCTTTCTCCAGCTGGATACCTTTGTCGGTTTCTGGGTACTGTTATGGTCCGGACTTGAGCCTGGACTGTCCCCTGAGCTTGCATCAGAAACGGCGTCGAGATGGGGCAAGGGGCTTGGAGGAGTTGGTGGATCACCAGAAGATGATCCTGTCACCACTGTGATTCTGTGCATTGCGTTTTGGTAGCTCGTTGATTAGTTTGTAACGTTCCACAAATCTTTGTCCACTATGCGAGAATGCTGCTGATAACACACCATGAATCTATGGCCATTGATGAGCCTGCCTCTGGTGTAATATTTTGCGGATAACGAAAGCAGCGCCCACTCCATCTACAGATCATGAGATGTGTTTCTGTTTTTCTCGTGGGAGGCAGTGCACGGGGCCTCCACTGGTTGGTTTGGATGGTTCTAATTACCAAAAGCCATCTCAATTTTTCCTAAGAAGCGCAAGGCACGCCATGGTATCTAGTCGCTGATTCCTGTTCAGCTTAGGATGCGTTGGATCCATAAATTTTTATGCAAGGCTGGCCTGCTCGATCCCATTTCCTCAACCTTCCAGTCAAGTAGACCATATACTCTAGCTACCGGTATACAGTACTGGTACCGGCACCTCATCTCGCGCTCGCAACAGGATCTGCAGAACCGCGTTACTGGCACCTGAACATGCAATCGAATGATTCAATCGAGTCGAGTCTTTTTGCATGATGGTATTTCTGGCGGAAGTGTATGGTGCAGTTCCGTGAGTACGCCGAACTCTTGCATGATGGTACTGGTGGAAGTGCATGTTCCAGTTCCGTGAGTATGCCGAAGGAGCTGCTCGGCTTGAAGACTGTCACTCCCGTTACTTGATGAGGTTCTTTGCCTTCTGTTTGGCAACCCAGGCTCCAGCCAGCTGATCTTGGAATTCTGGTTGGCAATGCAAGCAACTAGCTAGTATGCCTCTTCCAACTCCTCTTTGGGAAATATAATTGTTATTGCCACACCTTCATTCTTGTATCTTCACTTCAACATGCCACCAACAAACAACTCATGGCACAGGAAGATACCAAGCAAATCCATGCTGCCTTGGTGACGGGGGCCCATGCGTTGCATTATGCCTTTCAAGAGTTTTGCAAAGACGCCGGAATCTGCATTGATCCTCAGGGTGTTGGGTTCAAACCAGTTACCGTTGTGGGACGGGGAGAGTTTGAAGGGGAATTTATTACCCGAGAAATGATGTCCTTGCCAATGAAAAGGAAGCAATATGCCAAGATGGGCATGCGTAGCTTTCGAGAGGATAAAATGCAATCATCACTGCAATCCTGCCTGTCAGCATTGTTTCAGTATCATCACCAACACAACCACAATCTTCTTGGTCACACCGGTTTGAACGGGGACACTCCTGGTATGGGTGGATGAATGAATGTGCTAGTGGCACCATTTATGTGGTGTCCTCAAACTCTGTGGACCCTACCGACTCAATGGAGGAACATGGACTGTACCCCTGCATAATCTGGTGTGGGCTCGTGCTAGCTAGCTATTACCAGTACCAACCTCAACCAGAGACCCCATCTGCACTGTTTCATCCGCATTTCAGCTGTCTCGGTGGTCAACATTGGACATAGGCAAGGCAGGAAAAGACCTATGCAGTCTTTACAGCGAGCCTCCAACTTCTATTTGACTGAACCCTCACATCCTTTTGGATTACTACCGGAAGTATGGATACCCCAATACTGTGCATGTGTTGTGTGACCATCCGATTGGCTGAAATGGAAAGTCAACAATCTCGTACACTGTACGTACCCGGTAGATGGCAGTACGAAACGTGGAACATGTGGGGCAGTGGCCCCAGCCCCAAGCAAACCAAAAATCGTGATGGCCCTGCAACCACCTCGAAGCGTTTGATGTTCATCGAGCCAGTTACCCCAGAAATACACTGACGGCTGTAAGTGTGTATTGGTTCTAGTAGGGATACCAGTTCTAGCTAGTTAGACAGACCAGCTAGCTAGCAACGCAGTTCCTGGCTAGCTAGTTACAGTACCGTACCCGGTAGAGCTCCTGGTAGCATAATCTCAGACCGCGGGTGCTGGGGTTCCATCAAGAAGAAACCAAGAGACGAGGAGTTTCCTCGCTGCGCGTAGGCCATCGATGGTTCTGAATCCGGATCTCCAGAAGATCTTCGGAGGATTCGATTCGATTCGGTGACAACCACCTGCCATCAACCACAAGTAGCTACCGGTACATAGGAACCCACCTTTCCAGATCAACCCATCAAAGAGATTATTCATAGTTGTGTTCCCATTCGACATAATAAATAATATGAAATTGGTGTTGGCAAAGACTCTGTGGGGTGTCGATGGCGCAGACGACGAAGACCAATGGGATTCCGTGTTCGGACGGATCAAGGAGGATGGTTACACCATGATTGAGTGTGTGCCCGCCTTTACGTTTGGAGGAGCCCCCGAGCGAGCCCAAAAGTTTTCCAGTTTGGCTGCCAAGCACGGACTCCAGGTGATTTGTTTGCTATGCACATCGGGTGGTTATTATCAACAAGGCGAGTTTGTGTACTGCAGCTCTTTCGAGTTGGACGTGCATCTCAATTCGGTATCCAAGGAAATTGAACTTGCCATGCATGCGAATCCGGTCCACATTAACTGTCATGGCGGCGTCGATGCCTGGGATCACGAGACTCAAGTCAAATTTTTGTTGGGGGCGATTGAAATTGCCAAGGAAAAGAAGATTTCCATTAGTTTTGAGACACACAGACAACGCATTTTTTGCAATCCCTTTCAAACTAGATCTCTTTTGGCAGACGAACGCCTCAAGGGAAATCAAGAACTCAAAATCACTGCCGATCTTTCCCATTGGGTAGTATGCTGCGAGCGACAATTACATACGCCCAGTTGTTGGGTCTCTCGTGATCCCTGGTGGCAAGATCTACTGGAACAGGTAGCAGCCCACGTCAAACTCATTCATTGTCGAGTGGGACATCCCCAAGGACCTCAGGTGCCGGATGTTACCGACCCTGCCTACAAGCTCGATGTCAAAGCTCATCTCGACATGTGGGGTGAAATTTGGAATGTTCAACGCAAGGGGGGCGCCACCGAAACTTGGTGTGAAGTCGAACATGGGCCGGCACCCTACATGTGGACATTACCCCACACCGGTGTGCCCGTAGCAGATCTATGGAAGGTCAATAATGACCTGGCCAAAATGATTCGCGCAGAGTTTCAAGATGTGGATGATGTCAACTCGTTGCATGCCTCCATGAGTGGCAGTAATCGATTCGCTGCGGAAAGCTAAGGAAATGCGAGTTGTTGGAGGAGGAGGTGAAAGTGGAAAAGTGTGTATTGGATTTTGTGTGCGGAGTGGAGCGGATTTGGTTCGGTAGCAAAAGGAAAGGAAGCCAACAATCATGACGAAAAGACCGAGGAGCAGGGGGTTTCATGTTTGTGTGAATTTGAGAAATTAAAAAGTGTACGCATGCAGTGCAATGCCTTTGGTAGGCAGATTTGCCGCTGCTAATTCATACAGTGTTTGTGATACGTTTTCAGACGGGATCGTTTATTTGTGTTGTCGAATGTACTGTACATGAAGGATTCAGTCAATCGTAGTCGACTGGTGGCCTTGGCTTTCGGACTCGATTATCATGGGTGCATACCGATAGTCAACCCAGCAACTGCGTCTTTCCGTGCATGCAGTCTTCAGCAGAAATTGTTTCTGCCTAAAGATATCTATCCAGCCGACATAGAAGTCTTATTGCCTGTTGTTATTATTGCTTGTAGCCGAAAGTTTTTTGCTAGCTAGACTGCTAGTCTGCCTTGCGGAACGATTTCTAGAGGGCCCGCACACTTGGGGTACTGGTACCGATATCTGTCACGCTTTTGACAGTGGAGCAATCATGGATGAGAGAGCGGTTTCAGGTCCTCTCATTTTTCACATCTTCCCTGCTTAGCGGGCTTGTATGAACCAACACAACAACGCAACCATCATTCTGCAACAGCTTTCTTTCGGTGCACTTCCATCATCGTCCTCCATTTTCACCACGAAGGATTGCATTGCTGATAGCTTGATGCAATAATAAACCAAGTTTCATTGAGACGACAACAGAGAAACTTTTAAGTTGGGCACCCAATGATGACGATGCTAACAATGAGATCCAATCGAGTTTATGTACTCGTCTGCCAAGTGCTGCTGGTGCTTCTGTCCAGTTTGTCATTTGCAGATGAATATGATGGCGAATTCACCACCGAAGAGGCAGGGCAAAGGAAAATGACGAAACAAAAGGTGTGGTTCATGAGGGACGCGGAACTTCCAGGGGGGATCACTCTGCCATTGTCACCTTTGACTCTCCTTTTTCTTCTTTTCGGGATGACCCATCTCTATTTGAACTGGGGAACCTACGCCTGGTGCGAAGCTTCCCACATTTTGCTCAAGGATCACTCCAAAGAGGGTAAACAAGCCATGAAGGAAATATGCCAACAGATTGGAAGCGACTACAAAAGGTTTCAAGAGAATGCTCGGCAAATGTCGGATTGCCCCTCCAGGAAAGATGGAGGAGATCTAGGCAGATTTTACCGAGGGGACATGGCCAAGAATTTCGACAGGGCATGTTTTGATCCAAACGTACCTACTGGAAAGTGTGTTGGACCCCTCGAAACTAGCTTTGGATTTCACCTCATTTTCATTCAAAAGAGATCCATCTAGAAAGAAAACTCCACAATCCACAGATCACCTTTTCACGATACCGGTACCTCGGAGCAAAGCTTGATGTAGGAAAAATTCATTCCGTCTCTACGTTTTGCCAGACCCAACGTAACTTTCTGCGGTTTTAATTAGGTTTATCCAACTCTCTACTAGCTAGATCTTTGATGTAGTAAATCGGTATCGATTAGAAATTGTCTCCGGGGAGGCAGTGTGTTCTCTCTAAGCCCCTGTTTGCTTTGCGAGCAGCATTGAGGCCTTACAAACTACTAGTAATGATGTCGCCAACATTTGTTCGTACCGGTACTGGATTGGATCATGCAACAGAGCACAGCTTTCAAATCTGAGTTTAATTAAAAGGGGGTTTAGAGTACCTGGTATGGCCGATGTTCATTCGACATTGGGTGTAGACATCACCTTTGGTTGTCAGCACCTAGAGCCCTTCGGTATGGCGGGACGGTTTTCATATATGGGTGTCCTGTGTGTTTATCCAGCTTTGGTTCCTTGCACGAACGTACCGGTATGATATCAACCACGTCGGGTCTCTAGATCGAGACAATGGAAGGGCTTGTCTCAAGGTGCGACTCCCCGGCTTCATTGACTCCGGGCGCTTGTACATTGGACCGCTTTGCTTTCTTGGGAGGAGGAGGAAGAGGATTGGAATCCTCCGTGATGAATTCAGTGGAGCGTTTCTTGCTGGCTCCAAGTGGTGGAAGGCAGTCAGGGACGTTTGCCCCCAAGGCCACTTTGCCTGGACGAACAAGTTTGGAAGACTCCTGACGCGCCACCTTGGCTTTGCCTTCTCCCCACTTCCAACCAATAGTTTCCAATAGATAAACGCGCTTGATGGAGAGGAGATTGTGCTCCTTCAAGACCTCTTGGAGCTTGAGCCAATTCCCGAGCTTGCCAGTGGCATCCTCCGCACAGATCGCATCCAATGTCACAAGGCTGCCATTCTCTTTCCCAGCAAGAGAGCTTTGAAGTGTCATGTAGAATTTCTTCCAGCAGGTATCTCTGTCTTCACCCCACGCAAAACCCAGGGAAAGAAGCCGCTTGGCCCGTTGGGGGTCCAGGATGCCCCTTCGCCCGGCCTCCTTCTGTACACCGACCCAGGCAGCCAACGTGCCGGCCTCGAAAGTTGAAGGAACATCCACATGGCCGAAGCGCTCTTTGAACTGTGAGAGATTCGCCAATTGCTGATCCCATTGCTTCTGGTACATTTCGGCCCGAGCTTCAATGGCATCGACCCGCCAGACGAATCCGAGCTCAATGAGTTTTGACTTGCGCCACTGAGAGAGTTGGCCACGATGGTAGATGCTGCGCTGGTTCGAAACCCAAATACCAAGTTGTCTGTCTTTTTCGTACTGATTGGGAATAGAAAAGTGCCCATGTTCCTTGTGAAACTGCTTGAGCTTCTCGTAGTTGGCGAGCCATTGGCCATCACGTTTTTGGTTGCTCCATTTGGGGCTGCTGGGCCTCTTTCCATTTTGCTTGCCACCATCTTCACGAGACTTGTTGACCTGCCACTTGAAATTGATGGACTCGAGCCGCATAAGGCGATCTTCGCGCAGCAACGACTTCTTGTACAGAGAACGTTGAGTAGCAATCCACTGTGATAGCTCCGCATCTTGAACTCTCAACGGTTTACCTTTGAGCTGCTTGACAAGTTCCTTGTACCGCTCGAACTTGGCATCCCACTGTCGATCATTGCGATATCCAAACTTGAAGCCGACGAACTTGAGTTTTTCGTGACGTTCTTGTGTGAGAGATTCTTGATTGCGCTGCTGGTAACGGACCCAGTTGGCAAGGGCACTGTCTTCATAGCGAACAGGCACATTGCAGTGGCCGTGCGCTCTCTTGAACTTGACCAGAGCATTGAATGATTCGTCCCACGTTCGTAGCGTTCGGCCAGGCTTTGACGACTTCTCTTTTGCTGTTGCTGTTGTGGACGCCTGTACACTTGTTGCCGTCTCCTCTTGTTTTATGGCTGTTTGGCGGGCGGTCACGTCGTCGGCAGCCGCGATCAGCAACGCTTCAATGCCATCGAATGACGACTTGGGCTCTATTTCCATCTTGGTCGTCATTCTATTTGATAGACGTAGTTCCACACAATCAAATCGGTATCGACTAGGAGAAGCTAGAATTGTGAGCCTCCAGTCTTGTCGACCTTGACTCCTCGTTTTCCGAGCGTCAACGCTTCGATCGATGAACGTTTTCCAACCGCCGTTGCCAATGCTCAATCGACAGATTCTTGCGAAGAAGTATACAATGCAGTTGACAGAACGTGTACCGATACGACGCCGATCACCGTGACGATGGAGTCTGTCGAAAGAACGCTCCTAGAGGAGAAACACTCACCGAAAGGCTCCACGGAGTTGTGTGTTTGCGAGAGGAGTGACAAAAGCGTGGCCTGGGAGTTGGAGCTCAGATTTTGTGAGGAGCGAAAGACACATGACGTCATAAGCAGCTCTGCCGTGTTGGAGCGTCCTGGTTACGTGCCCACATCACTTTTCGTTCTTCCACATCTTTCGCATCTAGAGTTTGTTCACCTCACGAGATGATCTGAAACGGACGAATGGCTCTATGTACCGTAGAAGATTATCGAGCTATGGATCGCTAATGTATGTGACGGGGCAACATCATATATGACATACCATCCCTCGGCCTCCATCGAAATGGATAAGAGGTGTTTAGTTAGAGAAGGGAAATTGACGCGAAATCCAATGCGGAAGTGAAAGGCCAGAACGGACGGACCTCCTTTGTGCTTCCGCATCTCTTTATCTCGTCCAACTCTCAGCCAAAAACCACATCGACGAAGAAGACGGCCCTATTAGCCTCACTTGAAGAAGGATTCTAAAGTAATTTGTTATTGAGTTCCAGCTAGTCCAGCAAAATGGGAGCGTTTCGATATTTTTGGTACTATGTGCTCGCGGGCTTTGGCTTCATCTATCCACAAATCATCGACAAAAATGATCCTTATGAGTGGGCCGGCATATACGGCGTGAGGAGCTTCACTGAGGAAATTCCTTTTAATTACAATGGAAAACACGAGACTTTGCAAGCTGAACTTTTCGAACCAGCGTCGCTGGATCCCGAGGCATTCGTCCTGTTCATGCCTGGGTTTGGAGCCAGCTACACTGGCTACATCGACTACTTGGAGCATCTGGCATCGCATGGCTTTCTGGCAATGGGGATGGACTTTGCAGGCACCACGCTGACGATTGACGGAGAACACGATGTCAAAGCCTACCAAGCATTGGATGCCATTGCATATATTCGGGTCGTCTACCCGGAATACTACGATTTGCCAATCTACACAGCTGGGCACAGTCTTGGCGGAAAGATTGCATTTTATGCAGCATCTTTAAATGAAAAGATTGACGGTGTCATGGCATTGGATCCTGTCAATGCTGGCGGGCCTCCCTGTGCCATTTTTCCAAAGTAAGTTCAGGAGATTATGTATCTTGCTCATCACGACGGTTTCGCTATCATCAGGCCTCACCTTTACCCATGTTCCCAAGGCAATGCATTGCTTATCCGGTCGCTCCCAACAATGAAACGGAGCAAGAAGGCATCATGAAGCAAATTACGGAAGGGACCAGCAGTATCATATTTCGATCGAAACCAGATCCATTGACCAATCCAGATGCCCAGTTCAATGCCGCCAACTTCTACTTTGGACTCGATGGGCAAGGTCTGAACGCTGCACCCTCACCAGTCTGGTACTATGACATGGGAGAGTTCCCACATGGCTTGTACTTGTCCTCGTTGCCATCAAAGCAAGTCCAAATCATCAAACGCACCATGGTAGCTTTTCTAGAGCAAGAAGTATTGGGGGAGGATTCAGGGGCCTACCTCACCGGCAGCATAATTCAGGCGGATATCAACGATGGATATTTGGTTTCTGTTGAAAATAGGTGATGCCCTGCAAGGCCAGGAAAATGATGGTAATCACCAAAAGTGTGCACGTGTGTTCTCATTTTCTGGTCCGCCAAAGAAACTTTCCTGGATATCGTTAGGTGTGGCCGTGTTGCTCCGGTGGCGGGGAGAGGAGATGGCTCAGATTGGTTGGCCAGGCACTGCATGTAGGTCACGAAGGAAAAAATGTATATATGGTTTTTTAAAAGATAGTTCATCAGGGAAAGATTGGTCAGCCCACGGCGTCCACCTGCTGGGCTGGGGTGTTGTTGTGCTTGGAAGCCCGATCAGTCACATTGTATTGTTTGAAACAGCTTCGCCAGTGAAATGGTGGCTGGGTATTGAACGATGAAGGGGAAACGACCATTCTTTCTTGGGCAGCTCAAACGGCAGAAATCACGGGAATCTTGGCCATGCTGTCATCGTTATCGTGCATATCAACTTTTCGATACACACCATCCCCTTGCCCGCTTCGCAGTTCAATGGATTGGTTCAGCTCCAGTTCCGCCTGCAACGCTTCAATGGTGAGCTCCTCGTTTCGGATGCGGAGTGAGAAATACAACACCGGATTGAGACTGTGAAGGGGGGGGGGGGTGCAAACGCCAAAGAACATCAGTGTCAGACAAAGACGGATTGACCAGAGACGGCAAGGAGATGGGCACTTACATGGCATTGAGAGGACCAATAAGCAGAGAAACTATCACAGACGACAAACCCATGATGACAGCCATGGTAGCTGCGCTGGATCCAATGAAGAACAGCTGGAGCGCCTTCCTGATCGCAATGCGCCCCACGGCTTCAAGCAAGTAAAAGACAAGGGTGCTGCAAAGGATGAAGCAAATGCTGGATCTGCAGAGTTGCCAAGAGCGTTTCATGGACGCCACGATTCCTTTGTTTTCCACGATCATGGCGGTGGGTGCCCCCGTCATGGAGCAGGTGAAATAAACCGAGAGACCAATAAAGGCCACGACGGACAGGAAAGTCATCCCCGCATTGGGCATACCAGTCTCTTTGTTGATTGTCGTGAGGATAGTGGCTGAAAACCAGATCACAGCTGTGACTGCCAAGACGAGGAGATAGCAGAGACCAAAACCAATAATAGAGCACATCTTCTTCCATCCAATTCTCAAACATGTCATCCAATGAGGAGAACGACCGGCAAAGATTTCACTTGCTGCACGCACAAAAGCACCTTGAAACGCCGCTGTAATGCAAATAGTCGCGACAAGAAATGCCACGTAAAGTCCAATCACGGCAGTCAGGAGGCCCAAAAGCTTTTTAGGATCCGTCATGTCCACGGCGTCGGTCGAAAAGTCGTATGCAGTGCTCGACGAGTGGTCCAAACTGTTCTTGTCACCGCTTCCTTGGTCATTGCTGTAGGGCTGTTGACTTTCGTACAAGAATCGTCGGACATCACCGCTCAGACTTTCAACTAATGATTGCGTCTCCGCGCCAAAGGCGGCTACATAGAAACTGGCAAAGAAAATCAATACCGGAAGATGCGCCACAGCTTGGCACACGGCAAGCGCACCAAACGTCTTGAAGTTCTCAAAGAACAGGTTGAAAACCAAGGAGCTGACTTGGCAGACACCCACAGCGGGGTTGGAATACAGGGACGATACGACGACCATGGTTGTTTGATTGATACCGGTACTTCTGTGTGTAATGGGATGGTCTTTTGTGGGAGAGTTGAGGGCAATTTTTCAGTCTTCGTCCTTCCACGGTCAGTCAGTCTTGCTTATCTACTTTCAAACAGCTCTGCTGGGTGGATCCTTTGTAGCAGCTGCAGCGCTCGCGTCGCCTTCCCTTCCTCGACATTTCCAGACATCCAGGGTCCACCACACAACAACGCCCAAGGACTTTCAACGATACCGAGATTGGAAATCCACCTTATCAGCAGACCACATCAAACCTAGAATTTTGGGCTGCAGCGGAGATAGATCTAGTTTCTCGATTCACAGCTGACACCACGAGAGAACTCAGAATCAACAAGACAAGTAACCAACGAACACCAACGAGATCTAGTTTTTCGTAGGACAGTACATGCAAGATGAACCGAGTATTTGGCAAGAAGAAAGCAGCTGGTCCGGCACCCACTCTGACGGATGCCTCTGCTGGATTGGGAGGGCGAATTGACTCTATGGATACCAAGATTCAAGGCTTGGAGGATGAGCTACGTCAATACAAGGAAAAGATCAAAAAGGCTCGAACCCCGGCCGCCAAAAAGACTCTGCAAAAGCGAGCCATGGAAGTGTTGAAGCGAAAGAAGATGTATGAGCAACAGCGTGACATGGCATCCGGGCAGCAATTTAACATTGATCAAGCTCAATTTGGAATGGAGTCTGCCAAAGCTACTGTGCAAACGGTGGCGGCCATGAAAAGTGCCAACAACGAAATGAAAAAGGTCATGAAGAAAGACCTCAATATTGACGCTGTGGAAGATTTGGCAGATGAAATGGCAGAGCTTCTGGAAGATTTCGGCGAGATCAACGAAGCTTTGGGAAATAATTACGCAACACCCGATTTGGACGAAGCAGATCTCGATGCCGAACTGGAAATGTTGGGTGATGAGTTGGAAATGGAGGAATTGGAGGCGGATGCTACACCCAGCTATTTGCAAGCGCCACTACCATCACAACCCACGGATGTGCCGGGTGACAAATTGCCAGGAGAGGAACTGGAGGATGAATTTGGTTTGCCTGCAGCCCCTCACTGAGCCCACAACGATCGCATGAGGGGAGAGCTCGATGTATCAAATAGTACACAGTGGCTTTCATTTCTGAAGCTTAGGTATGATTGGAATAACAAAGCTGATTGTACCACCCAACAATATTCAATTTATGCAATCCACTAGAACTGCCGTTTCATCATACAATGGCAACCATAATTCCTTTGTATAGTCTTTCACGGGAATGTCTTGTGCCGTTTGGACTGACTTTATGCGTCCAGGTAGACCTTGATCCTTCAAAGTGAGTGGTTTATTGGTGCTGTTGCTTTACTCTTTTTAAGGATCCTATCGGTACCATACGTGTACCATGGTCAGCTGTTGATTTACCAAAGAGGAATGAAGCGGCTTTGTTCCGGCGCATGAATGAGATTCGTGACTCAAAGCACGACCAAGCAACAACGACAACATCACCACATTTCTGAATTCGCTTGAAAGCTTGCATTTCTACTACCAGCATATCTATTTAGTATTTGTCCAGCGTATATCCTTCTAAAGCAAGTAAAGAAGCATGATGGCCGACGATGTGGAAGTGTTGGATGTGGTGGTGGACCTTACCGAAGACTCCAAGCCTCCTGCTCGCAACAAGAGCACATCAGAAATAGACGATGAAGTGGTGGTCATTGAAATAGATCCGGCCAATTCCAAGCCTTCGGCACGTCCAAAGACGAGTTCATCAAAAGCAACCGACAATGAAGTGATCGTCGTTCCCGCTGCCGCTTCGGTCCCCTCCAGTTTCATGACACCTGATGCTGCAGCCCCTGGAAGCGACTATGCATTGGCCTTGAAGCTCGCAGCCCAAGAACCCTCCTGTAGCCAGATTCTTCGCAAACGGCGCAAGGGGGTTCTCTTTTCCTGTGGCATCTGCCTGGACGAGGACCTCGAATCGTTCAAGGGCTATTCGATGGAGGCCTGCAAACACCGCTTCTGCACATCCTGTCTGACCAGATTGGTCCAGTCTTCCTTGGCTCCAAGTGCCTCTCATGTATTGAAGATCATGTGTCCTCAGGACAAGTGCAAAAGCAGCCTGTCAGTCAATGATATCCGGTTCATTCTCAGAGATGATCCAGCAGCATGGAAAAAATACTCTGAGAAGGCCTCACTTTGTTCTCTCGAGTCGGAAGTGCTGGACACGGACAGTCACACCCGGCGTTGCCCCAATGATCGATGCAATTTCATCTTTTCTTTTGTCCATGGCGCTGCAGCAGAAGGTCGTCAATTCGATTGCCCATCATGCAAGAAAAGCTACTGTCTTCAATGCGGTGCCAATGGTGGCAAAGTGGGCCCTGCACATGCGGGGAATACTTGTACAGAGCGAATTGAAATCATACAAAAGCAGGTCGAGGAACGACGTAAATTTGATGAGTGGAAAGAAGAAAATTCCAAAGCAGACGAACGCTTCAACGCAATGATGGAGCAGGAACGTAAGAAGGGCAACACCAAGCCTTGCCCCAAGTGCAACACTCCCATTGCAAAGAATGGAGGGTGCGACCACATGTATTGTACTCAGTGCAAAACTCACTTCAACTGGGGAGGACGAAACAAGAATCCATCGTTTATGCCTGGCTTGAACGCTGTGCCACGCTAAGATGCTCTCAATCAGGTGTTTCGATGATAAATGAATGCTCTTGATTAGTTTGGTGTATTTTGGGACTTGCCCAAGTGGAAGCTACGATGCCAACTTTCCCAGGGATTTCAACAGCAAATCTCATAGCCATAAAGAATTATAACTCTCATAGATCTTTCGCGATGCCCCACAGTACAGCGTATCGGTACCGTATGTCACGGTTTCCAAATCCACAACGGCATCTGCGGGGTTGCCTTGGAACGGCAATAGCCGCCAGTGGATCGGGATCGTCTGTCGAACTGTCACACATGGCGCAGTCCGCTATCTAAACAACTGGTACATGGCCACCAACTGTCAGGTACGGTACAATCTAACTGGATCACTATCTTATTCTGGGTACGCCACTTCTAAACCATGCCGCCACAGCTTCCACGTCTTGGTCATGCCCTTGGCGAATGAATCGCGAAAGTCGGGGTCATGCGAGATGACAAGGACAGCGCCTTGGAATGTCTCGAGCATTTCCGTCAGTGATTTTCTCGTTGCAACATCCACATTCTCCGACATTTCATCCAAGATGAGCAGCGATGGCTTGGGATGCTTCAATATTTGATGAGCGAGCCATAGACGGACCCGTTGTCCCGCCGACAAGGTCTTGACGTGATGCAACGCCAAATCCTTGGCCAAGCCCAAGTCGCCCAGATGATGTCGTGCTTGCGTTTCGGTCATGGTTTTGGCTGGTTGTAGAAATTCTAGAGCAGTTTGGGAGCCATGCTGTCGCAAGAGCTGATGCAGAGCCGTCTGCGGGAAGTACAAAATGTTTTGCGTGGATCGGTGGACGGATCCTTCTGTGGGTTCCAATTCACCAAGAATCAATTTGACAAGTGTTGTTTTGCCACAACCATTGGCGCCTTGCAAGAGCACCCGATCGTTGGCTTCCAACGATGTATCTACGTTTTGAAAGACCCAGTCACCATCGTATCGCACACCCACATCTTGCAGAGTGATTATAGTTCCTTCGGCAGCCGGAACCCCATCAATGTGCAATGGTTTGACGCGTTCCCGTTTGGCCTTGTGCTTTATTTGTTCGGCATCTTTGACAACCTGCTGAGCCTTTTTCAGTTTGGAAGCAGCCGATTTGTCCGCCTTCTGTTTGGCTTCCTTGTTCTTGCCTTTGATAAAGCGTTGATCCTCACCATGTTTTATATCATTCCGAAAGTTTCCTTCTCGTTTTTTCAGCACGGCTTGAACCTTCTTCAGTGACTTGTCAGCTGTTTCGAGATTGTCTTGCGATTGCTCTATGGATTTGGTAGTGTGCTGAATTTCAGACTCCAATGTGTGCCGAAAGGCAGTGTATCCACAATTGTAGGTTGTCAGAGTTTGATTGGCCGAGTTGATATGCATGATTCTGTCACAAAGAGCATCCAGCAGTGTTTCCTTGTGGGAAATCAGTAGGACAATGGATCGGTCCGTCTTGGCCAAGTGTTGAAGCTGTTCCATCAGCCACTCGGTAGAAGTGCGGTCCAGAAAGGAAGGTTCATCAATAATGAGACAGGCAGGGTGGGTCAAAACGGCTGCAATAAGTCTGCATTTGTACCGCCATCCACAGGAGAGTTGATCTAGCTTTTTGCGAGCATGAGCCTTGAGCCCCACCCGTTCCATGGCTTGATCAGTTTCTCGTTCCAGGCTTTCTGCCATGACTTCTTCTGTGTCATACAGATCGGATAACTCTTCGGATATCCTTTCCACTTCTTCGACAACTGCTTCTTCCATGACTGCCTCCATTTCTTCAATAGTCTGCCGCAATTGATCGAGACGACCTTGAAGTCGAGATTGGATGTAGTCCCGAGGATACAGGTTCAAGGATGAGTCTGCATCTTCTTCGTGGTGACCGTCTTCATCGTCGGCAGCCGCCAAATATTCCACTGTCAAATCAGACGGAAATCCATCCAAGGTTTTGGATGCCAACACTTGCGCCAAGGAGGATTTACCAGCACCATTTGTTCCAACAATGCCCGTGATGCTGCCATGAGGCAACGACAAGTCGGTCGATTGGAACAGTGTCCTACCTCCATCGTGACTCAAGCTGAGGCCACTAATCGAAATGGCATGGCCCCGATGGTACGAGCAAGGGGCGCTCGTCGAGAAGGTTGCCAAGCCGTCGGTGGCGTTGTTGCTATTGTTATTGTTGTCGTCGTTAACCATTTGATCTTTGTTTGGTTTATGAACACAAGCTCTGGCTGCAACTCGATTCTCATGGAAACACGAAACACGAAGGCTGAAACCAGCCAAAGCTGGAATCACCAAAGCAAAATCCTGTCAGATCCTCCGGATGATCTGCTGCACGTCTCAAATTTAGTTGGCTTGCTCGGTACCTGTGAGGTACAGTACAGTACCGGTACCAGTAGCGCATGTTTAGATCTTTCTTTTACCCGCGAACACACCCAGAAAGTTACAGCACGCATGAACCCAATCATTCGGGACGGGGTTGATGTCCAAGGCACCAAAGAAACATGCTGATTTGAACATGTTCAAGCCGCATGCAAATTGAAGATCGCAGCCGATTGGAACATCGAAGGATGCTTCTTCGTCACTGGATCAAATTCCAGCGTCATACAGCACAGAACTCCGTCTTCTAGCTCTTCGCTGGCCTGAACTTCTTCGAGAGCACCTCTTTTTTGTTTCGATGGTTTCGATCAACCGTATCATGCGTTGACTGTTCCAACCCAAGCACATGACCCCTGTAACATGACAGTGGCTTCGACGCTTTGATGGAGAAGAAAGATATACTAGCTATTGGCTCCATCGTCTTGTGGAGTGACTGTAGATTTTCATTCGTTGTTACATTAATGTTCGAAAGGAAATGGGACTGGGTGCATCTCACTGGTCGCGGATGAAGACAGAACCCCGAACAAAGGATAGAAGCACACAAGGTTCCGATTTTGACTGGCGTGAATACAGACCTTGAGATAGTCTACTTGCAAGAATAGGATAGCCTTTAAGCTCACAATAATAAGAAGGATTGGACAAACTTGAATAGGCCGTTCCTCCTGCTCTCACAAACCCAACTCTAACCAATAGCAAAACGAAGTACAACTTGATCCAAAAGGAAGCACAAGATGACAAAACAGGAAGTGAAGGCACTATATACAGGAAACATCGTGGTGGCATTATTGAAGGATGTCTCTACCATTGCTTCTTTCTCAGTGGCTGAAAAGTGGAACAAGCAAAAGACAAACTGCCTTGAGGTTGCCATTCAGAGTGTGGTGCAAGTCAATCCAATTTTGACGTCTTCCATGGACACAAGAAAGTCAGACAATGGAGAAGAAGAAATAGTGGCTATGTTTCACACTTTTCATCCCAAAGAGTTGTTAAAGATCATCCCCAAACCATCCAAGCCAAATTTCAAGAAGCCACTGAAGGACTTGGACAAGAAAGAGCTCCTTGCATACTTGGAGGGTGAAATCATTCCACAATTTCCAAGCCATGTTGGCCAAGTAACCAGACATTGTGGTCAAGAAATCACAGACAAATCACCGGTCTTTGAGGTCCACATGATGCATCTCCCAGAAAACTATGCTTGCTATTCAGTCTCGCTCAGCCACTGCATTGGAGATGGAGCCATCTACTACCAGGTCATGGAACAGCTTAACTCAGCTATGACAAGTGGAACCATTGAGACTAAGATCAACTGGGATGGCTACGAAAAGATCAAGGCCCCAAACGTTGCTCCTAGCCTTGCCCTACCCCCTCTTACTATGCTTGGGTTCATGATTGGGCCCAGAGTCTTCAAGAAGTTTGGACCCAAGGAGGCTGAACCTTACACTCTCCTTTTGAGCAAGAAGAAGATTGGTCAAAAGAAGAAAGAGTTGGTTGACAGCACTACAAAGTACCTGACCTCAAATGATGTTGTTTTGTCTGCTCTCTGTGGAGCCATGCTGGACAATGCAGCCATCCAGACACAATATGTGAATCTGCGGGGCAAACTGGATGAGCTGGACCCTAGTGATGCTGGAAACTACGTTCTTACATCTGTTCTGGGTGCCAAAGATGCTGCAAGTTATCCCAACGCAATACGCAAAGTAACAGCTTCAGGCCAAAGCAATATCAGCCCTTGGAAATCCTTCTTGCCAATTGCGAGGGGAAACTATGTATGCAATACCAACTGGGCTGGACTGAAGAGCGTGCTTGATGGGACCGTTGCCCATGTCCCCTCGAATGGCTTCATCCGCTCAAGGTTTGCTGCTGGTGGATCATCCTATTTCACCATCATCTTCGAGTATGACAATGAGGCGCTAGGAGTTGCAACGAACTGTCCCATCAAGGAGGGGGGATTGTTGGGTTCCATCCTTTGGGACTAAGGCAGTAGAGGAACTGTTCAGTAAACTTTGTTGTTGATGTATGTCTCCTGTTCACTAGATTGGCTGACATTGAAAGGACTAGAGCGCTGAAACATCCACACATAGACATTCTATTGTGCCTTTGTACAGATCCAGGGTTTCAATAGATTAGGCATGCCACAGTTGCTTTATGTGCTTATTTCCTCTCCAACGCGAAACATGGCACTGAACAAAGCTCCGGCTTCTCCATCATTGTTCTTCGCAAGGAAATTGTTGTCAATGATTGCCACAAGGTAGTAGGTATCTCGTATTGTTTCAATCAACGAGAAACTCTCCGTATCAAAATCATAGAGGTTCAGCCACATAGTTGTCCAGAGCGAAAAGGCTTCCTCAGCCCACACCTGGAAAGTACTAGGATCAAAGATGGTAGGTTGCAGGATCTCCCTGTTGAGGAAACAAAGTGGGTCAGGTCAGTCCAACAGTTCCACCTGTCCATGACCAGACAAAAGGAGCTGTACATCTGTCGGCTCACCTGTTCGGAAATACACCCCAGGTCAAAGCAGTTACTCCCCCAACTTCGACTCCTTCTTGCACCATTTCAGAAGAACCGTTGCTGCGTATCGCATAAAGGTTCATTGCCTTGTTGGCCCTGACCATTTGTACAAGCCGCTGCATGTTATCTGGGCTGCAGAAGCATTCACAGTAAGCCTTTTGATACACGTAGCCTCCTTCGCCACCCCAGCCAAATGTTGGGTTGGTACTCTCGACTCCATCCACTGCTGGCTGACTGTTGATTGTCAGAAATCCAGCACGGTTCAACTTTGCAAGCTGTGGCTGAATCAAAAAGGACTCGGGTTGCAGCGGGTTTTCGCACCACGGAATATGGGGCAGTTTGCCCTCAACGTACTTTGCGAAGACGTCATATACATCTTGTTCCGATGTGGGATTGTGTCCCAGCATGGCTCTCCGTTCATCATCACTTCCCAACGAAAAGGAATAGAAATGAGCCAGGTCCGACAGTTCTCCAAAAGCTGGAGATGTGGCGTCACCCCATCGTCCATTCGGAAATTCATCCCAATCCTCTGTTCTCCGTACGTAGGATTTCGGACGATTGGCCCAGTTGATGGGCCTCACTTCTTCTTTGGATCGTTGGTCCATGGCAGAAGGTCTCCACGGTAGAGGCCGCCCTGCACTACTGCGGATTGTATCATGGTTATTGTTGGCGGCTGTAGGTGATGCCTTGTTGTTGCCAGCTTGGTTCACTCCTTGTGTTAGTTGTTGCAACGCCGAAGCATCATCAATATCAGCGGCTACTTGGGTTGGTTGAATCAAATCAATGGCACCCATTCGTAAAAGTATTCTTGTCACACTCCTTTCCAGATTTAAAGTGTACTGCAACAGGAAAAGGAAATTAAAGATGTCAGGAAAGCCCAACTCGCGAATATTTGAGAGAGCCGGGCGTGCTTACAAAATGTAGACCGTCAATGCCATATTCATCAGTTTCAATGGATGCTGTCAGTATCTCTTGACACATATCAGCTGCAATTTTGCATCCAATCTCTTTGACTGCTTCGTCATCTTCCTTGACAGGCTCCAGTTGTTCCATGACATGCGGTGGCACCGAAATGCCGCAGTACCGCGTCATCCGTACGAAGCTTGAGTAGCTCTGAATTGGCATGATTCCTGGAAGGATGGGACAGGTAATGCCCTTTGCCCGACAACGTCTCACAAATTGTAGAAATAACTGGACATCATAAAAGAACTGTGTAATGATGAATTCGGCTCCAGCATTCACTTTTTCTTGCAGGTGCTCCAGTTCTTCTTCTAGATTGTTGGAAGAAGGATGGCCTTCAGGATGTCCTGCTACCGCAATGCCAAACCAATCTCCGTATTCCTCCTTGATTAGCTTGACCAAATCACTGGCTCGATCACAATCGCCACCACTGACGTCCCCTGGTTTCCAACTCCGTTTGCCTTTGGGTGGGTCTCCTCTGAGAGCCAGTATGTTTCGAATTCCACAAGATTTGGCCTGTTCCAAAGCTTGCAATAATTGTTGTCGAGTCATTCCAGTTGTTGTTAAATGGCACAAGACATCCACTCCACAATACCGTTGGGCAAAGGACGCCACTGCTAATGTCCTGGCCGAAGTGGAACCGGCCGATCCCCAAGTAACATCGACAAACAGAGGTTCCAATCGACGAGTCATGCGATCAATACGAGTCATCAAGTTGTCCAATCCAGCTTCTGTTTTGGGAGGGAAGAACTCAAAGGAATAGTAGTAGTTGGGCTTGAAGGAGAACTGGTTATTGGACCCGTCCGACACATCCATGCTGTTGTTGGAATCTTCACCTTCAGAAATTGTTTTGTATGCCTTCTGACTGCGGCGAGAGAGGATCTTGTCAATGATACGTGTCATGATGATCAAAATAAATCAGCTACGATAGTGGCACAACGGAAACAGGAGTAGTGTACAGTGGAGCACTCAACAAAGCCCTCTCGGTGCATGCATTGCGAAAATACAAACGGGGGAATAGTACGGTACCAGTCAACTGGTACAGGTACTGCTGTACGCGGTTGATATGGAATGGGATGGGGGTGATCGGGGAAAGGACTGGAGGCAACGCGATGAGTGGTTGTGCGTTGTGAATGTCTGGCTGAAAATTGAGCTTGCCTTGTTGTACTACCGGTACCAGGTAGCTAGTGCCGGTAAAAAGATACGGTCCCAAAAATGAATTTACAGAAAACTAAAAGGAAAAACGTTAAAAATCGAAGGAGCCTGGAAAAACACGCTCATCGTTTCCACGGTGACCTGTTTCGAAGAGGTGCGAGGAAAGTGGTGAAAGCGGTGCGTTTGTTCTTGGATGGCCAGCGGTTCTTGATCATGGTGTTGGTGCAAGGAGCTGATCGATTTCGGTGCCCAACGTACGAAACTACTAGTACCGAGACGAGACGAAAAATGACTAGCTCTGTAGAAGAAAGGGCTCCATTGACAGGTGAGCAACAGGTCTCCCGGTGTCTCCGGAGGCTAACTTTTTGCGTTGCCTCTTTGTGGTCTCAATGGCTCTGACGAATCAATAGTAGGTAGCAGGACGCCGAAATGTAGCACCCGAGATAAAAACTGAATGCAAGGAGTCGAGAATCCAGTATCCAGCTTCCAGATACCGGTACCGGTAGAGGGTCCCAGAATGTGATCAACTTGAAGTTTCACGTGGAGTACTGGCTGGGTGAGGATGACTTGGTGGATTCTGATCTGCTGCGGCCGGTTAGTTGCAGGAGGGTTGAGTAAAGTTGAGCAAGTCAGTGAAACGAGTGTTTGGAATCCCCGCAAGTAAGTGCGATTGGTGGCTTCACGACATTGCCGGCCAGGTCAAACTACACGATTAGTCTTTTGCAATGTGCGGTTACAAAATTTGATGCAATGATTACGTAGATAGATATTATGGTCGTATAGGTTCAAGTAGGTGCTTTACATCATTCATGGGTGGTCATCGGGTCAATCCTTTATCAGCGTATGGCTTGGCTTCGGCAATGGACTGACCAGCCAGCTGAAGCATCATCATGATGCACGAAGGTCGCTCTCGGAGCAAATTACTGCTTCGAACGGCCGCTGTTTCCAGAGTGTTGGCTCTTCTCTTCCGGCGGGGATCCTGGATGCTGCCCAAGAGCGAACCCCCCAGTGTCCTCGTTCCTCTCCGTAGAATCGCTGCTGACTTCGTGAACCAGCTCTGCGGTTGTCAAAGCCAACGCCCGATCAAGAACCGACAAGAGATAGACCCTGGAAGTAGCTGAATCTCTTGGGCGTATGGGCGCACGTAGGTTCCACGGGGTCGCATCCGCATCACCATCTCCTCTTGTCCTTGGACGATCAGAGGAAAGCAAACCAATCAATGAATTCCTTTCGTATCCGCTTGGAGGAATGCTGTCGAGTCCTTTCGTCATGGTGACGGTTCAGTTTTCTTCAGTTGAATGGTGGGATTTGGTTGATGAGTGCAAACCGAAAGGTCACTAGATTATGTGGGCGAACAGAGACGAGGGCAAGACTAGGGATCCCAAATCTCGAGCAATCATGCAGGGGAAGGCGGGTTTAGGTGCTCGGGAACACATCGCAACAGAATCTGATGAAGCTAATAAGGAGCTAGCTAAGGATAAGATCTGGCCTGTCGTAGATACCGGTAGTGGCCACCGCAGTACTCGAGTACCGGTAGCAAGCTCTAGTAGCTATTAATAGCTGGAAACAATAACTGTGCAGCTGTTCTGCGTTCTGCCATTCTGCGCAGCAAGAAAGCGGTACTGTAACATACTCTGTCTTCTGTACTGGCGGACCAAAAGGACTAAGACACTTGCCCCTTTTGCATAACTTCAAACTAAGACTTCATTAATAATTTTCTTCATGTCAGATCTCAGGGTCTTTCCATTTTCCGTTGTCCTCTGCACTCTACAGACTGCCCTGCATGCTGGATCTTGGATCTTGCCAGCAAGCTAGTAGACAGCTAGAGCCAGTAGTCTAGCTAGCTAGCGAGCGCTCGTGGAAGGGTACCACAATGTCATCCAGAAGCGCAAGCTAAAGCCCTCAACTCATAAGCTTGACGCTGGTCTTGGTCTTGATGTCTTGATTGAAAGCTCGAAAGCTCCGAAACGCTCTTTCGAAATCGTGAATACGCAGGAGCTCACGTAAGAGAAGCTATCAATAGTGCAGAAGCTAGTGCAGATTGGATTTAATGAACCATGACTCGGCGTGAACTTCAACAAACGGTGACCAGATTTCATAGGTCGAATGTGTTCCATCTGAGAACCAGCCAGATCAGACGAAGCTTCCCTCTATCTCATTTTTGAACCTTCTGCTTTTGAAGGGGTCCATCGCCTTTTGTGTTGACCATACCGGTAGGAATAAAAAAGACCTCAAGTCCACAGCTTACAGCCGTCAGTTGTACATAGTCCTCTACAGCTGTCTACTCCTCAGTCGAAAGTTGAAAGGGCACATGCCAGACATGAACTCATGAACAGTGTCTGAATGTCACTTCACGAACTTATCACTTTTGGCTGGAAGACTCAATCTAGTTAGCGAGCAATTAATTTAAAAAAAGTGGAATGGGCTGTGGAATGCTACAGCCGTACCAGAAGACCTAATCTAGCTAGCTAGCGTTCTGTACCGGTATTGTAGAGCACCCAAGCACGGTATGCATACCGCCCAAAGTAAAAAACAGAAGTGGAATGCTACGATGTACCGTGTGTTCCGCTGGGAAACTAGGATAGGCAACGGAATCTTAAGGCGAACGGGAACATTGATTTTCGATGAGGTCTTTCGAATTCGAACCCTTCTCCCTTCTTCATTGCTCCTACCGATAGTAGTCACTTCAGTCCCACACTCAGACATCACATACATCACATACTAGTACATCTGCGTGGGTGAGCTACAGGTCTTATCAGATTCTCAATCATAGCTCAATCAATCATGGCTGAAGGGGCTGCTAAAGCGCTAAAGAAGACAATGCTTGTGCGGTACTCCAGTTCTGAGAGACACCAAGACGAGAAGGGTCTTCGGAGCTCTGTCTTCGGGTCTTTACCTTTTTACCTTCACTGCTGCTGCAAGAGTGCTCAGCATTACTACTACATGTAGCTAGCTAGCAGCTAGTAGAGGATACTAGCTAGCTAGAGTAACGGTTGCAAGTTGCTGCTAGCTACTCTGTACGTTACACGGTTACACGTAGTACGATGTACATATTTTCAAAGAGTTCACGTGTTCACGTATTCCAGCTGCAGTGCCTGAAGTCATAGAGGCGGATTGCTACCGGTACCCAACCCCTGCACTGCCGGTTCAGTTGAAGCCCAAAGCCCATATTATGCATATACGACATAGAAGTGCAGTGCTGCACGGGCTTAAGCTTGGCTACGGAATGAGTCTTCATTCCTTCCGCAGCTGGCTCCGCACGAAGGGCGATAAGGCTTCCGTTGCGCCAGACTCCTCATTCTCAAGGTCCGCACGTCGCCTCTTCCAGGTCAAAGCCTGCAACTCCTGCTGTTCTGCTGGTAGCAAATGGCGAAATCCAGAAACTTGACCACGGCATGCAGAAGTGCCACAGAGGCACAACGTGGCGGACTCTTCCTCCTCATTGGCAACGCGCTCCCAGCAGTGAGCATTGAAATCAACAAAGAGCTGATCTCCCTTCTGAATATCCCGACAGGCATAGGCGCCACGCCAATTGTCGCCATCTTCTTCTTCCGTGTACTTGTACACGATATTTGGTTGGCACGAGTGGTGGGTCAACAAGTCAAAGCCAGTGAAGTGGTGCAAGCCAGTTTCCGCATCCCGTGAAGCGCACTTGTGTGGGTCTATTTGGATCACTGTACCTTCTGAAGCATCGTTGTCGATGATGTTGAGGGATGACACCATGTCAATTGTTGTATCATTCTTCTCCTGACCAGGAAATGTTGGCCATGGCTGAGACCAAAAGTAGTACACACGTTTTCCAGCAGGGAAATCCTTGGCGGCAAACAATCCATAATCAACATTGTCGTCTTGGATGCTGGGTTTGCAGGGTCGGATGCAAATGTCCGCCGAAGCAGAACTGGGACCGGGTGCTACCAGTCGAGGAATAGTGTTGTTGTTGGTCTTGCCTCGATGGGGTGGTGGCTGATCTTGCCTGACCACAGGTGGTCCCAAACCAAGTGCATGTTGGTGACGGGCCTTGACAACGTCACTGCAGAATGGCAGGTATTCCTCCTTTTCACTATCTGTGAGCTTGAAGAATCCAATGCGCTTACCACGGCATTTCTTGGCGCCACAGTTGCATTGAAACGTCAGGCCATCTTCATCGTAATCAAAGAGAGTGTAATCACATGTCAACTGTTCACCCTTTTTGATGTCCCGAGTGGCGATGCCTTCTCCGTTGATCCAATCAAATGAAGAAGGATGACAAGTTGGTTCGCAGCTGTGGTTCATGAGCATGCCAGGCGATTCGAGATGCCATCGTTCAATCAAGCTATCGGCTTCACGAAACAACATGGGCACGCCATGTGTTTCTAGCAAGACCTTTGGATTGACAGGAAGACAGAGGGGAAGCGCCTTGGTACGTTCGATTTCTTCATCTTCTTCATAATTCTTGGCTAGCAACAACCAATCACCATCTCGCACATCTCTAAAACTGAACTCTAGTGACTCCGAGAAGACACCTTCTCCTTTGGCAATATCTCGATTGGCAACCAGCCCAACTCCATTGCAATCGTCGACGAACTCAATGCGATAATCATAAGTCGAGACTGGGCAAAGAACATAGTTGGGATTGGTGTTTTCGGGGCCTTCTGGGTTGGCTGCAGCTGTGGGCATGATGAATTGCTGGGTGTGTGAAGAAATGGGGTTGCGACTCGTTGGTGGTTGGGTTGGTTTGTTGCTTTCTTGGTATGTACAGTGGGGTGTTTACGACGAAAGACGAAAATGCGTTTGTCCGGAGGCACAGTGTCATTGGACGAATTCGATTCTCTCAGTTTCTGTTGCTCTGGACAAATTTTGCGAATCGATGCCTTGCGCTGTAATTGCGCCGACGCAAAGACCTCGCAAGTAAACTCTTGCAGCTACCGGTACATTCTGCTAAATGTATGATACCGGTGCCACCAGAGCAGGCCACACTGTAAGAATCCCTACACAAATTATCTACTCCACCTCTGCTACGGTAACCTAATGTACAGCTCACGCCCGTCAAAAGCCCAAGTCTGGTCCAGCTCCTCGATACCGGGGGCCAAAACAACGTTGTCCTCCAAACTAGACTAGACAGCCCATTCAACATTCTCACTCAGCAAGCATTGTGCCGCATAAAGCAGAATGTTACCATGCCTATTGAACAAGACCGCAATTCTCATATTGTTCCAAGTTGTTCATTGATTGCCTCCGACAATACTGGTACTGGGTGCCTAGATGGTTGGCTCACTGTTCCCCGCTACGTACACAAACGTCTCCAAACAGCAACACCTCGATCTCAATGACGTTCAGCCTGTGTCCAACATGCCATACAGCCGAGTCGCCATGAGAAAGGAGCATTGAATCATACGGATGATATCCCAATCCTGGTCCAAGGTATCCTTGGTTAATGCCCACCACGCACCGAAGGCGTTGTTGTTGCGCTCAGAGCCCTCTCAGGCCGCTGCAAAAGGTCAGCGATACTTGCAATCATTCCAGTCTACAGTCTATACCAATCCCGACTGCATCTTTCAAGAACTTCCCCCGCAGCAACGACACCTTGCCCCCAAGCCATCTTTCGTATACTTTGTAGCACGACCGTTGACTGATTGGTTCTTGACAAGAAGTTTGTTATAATATCACAGCTAAATAGGTGTGTAAATGCTACTGAGCTAACTTGGAGCAAACAGCGGTCACAGTGTAGCACTACTTGTGTTTCAGGAGAGCATCCCTCACACGTCTCCCCACATGATCGTACCAAACCTTGGCGTGCATGGGCTGCCTTGTGTGAAATGCAGCGCAACCATTCATGCTGCTCTTTCACGCAGCAGTCACATCAAAGTTAGTTTTTGGCGTGTGCATTCTTGTCACTGCTCTTGCCGTCTTCAACTTCGACCTGGTTAATGCCACGCTCCAAGGTGATCAGTTCTTCTTCTTCGTTGATGTCTGCCGTGCTTGTTAGAACCGAGTCGATGATCTCAAGCAGCTTTGCTCTACAAAGGGGAGGGTGGGTCTTGGGGAAGAGTGTCAGAAAGTCTCCTCCGCCTGCACCTTCCTGACCCCTTCCAGGTTCTCCTTCGCGGTGTGCAGCGATGAGTAGACTGACGAGGGAATCTCCGTTTTTGGTTGGGACGGTCATGGTGCGTACAGTAGTACTCCGTAGTGATCTGATGTCGATGTTTGAAGAGTCCTCCTAACTTTTTAGAAGAATGATATATGGTCGACTGCACATCGATGAGCAAAGCAAATATTATGATAATAGAAGTGTTACTCTACCTGCAGTCTACCCACCTGATACCAGGAATTCAACAAATCAATCAACACGAGCAGTTTGTGAGAATTGGGCGTGATGCCTGCTGAGGTCACTTGGATACTTGGATGTCACATACTAGCTAGTAGAGCGAAACGCCCCCCCCCCCCATACGGATGGACTGTCGATGGTGTTAGTGCTAACGATAATATACTAGTATGCCGCGGAAGTCGATATACTTGTGGTATCGGTACCTGGTATTTCGCCTGGTACTTTGTTCGTACATGTAGCATCTTTTTTCTGATTTCTTTGGCTCCTAAAGCTTTGAGCAGGCCAGTCACACTTCAGCCGAAGAAGACCGTCGCTTGTTTTGCTCGCACCGCCGAAAATAGAATTCCGATACGTAGCGGTGCGGTACAACAGGCTTCGTACCGATACCGTCCAAACTGCCTGACAACGAGCTTGCTCGCAACACTGAACCATACAGACCATCTGACAACGCTGATGACACCTTTGTTGAAGCCCACGAAGGGGGAGAAGAGGAACCACCAAACATCCCTCAGCGATCCAATGAGGATCGAAGTTCTGAATGGTCTTGATAGTTAGTTTTGGCCGGAATGATGACATGAACGTTAGCTATCTATCAAGAAGGTTCACATCTTAATCCCGCCGAATGGGTCGAAGCAAACTACGATGGAAAATTCGCTGGCCACCTTCTTTTTTAGTAAGCTGGTTGGACAAGGATAAAAATGCCTGCATGGACAGGTAGCTTTGGCTTCTCGAATGTGGCATTTCTCGCATTTACAGCCTTGCTTCTGAAGTTTTACTCGAATGTTGTGAGAGTAAAGATAGTTTTAAAGTTCATGTCGAATGTCGAGCTTTTTGGTTCCAAATTGAGAGCAAGCAGCTTTGAAGAATAGAAGGTACTGGTACAGAAAACAAAAGGAAGAACCAGGGGGGACGAGGACTGCTTTGACTTAGATTTAGATTTCGTTCATAATTCTGATGTCTGCTGGAATCCGATTGATTCAATTTGCTTGAAGTGTAGGCGCTGGTACCCTTTTGGTAAAGTATCATGAAATGCAGTACTTGTAACCAAGAAGCCCCCAACAAGGTATAGGTTATCATGAGTGAGGACTCTCCCTCTAGTAGCAGAAAATGACCTTGAATCTATACCTAGCAGGTTTCCTTCCCTCATGTACAGGTACAGGAGTACCATAATAGCCCAAGCACTGATGATTCCAATGTGGGGGGGGGGGGGGGCAACCAAAGTTACCACAGAGTCAGGCTACTGTTTTAGCAAGCAATTTGGTAGGTTCAGCCAGTCACTTTTGCTCTCATATAACTTCCTGGCACGCCCACAAGCTGATTTGTTGCTTCTTCATCTGCAAAAGGTCTTCATCAATCAGTGATATTTGCTTCCTCAGGATACTCACGAAGAGTTGCAAGATGGGAGCTTATTTTATAAAAGGGGTGACAATGGTGACTGAAAGACAAGAATCGTGAAACCGAAACACAACACACCAACTAAGTACAACTGCACTACCCATGTGATTGCCTTCAACCAAACAGAGGAATGGAGTCGTAAATGTGGCATTAGTGTTTATTGTACATGTATATGATTGAAGCCGGTCTCCTCTTCCACCTTTCTGGCTTGTGCTGTAGCTCTTGATGCCAGGGTTGTGTCAGAAGTCATCGAAGAAGTCTAGTAGGTCAGCACCGACATATGGCATAGTCCATTATCATTGAGGGACTCTCACGATGGTCCGTGTGCAGAGTCGTCTTGACCATGTCTTGAGTCTTTACTGGCCAGGTCCCTTCCCTCCTGTGCGGGTACTTCCTGGCATGCCCACATCTTCTTCATCTCCGAAAAGATCTTCATCGATCAGTGACATTGCTTCTTCGAGGATACCCACAAGCCGCTCACGTGATAGTCGTTGAGGTTGCCTGTCTCCCTGAATGCGCCTCTGCAATACAATATACGTGGTTACTGATGACCCACATTGGGGTTGAGAAGATGAATCAGTTGGCTTGGTCATGATGGCAAGGGAGAGATGGGAGCAGCAAATGAAGTAGGCAGGTGTAAAGTGGCGATCTGGGTTTTTGTGACAGAGGAACTTTTCCTTGCAACTCTCCCAAGTGAGTTAGCTGGATACCGGCAGACCGGCAGCAGGGCTCAAGGCAACCAACCAGGCATTTCGATGACAGTCTTGAAGAATCTGGTAGCTAGCTAGCCAGCCAGAGGCATTATTGACAGCGTAAGGTTTGCACCAGTCAGCAGTGAGCAGGAAGTGGCTTCGAACCTCCAACTGAATTCGGAACTGAGGCTTTTCCAAGGACAGCTCATGAGGGGTATGTTGACGCACCACGTAGGGCTTTCTCTAAATCTTTACTGAATTATCAATCGTACAAATATTTTAGCGGAATTATTGAACTTCTATGGATAATAGCCCCTATTGTGAAGAACAATTCGAATTGTGAGGGGTACTGCCCCAGAAATTCAATCAGCAAGGTCGGGAACCAGACTGCAATCCTTTTATGACAGTTTCTCAAATGAGAAAGTAGTTTCTCATTTGAGAAACTAAGTTCTGAAATGAGAAAGTTAGTTTCTCATTTGGTTGAAATGAGAAACTATCTTTTGAAATGAGAAACTATATATGAAACTGCTAGTACATGTGTTGTGATTTCTGCCAGAAATGAGAAACTATTTTATCAAATGAGAAACTAAAACTGTTAGTTTCTCAAATTGAGAAACTAAAAATGAGAAACTAAAACTAAAAATGAGAAACTAAAACTGTTTGAAAAATTTCAAAACATCATCGGGGTTTCCAGACCTTGCAGTTCTTCAAAAATACCCCTGATGACGCACACATAGTACATGTACAGCGTACAGCACTGCAAGTACCTACTTTTTCACTGTACAGCACGTTACTGGTTCGAAGAAACAGCTTCCGAACGAGAGATGAAATCAGGCTACCTGCATTCGGAATTCCTGAGTTGTTGAGTCGAGTCGGGGGTATGGGACAACTTGACACTGTGTTTCTGAATCAATCGAATCCTAATCTCAATAGCTATCTCAACTAAACGTCACTGCTAGACTACTGTACCGGATGGGTGTGAGGCTGGCTGTGTGTTTTGAGGTTAATCCTATGGTGTAGTTGCCCCATACCCCAACTACCTTAGTTGTGGATGGCCATTGAGCTATTGGTAGATGGCAATGCCGTAGCTAAGTGGGTCGTCTTGTGTTCTATGGGCTATAGAGCTCTATCTATTGGCAAGCAAACTGCAAGGCCTTCTTCTCAAATTGCGTGTCCTACGCATTGCTTGTAATCCCGTCCTGCCTGTCCTGTCGTCCTCGACTACAGCAAGTTTAGCGGTACCGGCTCGAAAGTGCTGCCTTGAGAGTTGGAACTCAAGGGATAGAGCGAGCCGCGAAAGGAAGGCGTCGCACCTGTAGTCTGCCTTCTTTGAAGAGTAGGCCAATCCAAGCAAAGTACTACTGAAGACACTGTGGAGGCATTGTCCCCAAAGTCATTCAGTTGACTCCCCTTTCTTCTTTGCTTTCTTTCCATCAATATGACGCCTCTGAGCCCAATCCTCTCGGTTGCCGTTGTTGGGAGTGGGCTTCCACTGGCTAGCTGGCTGTGCTGGATCCTGTTTCTTTCTAGGTTGGGCTTTGTTGGTGCCTGCCTGAATTGCTTGCCCTCGTCCTCGGTGGCCACGCGATAATGAATAGTGGGCGTCGCAATGAGGTACAGCCACCTTCAATGTTTCAATGAGCAGTGCAGCAACACTATTACTCCTTCAATGTTTGCAGCAACTCTTGCTTGGATCTCAGCTTATGCCAGCTTGGAGTTGCTTTTGCAAAGATCGACAGCGCAAGACTACGGTACCCGCCCATGGTCTCAAACTTGCATCTTGAAGTTGTCTTACACTGCCTGCTCAGAGCAAAGCATGCGACACGAGGCTCCCTATTCTTTGCCATGACTGTTTTGTTTTGAAGGATCCATTGCAGTCCCAAAGTGTTTGTGAAGAGCCATCGGATTGCTTATGGCCTGGACCTTTTGGCTTTTCTGAAGCCTTTCAATCCCAGCAGGCTCCTCGAAGCTACAGGGCAGGTTACTGGACTGCAGAGGAAGCTGTGCAGTGCAGCAGCCAAGGACGTACCGATGTTACAAAGTGCCAGTATTGTAGATATCGTTTACATCCTACATCCTACCGGTACCACGCTACACGAACCTACCGGTAGCTAGGCACCGGTACGCAGCTTAGAGGCTGATAAATCCAACGCGTGCGACATGAGGAGGCCGAAACCGAAGTCACCTTTGACATCGCCCCGATTCCATTCGTCGCTGATCGTGGTCTTGACAAGCTAGCTCCTCGACTAGCTAGAGTCGGTGGTCAGTTGGTTTCAGACAGCGGGCGTTGCTCAGGTTCGTTGATTCCAAGTAGCTCCAAGACATCAAATGATTCGATTCAATCGAATCCTGCACATCGTTGTCGTTTTGGAGCGACAGTCCCCTCCGGTTCTATGTACGAGTCTCCGCGATGGCAGAGTCAATTTTGCTCGCGCAGTTGATGTGGCATCTTAGTGTCCCCGTTTGGAAAGCCTTTGGCTTCAAGTCATCGCTCCTCGTTCGCCTTTTCGGGTTTCATTTTCTCGGAAGCAAGGCGCTTATCATTTCCCGAAGTCTTCCGCTGTTGTCCGCATCGCCGTTACGATAGATGTCCGTAGCAGGCACCGTGTTGTTCTCCCATACGAAATCGAAAAACTGGGAGGGATGGACAATCAAATGTTCCTCTTGGTCCTGGGATCTTAACCTGCACGCGTCCGTAGCCATCGGTATTGTCCCACGAAGCATTACCTGGAGTGCTTTCTCTCCACTCTTAGTTTGGAATCACTTCTACTACGTCATCCAACGACAATGGCGAGCTAGATTAGGTCTCAGAAGTCACTATGAGATATCTCATCCGGTCCTTTCGCGCGTAGAGACCGAGCCATGTGGTACCAGGAAGAAATCCCTGCAACAAAGTACAAGAAAGCCGCCGCCGCTGCAAACTGGAAACCAGCTCCGATCTGGCAATCAGAAGGAGGCGCACACGCGCTGGTAGTACGGGCTATTAGGCCCACAAGGCAGCTCACACTCAACACCAAGAATCCCAGACCAACCCAAGCTTTGGTCTTCTCCGTAGTAGTACTGGGTCGACAACTCAAAACTCCGGTGGCCAGACTTGTAAAGACCAATCCTCCAAGAGCGCCCACAAAACTAGCCACTCGGCCATATCGAAAGGCTGCGTCCTCATAGCTGTAGGCTGATGCAGGCACAAATCGGAGACAAGTGTAGCCAAATAAGATATTGTCACCCTCGACAAAGCAGGTAAATATAGAAAACGTGGAACAAATTGCGCCCAGGTATCCCAGTGTCAAGGAGATGGCAGCTCGATACCCCAAAGGGTAGCAACGACTGGATTTGAAAAAACACACACAAAAAGATGGAATGCAATCGTCAGAGCACAGTGTGGCGAATCGAATCAACGAGAGGGCGGTGAAGGCAGGAGACGTTGCTCACAACACTCACACGTTTACTGGTTCTGCTTGGACCACTGGCAAGCTTTCCAGCTCCAAATCAGGAGAACCACAATCTCCCTCCACGGTCTTCCCTTTGGTCATCGTGCAATGATAGTGTTGTGTTGATCTGTGTTATCAGGAGGGTTACTAATGTATGTGGTCAGCCTGAGCGGACTATGTAGGGGAGGGGCGATGGAGAGGTTGTGTTGGTTTCGTGGGTTCGACAAACAAAAAGAGAAAAGAAGGGCAATGCCATGGTCGACTGAATGTCACTGGCACTGAAACGAAGATTCCGGGTGGAAAATACGACTCAAAAACGACTGATTTCTTATTTTTGGCAATCGCTGTGGACTGCTCTCGCTCTGCCGGCTGCTGCCACCGACATCACTTCGGCAAGCCAGAGAGGACCAAAGTGCGCTGAAGCAACGCAATAGCAATAGCATCTCGTCACAAGGAGAGCGGCAACTCTTGCTTCTTCCTGTACCCTAAGAACTGCTACTAGTCGAATAGAATAGAAACCATGAGCACGCGACGACGAAGTTCTCTCTCGCAGTCTCTGTCCAGCAGCAACGGTGGTAGTACCAGCCAACGCCGTCGATCTTCCACCACCAATAAGCGTCCTTCGCTGAGAGACAGCGTACGACGGAGTTCCAAGAGGCTGTCTCAAAACACCATGGACGAAGTGAATATTCAATTAGGCAGGATGTCTACGACAGACGACACCCCCGCCAGTGGAAAAGAACGCCGAGCTCGACGAAAATCAAGAAAGGAAGACTATGACCGAATAAAGGATAATCGATCGGACCGTGTGGGAGCCTTGCAAGGACAATGGTCGTCGCATCGCAGGAGTTTTATTTCGGAAGAAGAAGAACTCGATCGATTGGTCAAGGAAAGCTCAAAGTCCTGGACATGTTGTGGTGCCACGCTGTGTTGTGGGTGGTAGACCAGCTAGTACTATGTTGTTTTCCGTTGGTTTGTGTCTGTGTGATGCTTCTGCTGCTTGGAGGCTCAACTACGAGAGTTACTAGTGTATGATAATGATTGTTCTGGATGTAATTTATTTTAAGAGCTGTAATAATCTATCTATGAGAAGAATTCATTATAGCTTGTTAACAATTATTCACTCTTTCACATGGTGCCTGCATTGTGCTGCAAGCCACAAGTGCAATCAGAAAGAGTTGCACATCGGGTACTCTACCGGTATCAGATTGCTATGTGTAAATAGACAGGTTGTTGCCCTTTTACCGCGAATTCACAACACGTGTTTCCCATCCGCCAACAGATTGTAATAAGACTCATGCTGGTGACGACGATGGCAACACCACCAATGTGGCTTGGAGCCGACGAGCGCAGTCCATCATGGCTTGCAAATGCGGGTTCACATCCGGTGCCGAGACTATTCCCGTCGACAAAGCTTGGAGCACCACTGCTGGGTTTCGTTCCAACAAGCGCTCGCAATGAATGTACTGTGCCCGTCTGGCAGCTCGCTCGGGCTCCATCAATTCCATGCCAAAAATTCCCAATCGTAGTAGTGGCGTGTCACTACTACTACTACTAGTGTCGTGATCCTTCTTCACGGAATTGTTCAAAACGGAAAAGACCAAGGGATCATCCTCACTACATGTAGTATTCTGGTGGTCGAGCTTCTTTTTGTCTCCATTCTGCTGCTGTTGCAACAACAACCGTCTCTTCAGTTCCTTGTCATAAACGTACATGCGCGTACTGGGATCGTTCAAAATGAGTTGCAATGCACGCAGTTTTTTGAAGAGGACATCCGAAATGGAAATGGGATGAATACTGGCCTTGGCTTCCCAGAGTTGGACAATTTGAATCATGTCGTGTTGTTGCTGCTGCTGCTGTACCACCATGGCATCAAACTCGGATGTCAATCCCATGAGATTAACATTGGAGGACATGACATGTGGCAGTCTCTTGCTGGAATTGTTTTGTTGCTTGGACTGACGCAAATGTTTCTCGGTGGGTTTGACCAAGACATTGGGGAGTACGAGTAGGGAAGAATCATCATCATTCTGGTTATTGCATTGTTCATGGAGATAGGTGGACAAGTCAATTTCTCCTTGCCGCCCCAACCGTTTGCCGCCATCTTCGATTTGTGGGGGTGGGGATGGTACCACGGCAAATTCTCGTTCCACCAATTCCAGTAGAGCATCTTTCCATTGCAGAGCAGTATTGGCGTGTACTTCTTCTTCTTTTGATGATGATTGTTGTTCATTACATGTCTCTTTCAGCACGAGACGTTTCATCAATTCCAATTCGTTGGGTTCCTGTATAATCTTGTGGTATGTCTCGATCAATTGGGGTGCTACATCGCTGAGCAGTCGCTCCAACTTTCCTTGGTACGTCCGCCCCCTGGCAAGATAGGAAAAGAACTTGTGGGGTGACGTGTACGTTTGTTGTTGCTGTTGTTGCGGATTGCTTTCTTTTCCTCCTCCTTGTTGTTTTCTATAACGAAAGCTCTTGATATCTTGCTGTGGCAGTTGAATGCCTTGTTGGAACATGGGAGCCAAGGTGGTGTCTACAGAAATGTTGGACAAGTCTTGTTGGACAAATCGATGGGTCTGTTCCCATTGCCATTCCATGTGCAAGTTTTGCAGTGCCACTTCAAAATCTCCCTTTTTGGAAAATCCCATCAAACAGCGAATCATGGATTTGCGATGTTGCTCCGTGACAATCATCTTGTACGGACCCACGGCATCCATGACTTGTTGCAAGTAGTCTGCCACGGATATCGTTCGCACCATCATTTCCTCGTCATCGTCGTCCACATCGGCTCGACTCATGGCCATGCCGGAAACGAAGCGAGGACGGACGGTTGATGGCCTCTGGAACGCTGGATACAATAGTGAGGATGGACGTATTCTATTAGTAGCAGTCAAGATCCAACCACCACAGCGGAATGCTCTCATCCTTCCTTCCAACCGTAGCCGTAACAACAACTAACTTGACTTGGTTGTTGTGAAGCGAGGTCCGGCTGGCTGTCAATGCCAATTGACCATCAAGACATCAAGGTTGGATCTTTCGTCTTCGAAACCTAAACCCTAAGCTTCTCAACACGCACATGGAAGAAAGCGAAACGGATGTTGAGGTGGTGTCGAGGATCATGTGATCATGTGCATTGACGATGCCAACAAGAGTTGAGTGAGAAGAACCGAACAACAACAAGTTTAACCTTCAACATCATCTACCGTACGGTATCAATCAAGCTAATAAGCAGAAAGGTCCACTCTGTGCATCGCTGTTCCGGAAAGATTTTCTTTTTTCTGGTTGCAAAAACTGTCCCAACCCATTCATTCCTACAATCGCTTGATCACCAATAATGGTCCAACCCAAGGCCCTCATGGCGGCATTGCTGTCGACTGGCCTCGTCAGTGTCGCACCCAACGTGATTCTCTTTGTATTTCCCAATTATGCCACGGGGGAAGGAGCACACAGTCAATTACTGTCGTTGGGACAAGCCATTTCGGCTGGGGGACTTCTGGGGGATGTCTTTTTGCACACTCTGCCACATGCCGCCCCACACATGGAACGAGACAATGTTGGGTTGTGGGTCATGGCCGGGTTTGTCATTTTCCTCGTGGCCGATATGCTCATGCGATGGGCCGATCCAAGTCATCATTCTCATGCACACCATCACAGTCAACAAACTCATCACGACAGTCATGAGGATGAGAAAGACCACAAGAATAATAATACGCAATCTGCCAAACAAACAGAAACAGAACAATTTCGAATACTGTCCCCCAAGATACTCTTGAATCTAACGGGTGATGCTCTGCACAATTTTACCGACGGCCTTGCCATTGGAGCATCCTTTTCCATTCAAGATTCACGATTTCTACAAGAGGCCACCATGTTGCAACTCATGTCCTCCCGAGGAGGACTGGCCACCGTATCGATTCTATTGCATGAGTTACCACACGAATTAGGAGACTTTGCCACATTGGTAAAGGCGGGGTGCAGCAAAAGTCAAGCCATTCTACTACAATTCGTCACGGCGGGGGCCGCCATGGCTGGAGCCGTACTGGGGGTCTTTTGCGTGGAAGGATATGGAGGAGAACGGTTACTCTACATTACTGCCGGTGGATTCGTATACCTGGCATGTGTGACAATCTTACCAGAAGTACTGGAGGAACGAGTGTCCTTGCAATTCCGATTGGCACAAGTAGCGTGCTTTTGTTGCGGAGTGGCATTTCTCTATGGCGTTGCTCTCTTGGAACATCATGCCGGTGACGGACATCATCATGGGCATGGCCATGAACATCATGGGCATGGGCACCATCATGAGCATGATGAGCATCACCACCGCCAGTTGGAACACGAACATGGAGATCATCACAAGCACGAAGAACATCACCACCATCCAGAAGATCATGCTCACCACGATCACCATCATCACCAAGAGCTTTAGTGGGAGCTACCTACTAGGCAACTACTGCATTCTTTTACTGATCCTTTTCTGCGGTCGTCAAAAACAATGCAACAAAATCTGACACAGGTCCCCTTGCCACGGTACCGGTACCTCTGCAACTCAACCAGATACGGTAGATTGGCATCAGGCAAACCAAGTTGATGGCTCCGTTTACTTTACGGAGTTAAAACAAAAGTTAAAAGAAACATCTTACACCTTGGTCCTACGTGACAACTAGAACTCCCCCCTTCTTTTTTCTGGGACCGGAATGAACTTGCTGAAAGGGACAAGGTATTTCAAAATAGCCAAATCACACCTCTATGGTACCGGTACTGGTACCGTCTTCTAAAGGTACCAGGTACTAGCTAGTTAGAGTTGAGTACGGTAGGTTCAATCTCAATCACGAATATGTCGTCACAGAAGACTCGTCATTGTTTCGAAAGGCGCCATAAAGGAAGCCAACGGCCAACGAAAATCTCCACGCTCACAAAAGTAGACTTGAAAGCCAAAAGCAACAAAAAGGAAGAGACAATGGTAGTCGTCGGCAATTACTCAGTGCGCATTGTCAATGCAGAGACCAAGGAGCCCTTCAAGGAGCACAAAGGGCCTGACGGGAAGATCTACGCTGAAGTGGAGCCTGATGTAGAGTACTTTATTGAGGTCGACGTCATTGGAGGTGGCAAAAATTCCATGGCTTGCTTTGAGTTCCATGTCGACGGTGAGAAGCTGCCGTATAGAACTATTTCAAACGAAACACATGGAAAATCGTACAAGGGAGTGTGGTCGTGTGTCAATGGAGTCGACAAGATGCAAGCTTTCGCTTTCAAGCGTCCTGTTTTAACAGATAGCAAGGGCTCTTCTGGTCCACCGGGTGCATTGATTGGTGATGTCCAGGTTGACGTTTCCGAAGCCATCTATGCCGGTACTTGTACCCGACCAGACTACAAGTCTGACTCCTTGCAGGCTGCCTCGGTCAGCAGCAGCCTCACCAATGTGCAGACGAAAAAGGTTCTTCGATCGGGCACAGGCTCTGTTGCCGAAACCAGCGCACGCAGCATCAAAGTAACAAGTGTATACTCACCCGGGGTTCTCTTGGAATCCATCACAATCCACTATTGCACGGCTCTGGGTTTGATTCATGCGGGTGTTTTTGGAAAGTGGAAGACATTTGGGCAAAGGCGCGGATTGTCAATCCTTGGAAGCCGTCATCCGACTGCGACCTAGAAGAGGTTCAACAACCAAAGCGTGTCAAGCGTAAAGGGAAAATGGTCAATGGAGTCAAAGTGGAAGCTCCCAAGGAAGTGGAAGAGTTTGATCTCACTGGCGAGGACTAGCTAAACTGTTGGCTGCAAAACTGATAATTACGGCCACAATTCGTCATATGGTCAAATCAATCACAAGGGAAAAGCTCAAAAGGAACCAAATAACAACAACAACAAATTGAACTAGACTGCTGCATGGACAAGTCCTTTTACCAGAGAACACGACAAGAACAATATTGTATTCATTCATGACAGCCACAAAATGTCCTACGGTACCAACTATGTATAGTCAATGGTCTTTAAGGTCTCTAGCTCTACTTTCACAGAAGCTCTAGAAAATGCCAGTAGTTCTAGCTATAAGTAGGTGCTTTTTTCAGCGTTGACGGGCCTTCCAATCTAACTTATTTGCGAAAAATGTGAATGGAATCAACTTCGCCCCCATTTTCAGGCCTCCCCAGACATGGGTGCTGTTGGAAGTCTTGCACTCCTCAGATGCAGGTACCGGTACTAGTACGGCTGTACGGTGCCATGGTAGAAAGAGTTGCGGCAAAATCTGCAGCGTGCAGCTTGGACGGATCTGTTTCATTCGGCGGAGGGTGTTATGCTGGCACCTTTCACAGCATTGGCACGGTCCTGGCTGCCTTCTAAAGTGTTGCCACCCTACATGATACTCAAACAAAGGGTGGCGCGTGTGCTTTTGGAAGTTTAGGTTCCCCCTTGCAGAGGGTTGACAGTGAGGATGCCATCAGTTTCCACCGACGTGAGTGAGTCCCGCTACAAAGATACAGACAGGAGGTGTGAAGGTGTCAAACTGGCGCGAGTGACGAGTCCCAAACGACTTTATGAGCCATCAAAATACCACCAAGCTGACAAATGTCCGGTGAATGTTGCAAGCAACTTGGAGGAGAAGGTCAGGAGGACGAGGGGAAAGCTGCCAGCGGCAGCAAGGAGTGTTTCTGTGGCCTGTTACACCAGGTAAATGCCCTTTGTCCAAGGAAGTTGGCCGCCCTGTCACACAAATGCATATGTACGGGTATGCATACATTGAAGCATATCTGCCAGAGTACAGATCTTACTATAAGTAACTCTTACAAGTGGATGGATTTGTAGCTAGTCAATTCATCCTTGACTATGGTAGCAATGGGTATGAACACTGGAAAAGACGCGGAGTGGTTCATCTAGGCGACCTTGCAGTTGCAATCGAAGAGATTTCTCTTTTCTTTTCAGTTTGCACTTCGTGAAGATGGCTGATCCTGCACCAACACCAAGAGCACCAATGGGTCCCAAGAATATCATGCCTATGACACCGCCAATGACTCCGCTCCGCATCGTTGCCTTCTTTCGGTGCTGCTTCAATCGGAACAGCAGTTCATCCCCCGTGATGGTGTTGGGCGCCGCTCGGAGGTTGCTGTTGGCAACTTGGTTTTCTTCCGTCACAAAGCTTCGAGCTGAGGGCGTACTGAAGCCATCATCGGTATAGTCTGGGACGACATCTACGACTTGAATTGTGCAATCGTCGCTGCCCTGTTGTGGTTGTTCCGGTATGGGTTGATCTTGGACTTCAGTTACAAACTCGGCAACGGGAAGGTCGCCTGGAGAAGCTTGTAAGGTAGGATCATCACTGGCAACTCGTCTCACGCTCTGTTGAGGAATCATTGGAGCAATGCTGTCTTTGCGAATTGTGCAGCATCTGGGGAAGGATGAGCTTGTTGCGCCTTGCAGGAACATTGTAAAAGGGTGCGTGGGCTGTTGTTGATTGTTGTGAGCAAGGGACACGAAGAGAGGGGAGCCCTTCGGAAGCTTCGCTTTGCTTCCGCCTGTCACGTCACACGAATGGAACGAATTGGCTCACAAGATTCAAAAAGGAACCCCTCCCCCACAAGGATCTTTCTCGACCGCCAATGGTACCAGTACCAGGTAAACGGAGCAACGACGGCCGAAGCCCAAGGCCAAAACAGCAAAACAAAAATAAGTCAGCGGGAGCTGCGATACCTCGGCAGAAAGACAGATAGAAGAATGATGACATATTTGAGATTGCACTCTTCTTTCAAGGTAGCCCTGGCAACAACACCCGACTTCGTCGTGTGTGTTGCCACCCGGTGTCATTCCTTCATTATAACCTTCTTTTTTATTTAATCTAGCCCTGATGACAACACCCGACTTCGTCGTGTGTTGCCGCCCGCTAACCATAATTTTACAGCTGTCACTCCCGTACGTACCTGTAACTTTTGTAGCTTCTGCTTGCTTATTGTGTTGAGTGCACTAACCTTGAATAATCACGATTTATTCCTATCCCTAAATTTGTAGAGTTGGCTTGTGCTATCTCTACCCTATATTTGGCTTCACCGGAACAGGAAACAGGAAACAGGAAGCAGGAAACAGGAAACAGACAGGAAGCAGAAACAGGACCGTGACGGTTTTTGCTCAGGCTTTAAAAACAGCCACGACTGACTATTGTCCTGGTTCTTGATAAGGGGATGTTAAAGGGATGTACAGATTTAAGGGGATGTTTAAGGGGATGTTGAGTATTTAAGGGTTGTTGTTAAGGGTTGTTTATTAAGGGGAGTTTGTGTGTGATAAGGGATGTTGTATGGCGTTTCAATGAAGCTTAAGGGGTTGTTTCGAGGATATAAGGGGATGTTCTTAAGGGGTTGTTTTTTAAGGGGTTGTTTAAGGGATGTTGAAGATTTAGGGGGTTGTTAAGGGGATGGTTAAGGGGATGTTTAAAACCGTTCTCAGTCGTGGCAATTTCAAGATTTTTTAAATCCTGAGTTTAAACCGTCGGATCTTGAATAATCACGATTTATTCCTACTTCTAAATTTGTAGAGTTGGCTTGTGCCTATCTCTACCTCTATATTTTGGCTTCATCGGAACAGGGAACAGGAAACAGGAAACAGAAACAGGAAGCAGGAAACAGGACCGTTCGACGGTTTTCGCTCAGGCTTTAAAAACGGCCACGACTGACTATTGTCCTGGTTCTTGATAAGGGGATGTTAAGGGGATGTACAGATTTAAGGGGATGTTTAAGGGGATGTTGAGTATTATATTGACCAGTGTCAATTTAGATCAGGAAAGTAGAATCCATCAACTTAGCTGTAGCAGTCACGTTGCAGTTGTGTGCCAAGGGCCAGAGAAGTCACGATGCCTTTATCCGATGCGATTGGAGAGCACTGGAATAAGTTGAAATTTATGGTGATGATTGGTGATGGCATCACAAATTGTATTCTCCTACCAGAGGATTTCACACCATTTCAATTGTCCGTTCCCATAAAGCATCTGTATCGCAGGAAGAAGAATACAGCCAAACTTCTCTCCAACTTTCGAGAAAAGCTTGCCCAGTACATCATTAAGAATGCTGGTTTCAAGCATCCCTATATCAATTACATTGTTTGGGACGAGGCAGTGTGTCTCGAAATCTACGGAAACAAAAACTATGATTTGATCTATGTGGAAAACACCCAAGAATTTGATGCAGGTATCAAGAATATTCTGACCCATGAGGGTTTCGATCCAGAACACGACCAGATTGCCATTTTGTTCAAGCAAGACGTAAAAAACGATGCTGTGCCCACTAGTGAGACAAAAGATACCAGTAAACCACCAGTGGCCCTGAAAGCTGCAGGGCCGAAAGAACTGGAACATGGCAGTGACACTTCACTTTCCAAAGACCAAATTACGGTGAAGCCTCCAGCAAAAGTGTCCGCTGCCATTGACGAACCAGAGGGGCTTGATCAGTCGACTATTATGACTCCAGCAAAGAAGGTTGACAGTGTTCCGCTAGATAACACGCAGAAAGACTCATTGCCACCCACTTCCAATAAGAGCAGTGGGTTTTCCAAGGGGGATTACAATTCATTACCTGCAGGTGGCAAGATCTCGGGAGGGACAGGAGGAGGACACAGCAGGGACTTGGTGACTGTGGATGGAGCTTGGGCAACTGCCGAATCCGGTGGTGGTCGAGACGAACTTTCTGGGTCCATTGGCGGATGGGATCAGTTCAAGGCAAACGAGAAGCTGGTCAACGTCAAAGTACCCCCCTTTGACCTGGATTTGCACTCTACCAAACTGGATAAAACGCAATTGGGCAGCAGGCAAGTCGGCGAAGCGGAAGGAATGGCTCTTGAAATTGAGTTGACACTGGATAACAAGGCCGTCACCCGAATCTTTGGAATGAAGACTTCCAAAGAGGACCCTTCGTTCAAACCAAAGTTGCAGGCCATCTATATCGGCAAGGGCAATGCGAGCGACAATACTGACAATCTTTTTCGTGTAAGTGGCACCCTAGCAGAAGAGTATCAGGTTTGTTTGTAAGGTTTTATGCTAACCCCCCCTTTCTTGTTGCCTTACATGTAGCTGATCCTTGCCGATGGAACCAAATGTATCAGAGGGTTCCTCAGCAAAAGCAACAACCGCTTTGTGGACAACGGCTCACTTCAAAAGAATTCCATCATTTCATTGCACAAATTCGTCACGAGAATGGATGCTGGATATATGTTTGGCCAACGGTATATTCTTGTCTACACCTTGGATATCATTGAAAGCAATCCAGGAAAGTGCATTGGGGAACCCAGCAATATTAACGAGTTCCCTGTTGGAGGAGTCCCTCCTTCTCAACGACAACAAGCGGGAGCGGAAGAAAGGCAACCAACCACTGTAAAGTCAGAAGCCGGCAACTCACGTCGCAAGCTTCACCCACCAGAAACCAAAGCAAGTGAGCAAAAGATGGAATTGGATCAAGCAATAGACGAGATGAAGAACAATCTCAGCAATTCTGCAATCCTAGTTGGCCAGATTCGACGTGTCCCACACAGTCTGAGACGCATATTTGGACCAGAAGATGGGCCCAGCTTGCTGCTCCTATTGCAGCATCATCAAGCAACGGGAAAGCTGGCCTTGGTCCTCGTTTTAGCATTGAAAATGCACTCGACAAATCTAGAACTCCAGAGGCAAGCCTCATTGGTGGTTTGCCGTGCTAGTATCAAGGTCAGCAGTTTCCAGCAATCATTTTTGAAGCAACATGGTGCAGACATGTTGGTGATCGCATTGGAAAGGTTATTGGAAGACAGTGAAGTGTGCCATGCAATAGTTTCCTTTTTCCGACTATTGGCTGATATGAAGTTCGAGACTGCCAAGACAATTATTGGGTTGCGTAGACTCCATGGTCTTAATTTGGAGTTTAGGTCCCCACAGGAGAATCAACATGCCCTGCTCAACAGGGCACTCTTCAAAGCAGCGGGCACAATTCTCCAAGCCCTCAAAATGCACAGCACGTCGGTAAAAATCCAAGAGGATGGATTTGAATGCCTTGAGCGCACTTCCTATGACGTCGACAAGCAAGGAGAAATCTTTGTTTGGGACTTGCCCTGTGATTCCATCAATCTAGTGAACACGATATTGCGATTGCATAAGATGTTTGCCAATCATGCAAAGATCAACGTCGATGCATGTAGTCTACTCCACAATGTCCTACATCGCTCCAGGGACACCATTGGCAGAACGGCTGCACTCGTCGATCGAACAGGCCAGGCAGAAGCTTTGATTGGTTTGGCAGAATTCACCATCCGGAAGCATGCGGGTGCGGAAGAAAGGATTCTTTGGGGTGCTTTTATGGTGACGTGCACGGTGCTCTCTCGGTACCCTCACTTGGCACCAGGGAACATGTGTGCTTTGATGTCCTTTTGGAAGGAGCAGCCAAACAATCTTCTTTTGGCAACAACTGGCTTTGCCCTGCTTGCGCCCATTGACTTGGGGGCAAGTGGCATGATGGACAACCCACAGGGAATCATTGAATTGGTGGTCAACGGAGCCCAGTTGGCACGAAAACAGGAGGACCCTGTTATGTTTGAGGATTGCACCTTTGTTCTAAAGGAACTTGCCAAGAGCACTGCTTGCCGTAGTGCCATGACAGCTGTCCCCAAGCTTGTTGCCTCAATCACCATTGCCCCTCAAGAGGACATTGGTTGTTCAGAAGAGGTCAGTGTACATGTCATTTGCATCCTTTCATCATTGGTACGTGAAGGTGGCATCAGTGCCATTATGCCTGACGAGAGCCCCTATTGCTGTGTTCATGGCATCATCAATGCAATGAGTTCAACTCCCCATTACCTATTTGTCCAAAAGGCTGCGTTCCGTCTCCTTTCCATGGTGGACTTTACAAAGGCTGCTGCCAAACTTGCTTTTACAAAAGCAGGGGGGCCTTGCACAGTTATCGCCTCCCTTTCTGAACACTTCTGGGACGAAAAGCTATCAGAAAATGCTTGCAAGCTGATGAACATGTTAACCTGGTCTTCAAATGGACTCAATATGGAGCCACTTTTGGAGGGCCTGTTGGCGGCGGACAATGCTGTGGTTGTCATCTTGAGACCCTCGAAGGTTCCTTAAAAATGAGACTATTTGGGATGAAGGAGGCACCTCTGTCTTTCGACTCAATGATTGGCAGTATGACAAGAGAATATGTGGAATGCCAATCACGGAGGGCACCCAGCATGGATAGACAGGGGGAAATGGGAGGGCACGCAAAGATGCAAGCAAAACAGAGCTTATGTTTGCCTGGAGGGCCACCATCAGCAACGCTAGAGATTCAGCACAAATAAATGTAACGTACTACTAGAAGCTAGGCCTGCTAAGCTCTTTAAACACAATAATACTTCACAGAAACACACTCTTGCCTAACGTAGCTAGGAACCGATACAATGTGGCTAGCTACTAGAGAAGCATCAAAGCTACAGCTCCCCGTAGCTGGATATGTACATTCTCTATGCGTGTCCTAGCAATTCACAAAACTCTTCTTCAAGACGCTTCACTATCACAGATGCTCCCCATTTCTCATACAGCTGTTTGGCCGATTTCAAATGGGGAACAGCAGCTTCAGGTTCCTTCTCGAGAACGCATCGTCCCAGTTGCTCATACGCCAACGCTTCTTCTGTGATAAACCCTCCTTTCTGGCTGTGCCATATGGACGAACGATACCTTTCGTACGCCTTTCGGCGGTCCCCCCGCAACCAGGCAATTTCTGCTTCCAACAGGATTGACTTCCCCAGAAAGTTGACAGGGGAGTGGTAGGCCCAATCCTGGAGACGTTTCAAACATCGTCGGGCGTGTAGGATGCTGCGATAGCGCCGTTTGCCTCTTCGTGCTTGGGCCAACAGAACCATGCATTCATAAAACATGGTATATATTCCGTCCATAGCGCCACTCGAGTCCATGTAGATGTAGCGAGCAGAGTCGGAGTACTCGTAAGCTCTGTCGTAGTCCCCCAGGAAGTACGAAACCTTCATTTGGAAGAATCTACGTCAAACAATAATGTTAGCAACGTTCTGCGAGGAATCCTCCTCAGAGCTAATCCACGCGACAACACATCATCTCACCTCATCCAATGCATGAAGTATGGATTTGCTCCATTTCTGGCTTGCTCCACATGTTCATCTACGAGCTCTCCTTTCAACAAGGCTGGATCCTTGGCCTGGCCCATGAGATTCAAAGTCATCTGAGAATGCGTGCAGTAATGTGTGAGGATCGAGGTATCAATATAACGTAACCAGTGCAAACACACGTCATACCTGCCATAGCGGTTTGATCATCACAAGCGACAGCTTCTGGCCGTAGAACTCAACTCTCCCACCAAGTCTCCGAAGCTCATTTTCCAGCGCGGGTAATGACATAAGCTCCGAGAAATTCCAGCAAAGCAGACAAGCACAAAGCATGGCATATTCTACGTCGCCAGCTCTCATCCCGGCTTTTTCAGCTGTACGGAGGGGTTCCATAGCACCTCGGATGGGAAACTTTCGACTGTAGATTGAACCATAGAAGCCGCACAAACTTCGACAAACCCATACCGCCTTTTTCCAATGATTGCTTATTCTAACGCCAAGTTCGCCGTAACGGAAACCATCATCGGGCTGGTCGTAGCTGATGATGGGTGAGTCGGCGAGAGTGAGTAGCGCTTCAATGCATCAACTTCGAACAGTGCAAAACAAGCCCGACATACCGGCAAAGTATCACGCCATAAAAAACAAACCCAACTGAAGATAAGGCACTCAAGCCGTGTTTCATTGTCAGCTCCACCATTCGGAAAGCCATGAGGGAACAAAGCCTGGGCCTGGCGTAAACCGCGTACAAGATGACGTGGTTGAGAATCGACATGGCGGCTACCTTTCTAGCATTCTTCATCCTCGACATTTGTAGTATGAAATCATCAGATTTTCCCTTCAGCATGGATTTTAACCGATGAGCATCCCAGTAGACACGCCACAGTGGCGGCTTCGTAGATGGGAATGTTTCTCCCAGCAACTTCAAAGTCGCAAGGCCCATATCTATCGCTTCCAGCTGTCTGTTTCGGGTGCCCAAATAATAGATCATTGTTGACCTAGCCAGCAAGCTGTCCTCAAAAGTCCTCGCGTTCTCCAGCACCTGCTTAAGGAGATCGTCCAGCTGGGAAAACTCTCCATTAGCGTAGCAGACTTCAATTGCTGTATTAAAGAGACTCAGACTCAGGTCATAATTGTCTCTGCCCCAGGTCTTTTGGGCAGCCACAATTTTAATACCGTACGACAAGCATCTCCAACTGGTTTGAAAGCCGAGATACTTTGCGGCTTTCTGTCCAGCGTCAAGGCATAGCCAAGCTACGGCACGGCGGTCCTCTTCTTTGGAAATCATTGTATCTCCCAACATCATTTGAAACATCAACGTAGAGTAGAAAAAGCTATTTTGCTGATCCTCCAAGTGCAGCCAGAGGCGTTGGCCAATTCGAAGGTGGTAGGCTGGACGTTCCAATTCCGGGATCAAGTCATAGATAGCTTGCTTGACGCCATCACTGGCAAACCAATAAACTCCATTGCGGTAGGTAAGCAATCCACGAATGTCGGCAAACTTGAGGTGTGCTTCCACCGAACCCACAGTGTCGATCATTTTCAGCAAAGATTCATCGACGCGAAAGGTCATGAGACAAGCGGCGATCTTCAGAGTCTCTTGAATGTTGTCTGGAAGAGCCAAGACCTTGGCTTTGAAGAGGTCGGGGACACTGTGAATATTCCCCAGTGTCAATGGGATCTTTTCAAAATCGAAGGTCCATTGCTGTGTCGAGTCGTCAAATTGCAAAACACATTCTTCTTGAAAGAGTCGCAGTAGCTCCTTGATGAATGTGGGGTTTCCTTTCGTCAATCTGCACACCACGTTCTTCAATGACCGGGTTTCTTCTTCAGGTAACGACAACGCGTCCGCCAGCATGCAATGAACACTATCCTCTTCGAGATTATCCAAGTGTATCTCGGTGATGTTGAGATTGGGGTTAGTGTTTGACAGTCGCCAAGACCTTTTGAAACGAGCATCGTCAGCTTCGTCTTCGCGGTACGTTCCCAAGAACAAAATCCCAGCGTTGGCTGGGTCTGTGACGAGGTACAAGAGAAGGTTTATGGCCTCTTCGCTCATCCAATGACTGTCGTCCCAAAGCAAAATAGTCGACTGTTCTGGATCAACGGAAGCAATCGTCTGTAGAAAGAGACCAAACACTTCTTTCAGTCGTTGCATGGCCATACAGGCGTAAGTTTCTTGCTGCGATTCTTCCTTGATGGGCATGGTTTCGCTCTCGTCCATGGTATTGACCTTGCTACCCGAAGCCCAACTCTTCTTTGTCAACAGAGCATCCAAAGCAGGCGATAGATTGGACAGTAGAGTTACATCTTCTTTCAATGCCTCAATCAGCGCATCGCGGTACCGCTGTGTCATCTTGCGATCTTCCCGTTCTATCAATTGCTCGCAAAAATCTGTGACAATTGCCGCAAAGAACGCCGTCGGATCCGTCCACTGGATTGGTTCCGACTTGAAAAAGAAGAAGAATGGCCGATCTTCCTTGCAATTGTCTTCTCCAGTGTCGTTTTGATCTTCTTCGAGCAATGGGTGCCTCAGAGTCTGGGCCAGTGTTGTCTTGCCCACACCCATGGATCCTTCAATGAGTACTACGTCAATCTTACAAGAAGCGGACGGTCCCTCCTTTTGATATAGTTCCCGTTGCTGCTTTTGCCGTGCGTAAATGGTTGTCAACTGATCTCGCTCTTTCCATCTCCCATAGACGCTTCCTCCTTCTTTTTGGGCAGAGTGTAACTGTTCCGAGATTCTCCTGGTATACTTTTGTGGCTTTTTAAACCGGGCAGGAAGACGCGGTGGTGGTTGTCCAAGGAGAGCCGCCCGTTTCGCTTCTTCGCTTTCCGTCACTCGCCGTACAATGTTGGCCACGGAAAGCATTGCGGGAGGTTCCGTCTTGGTTTCCTCGTCCAAGCTTATTGTAGCCCGCCTATGCAGCAAGTCATTATTATTGGAGGACGTGCTAGTTGTTGTTGTAATTGAGGATATAGAAATACTGGTAGCGGGAGGTTTGGAGGATGGTTGCAGAGTTGTATTGTTGGCTGCTTCATTTTCCTTTTGTTGTTGTCTTATTAGTGTGTCGAATTGCGTACTACATGTAGTAGCACTGCTCTCAGTGCATGTAGGTGTGTTTTTCTTCTTGGGTGTCTTGTCGTCACAATCCTCTTTTTCTCGTTTTGTGGATCCCACAATGTCACTGACACATCCGTGGGTCTTGCTGAGATATTTGAAGGCTTTGCTAATCTTGGAACGTGCCTTTTTGTCGCCGACATCCTTCCAGAGAGGAAATTTGGTCTCCCCCTCGACCACCAAAAAGCGTCCAGGAGGATTCTGATTCCGCCATTCCTGCAACACTGTCACTGTCACTAGCGCCTTTTCCATTTTGCTCCGTTGCTCGTAGTCTCCTAAATGTCGCATCAGCAACTCCATGAAGCGTTGGTTGCCTTGAAGACTTGCCAGTAGATGATGATTGTCGTGTTGTGGGCCTCCCGTAAATAATGTGTGACTTCTCCAGCAAGGAATGGGCGACTCATTTTCTTCTGCTTCTTCGTCGGGAGCCTTCCTGTTTGTACGGCGATGCGACTCTGGCAGGCACAAGAGAACATCGTTCTGCTCATGTGGCTCGGATATACGGTACAGTGGCCAGTTGGATTGACCGCTTTCGTCTGCCATCCTGAAAGTACCGCACTAGTAGTCTGATAATCAAGGGATGTATGGGAGCGTGAGAGCCGTTCGATAGATTAGTAGACTCTTGACAATCTAATCTTTCATCGTCCGAAATGCTTTAAACTTCCCTCCATCTGCTGACGAATGAATGAATGAATACTCGAGATAGAGTAGATCTACTAGCCTTGGTTGGGCTTCATCGCGTCGATGAGTTAGTTGATGATGAGTGGCAATTACAATGATGAATGATTTGAAAGCATCACCACAATCACTTTTTGGACGCACTTTCTCCTTCCTCAGAACTCTTCGGAAAACGTGGCCTCCCATCGTGGAAACTGCCACGAGGCAATTATTTCTCTCAACCGGTTGAGATCACGGTCCTTTCGTCGAGAATGAGGGTGGTTCGGCAAAGACTAAGCTATGGTTAGAGGAGACGGCTCTATTCGATTCGACTTGGAGGAAGAGCATTCAGCTAAGTTTTTCTCACTCTCCTTCCTCTTCCTGCTGGAGTATCTGCCTGCTTGTCATTTTGCTTTTGTTTTCTCTGGTAGCTTGCTTGCCAAACAGGGAAGTTCTTTTGACAATTAATCCTTTCAATCGAAAGGAGCAACGTCATTGCATCCAATGCATCAATGCATCCAATGCATCAATACTTCCCACTTCTCTAATGGCTCATTTCTTGCAAATCGCCCACCTCTGGTTCAGTAAAGACGATCTTGTGGGTCTTCGTACCAGTCGTGAAACGAAGTTGTGGTTCTTGAAAAGATACATAGAGTCTACTTGCCCTGCTCGTGAATTCATCGCATACCGCGGTCGAGGAAACTAAGACAACGAGGCTCTCGTCGTTGCAGCTTTCACCGTGAGATACCCCGGGATCGCTGCCCTGATGCACAATAAAATCCTTCGTTTTCCCCCCTTTCTGAATATATCTATTGGTAGTATGGAACCATGCTGACGACAAAACGAACGAAGCAAAAGAACAGAACAGATCAGGGAACCAACCAACCGATCCACCCTTTGCCAGCGATAACGACAAACGACAGCTGCTAATCATTGTAACGAGCTCTGGCTGGGGAACATCACGTGTTTCCACCGATATACGTAGAGCCGCCAACTCAACGACTCGTCGACGTCGTCGTGGTTTCAATAAGGTGAGGTTTCCAGGTCTCCAACCTGGAACTAGGGCTCTTCCGCAGTACTGGCGATGCCCTCTGCTCTTGACCAGAATGAAAATTGGTACCGGTAGGTCAACCTTGTTTCGAAAAACTCGTGCCTCTGTTGGTACAGCTAGTTCCAATTTCCAACAACCTCGGCAGGTGTCCCGAGACGAGTCGTCTTCCAATCCACGGTACTAGTGTATAAGCTTTAGCAAGAAAAGATATAAGAAGGGTATTCGATTGCGGCAATTGCCGTCCAAAGAAATTCGGCCGGAAGGGTCTTTTCGAAATTCATGGCTATGAATAAACTACGGGTTTCCAAAAATAAAATGTGACAGCATCCTCCGGACGACCCTCTGCCTTTCCGGCTTTCCCGACAACTTGGATGTGCCTACATGTATTCAAACAATACAGCCTCGACCTCTTAGAGGCGGAATGTTCGTTCGTTTTCGTACCTTCTTTGGAGTGTAGCATCTACACGGGCAAGCAGTCTTTGGTTGGCTTCCTCCATCGAAGGTACAAGGTAGAGTGCATCTAGCCTCTGTTCAAATTGACACCCGAATTCAATGTTGTTTCTTAGGTGCTTTGGCAGAAATGGCTTGAGCATAGAAACCACAACATTCATTGTACTCGAGGCATTGAAGTACTTGACCTTGTCAAAGCAGACAGGATAGACTGTGGCCACTTCTGACCACACTTTCTTCAGGCTCTTGAAGTCCATGTCAGTTTTCCAGTCATATCTAAGCAAGTCAGAAGAAACAATCAACAAGGGTTGAGAAGTTGCGCGCAATCTAGACAAAGCTCTTCAACAAGAAATCACGCACCCCTCACATTCGACAACCAACACGGTGCCATTACGAATAGCCTCAAAATCAGGGCAGAATATTGTGCAAGTATAGTAGGAACCACCAAGCCAAGCATGGATCCTCTCAGGTGATCTGACTTCTCGAACTTCAAATTTTGTGTTGTCATAGATCATCACGTAACTACCCGAATCATGGTAGTAGCTGAAACACAGATGGAATCCAGGGAAGAGCTTCATATAATCACCAAAACACTTCACGCCATCCTGAGCAGAATCAAGAATTCCGTATTCTTCTCTGAAGCATTGAAGATGATGCACTCTTTCAATGGCTGCATCCGTATTGTCACCATCTATCAATGCCAGCTGCACACACATAAAATCGCTCACAGAATCCACATCTGGTGCAGCAGCAATGGCTTCTTTGATATTGATTGCAAGGTTCCTTTCTTCCTCTGATAAGTTCATGCGCCCTGGGCTGTCTAAACTCAATGGAGGGCGCACGTTATTGGTCTGGGCATCTGCGGCATCTGCGGCCTCTCGATCTCCAGCTTCGTCATACACTTCTTCGAGGTCTTCACCTTCGTCTATCGCGTCATCGTTAATACGGACCTGACCATGTTGCTCGTTTCGCACCGCTTCATAGTCTTCAATCACTTCTGCCATGGCTGCAATAGAGTGCCGCTGGGTCTAACGATCTCGTTCCAGTAAAATGGTATCCGGATAGGCATACGAAGAAGGCAGGTGCACCCGTGAATTGTCTGGGAAGTGGATGTCGTCTACAAGAAATTGGGGTGCTTCTTGCTGCTTCTCTTGTCTCTTGTCTTCTGTGTTTCGTTCATCAAGGTTCATGTTCGTTGAGTGGTGACTCACTGGTCACATACTGGCCTGGATACCTTTAATTCCCTCGTCGCCTTTCCACGGAAGCCTTCAAAATGTATGTCTCAATGTCTCTTTCCCCTTTTAAGCTTTCCCGTTTCCCGTTCCCTTTTTTTTTTAAAGAATGGTCCTGTGACAACTGTAGTCAGCTCAGCTGTCTTGTTTTCTCTGGTATTGAATTCCCAAACTTGGGAAAATATTCTACACTTTAGGCGCTGAAACGGCAATGCCAACAAACACGAGATCCCAACGTACCACGCAGCAGTGACTATTGGCACACGTACCACGGAGGTTGCTAGACCAAGCGCCAATCTAGATAGATATGTAGCTACTAGTAGAGTACCAGAAACAAATGAACATAAAATCTTATGCAATTCTGGCAAGTTATAATACTAGCTAGTAATGATGATTGATCATTCAGCTCAAGATCACAAAATTGAATGACAATCTCAAAGCTCGAAAGCTCTTTCATTGTAATACCTCTTCTGGAGAGTTTCCTCGACTCGGGCAAGCAATCGTTCATTGGCTTCCTCCACTGTTGGTACTAGATAGAGTGAATCCAGTCTCTGTTCAAATTGGCAACCAACTTCTACATTTTTCTGGAGGTGCTTGGGGAGGAATGGTTTTAGCATGGAGACAAGCACATTCATTGCAGTTCCTGAATTGAAGTATTTCATTTTTTGGAAAGACATGGGATAGACACTTGCCACCTCAGACCAAACCCTCTTTATACCTTCAAGCAATCGCATGTCCCTCTTCCATGCATACCTGTAATATAATATAAAAGCATAATGCATTCTGATCATGAGTTCGCAGCATCAATGATGAGGGCCGTTCATAACTGATAAGCAGACTTACCCCTCATTTTCCAAAACCACCACGGCCCCAGAGCGGATTGCTTCAAAATCTGGGCAGAAAATGGCGCATGTATAGTATGTACCACCAAGCCATGTACGGATGTTTTCTTCTGTTTTGACCTTGTTGGCATCAAACTTTGTGTTGTCGAACATCATGATGTAGTTCCCAGAATCAAAAGTGAAGCATAAGTGGAAGGTCGGAAAGAGCTCAATATAGTCAGCAAAGCACTTCCTTCCATCTGTTGCTGTATCATGAATTCCATACTCTTCCCTGAAACATTGCAGGTGGTACACTCTTTCAAGGGCAGCTTCTATGTTGTCTCCATCAATCAGTGCCAACTGAGCGCACATAAAGTCGCTGACAAGATCAATGTCTGGTGCGGCAGCAATGGCTTCTTTGATTGTGATTGCAAGGTTCCTTTCATGCTGAGATAACGACATCCGTTCAGCATTGTCACAGCTTAAAGCTCGATGATAGCCATGATGCCTAGATTCCGAACCTCCACCTCGGCCCCCTGCTCGCTCATCAGCCTCACTCTGGTCCATTTCGTAGAGGTCTTCTTCCTCGAAATCATCTCCCTGTCGATCCGAGTTCATGCCGTCAAGCAAATCTGCCATGGTTGTAGTGCAGTAGTATTGCCAGACGCGCTGACTGGCTAGTGGGTGGTATGTTGTGTTTGTGCTGTTGCTGTTGCTTGTCGGCTGAGTTGCGGCAACCGAAGTCAGGGTGTTTTGTGTGTTGAGAATCCTTGGTTCCATTTGCACCATTCGCTCTACGCTCGTCCGTTCACGTGCTATTAGAGGATGCCCTAATAATTCTCTGCCAGTATCTAGTCGGAGATGGAGATGAGAATCCAGCTTGGTTCGTTCTTCGCTCTTGAACTCACGTGGCAATTTTTACTGGCCACTGGCCGTACCGGTATGATAATACCTACCGGTATTTATAACTTGTACTTATTAGTAGTACCGTACCAGTACTGTACTAGCTAGCTAGTACCTGTACGGTGGTAAGTGGAAGGCGGAAGCCTGTCGTGACTTTTGAATGAATGATTGATTCGATTCCACTCGATTCAATCGAATTGACTGAATGAATCAATCGAAACATTCGATTGAATCGAATCGAGCTTAGTATTCATCATCCACCCGCGATTCTTGTGTGCCTGATTGGACCAATAGCTAAAACACTCCCCATGATGCAATGCACAACAATCAAGCATTGCCTATTGGTATCACCAATCCAGCTGTTAACCATGCCCGATGAAGGTTCCCAATGTTGGAGGAGGAGATGTCCAGCCAGCTCTATGTTGATGTTTCGCTCAGCTCAAGCCTAAGCTGACATTATTAAGCTCTAATGAACATAATATCTTATGCAGTTCTGGGGACAAGTTATATTACTATTAATAGTACTGATGTTTCCACTCAAGATCACAAAATTTAATGACAACCTCAAAGCCGGAAAGTTCTTTCATTGTCATACCTCAACTGAAGAGTTTCTTCAACTCGGGCAAGCAATCGTTTGTTGGCTTCTTCCACTGTTGGAACTAGATAGAGTGAATCCAGTCGCTGTTCAAATTGGCAACCAACTTCTATATTTTTCTGGAGGTGCTTGGGAAGGAAGGGTTTTACCATGGAGAGAACCACATTCATTGCAGTTCCTGTATTGAAGTGTTTCACTTTTTGGATAGACATGGGATAGACAGTTCCCACCTCAGACCAAACCCTCTTTAAACCTTCAAGCAATCGCATGTCCCTTTTCCATGCATATCTGTGGTGTAATGTAAAAACATGAGGCATTCTGGGCATAATTTTCGCAGCATCACTGATGAGGGCCGTTTGCAGCAACTAAGCAGGCTTACCCCTTATTTTCCGAAACTATTATAGCCCCAGAGCGGATTGCTTCAAAATCAGGGCAGTAAATGGCGCAACTATAGTAGGTACCACCAAGCCATGTACGGATGTTTTCTTCTGTTTTGACCTTGTTGGCATCAAACTTAGTGTTGTCATAAATCATGACATAGTTCCCAGAATCAAAAGTGAAGCATAAGTGGAAGGTTGGAAAGAGCTCAATAAAGTCAGCAAAGCACTTCCTTCCATCTGTTGCTGTATCATGAATTCCATACTCTTCCCTGAAACATTCCAGGTGGTGCACTCTTTCAAGGGCAGCTTCTATGTTGTCTCCATCAATCAATGCCAGCTGGACACACATGAAGTCACTAACAGGATCCACATTGGGTGCAGCAGCAATGGCTTCTTTGATGATGATTGCCTGGTTCCTTTCATGATCAGATAACAACATTCGTTCGGTATTGTCATGATGCCCAGCTCGCACAATTCCACCTCGGTCCTCTGCTCGCTCGTCAACCTCATTCGGGTCCATTTCGAAGAGGTCTTCTTCCTCGAAATCGCCTCCCTGATGCAAATCTGCCATGGTTGTAGTATCAGAGGCGCTGACTGGCTGGCTTGTGGGTGATAATAATACAGTATGTTGTATTTGTGCTGTTCCTGTTGCTTGTGCTGTTCCTGTTGCTTGTGCTGTTCCTGTTGCTCCTGTTGTTCCTGTTGCTCCTGTTGCTTTTGCTTTTGCTGTGCTTGTTGGCGAAAAAATGCTTATTTGCGCGAGTGTTTTGTGTCGAATACAGAGCTACTGGCTAGAGTAATTGATGGAATGCAGTGATGAGAATCCCAAATCCCAAAGCTAGCTTGGTTCGCTCTTCGCTGCGTGGCTGTTGCGCTGCTGGTGACCACAGTGGTACCGTTTCTGGAACCCAACAGCACTTGTGAGTAAAGTACGATACTCGAGTACAGAGTTCCTTCGTCTAAAGACGCCTCTAAATCTTTCCTGTGTCTCTGCGTGCTACCCCTTCTCATCATCTTCTAAATGGTTAATTAATAGTCTTGTGAGCAACAGTGAACTATGCATATCAGTGTCCAAGCGGAAGGCCGGAGCGCTGAAAGGCTTTGGGCTGCGCCTCTGAACTCAGTGGCCGTTCGGGGTCGCTTTGGCCTTGAGTGGCCAGCCGCTATCACACTGTCATCCATGTACCGTACACCGTACAGTACATGACATTGTACATTGTTTCTTTGTTGCGCCGTTGCTTTGCAGCTCCAGCCAATCTCCCAGATGGAGTTTTAGATTCTCAATGTTTTAATAATAATATGTTAGTTCTTGGCGCCTAGTTTTCAGCATCATTGATCATTCCATGCCGCGATTCTTGTGTGCCTCATGTGACCAAAAGCTAACACCCCCATGACGTGCACAATAATCATGGTTATTGATATCACTAATCCAGCTGTTGACCAACCCCAATGAAGGTCTTGCAACCAATGGATGTTAGCAAGAACAGCCAGGACCACTGCATGGAACTAGATATGGTTAGGCCGGTCTCTACCGGAGCGACTAAGGGACCGACTAAAGGAATCCTTTAGGTGGTTGTTTAGTTCAAGATTTAGTCACTATCCTTTAGTAATGGTGGTGTCTACCAGCAGATGACTAAATCTCGGACTAAACAATTTAGTCAGTTCTTTAGTCATTTGGACCTGTCTACCCAGCCGACTAAACAAATTGGACCTGTCTACCCAGCCGACTAAACAAATTGACTAAACAATTCATGGGAACAGTACTGGACTTAAAGGACTCAAAAAAGATTTAACAAAAGTGATCACTTGGTGGGCTACCAATATTCTATCAGCATGGTGGATTTAAAGGACTAAAACAAAGACTTAAAGAAGTGATTACTTTTTTGAGATAACAAGACTCAAAACACACCATTGCGATGCACCTCTACTATCATTCAATCGTTCGATCGTTCGCACCTCTCCTCTATTGGCACTGATTCGATGGCCTAATAGTGAGGCTAGGAGTGTGGAATTTGTTATCCAACTCAGTGGCATGCAGTTGTATCGGCCGATACTCCTCTTCGATCATTCGATCGTTTGCACCTCTACTACTCCTCTTCGATCGTTCGATCGTTTGCACCTCTACTACCGGTATCGGCCGATACTCCTCTTCGATCGTTCGACTACAGTATCGTTTGCACCTCTACTCTATCAGCTCTGTCGCGATGCTCTGATAGTGAGGCTGTGCAATGAGGGTGCTATTCTTTTTTAAAAGTGCTGTTCTTTTTTTAAAAGTGCTGTTCTTTTTTTAAAGAGTTCTTTAAGGCCGCTCTCTACCCAAGGGACTAAAGTAGCGACTATAGGAAACCTTTAGGTGGTTGTTTAGTTCAAGATTTAGTCATTATCCTTTAGTAATGGTGGTGTCTACCAGCAGATGACTAAATCTCGGACTAAACAATTTAGTCCAGTTTTTAGTCAAAACATGGTGTCTACCATGGCGACCTGGCGACTAAACAAATGACTAAACGGAACACTACTGGACTTAAAGGACTAAAAAAAGATTTAACAAAAGTGATCGCTACCAATATTCTATCAGCATGGTGGATTTAAAGGACTCAAACAAAGATTTAACAGAAGTGATGATTACTTTTTTGAGATAATAAGACTGAGATAACAAGACTACAAATACACACCATCGGTCGATCGTTTGATCGTTTGCACCTCTACTCTCTCTTTTGCACCTCTACTCTATCAGCTCTGTCACGATGCTCTGATAGTGAGGCTGTGCAATGGGGCTGTTTTTTTTTTTGAAGAGTGCGACCGGATCGTCACCTCTACTATCATTCAATCGTTCGTTCGTTCGTTCGTTCGATCGTACTCCTCTTCGATCGTTCGAACTCCCACGAAGGCACCTCTGTGGTTCCTGTTGGAATTTGTTATCCACTTGGTGTGCAGTGGTATTGTTTTGCACCTCTACTCTACAGCTCTGTCGCGATGCTCTGATAGTGAGGCTGTGCAATGAGGTGCTGTTCGCTGTTCTTTTTTTAAAGCTGTTCTTAAAGAGGCTTTAGTCGTTATGTTCGCTCACCGACTAACCAGCCTCCCGTTAGTCGGTGAGCGAACATAATGACTAAAGCCTTTAGTCCGTGGGACGTTTAGTCGCTTGGGTAGACACCACCCCCAGAGACTAAACTATCAACTAAAGTACGAAATATGGCTTAGTCGCTACTTTAGTCGCTTGGGTAGAGAGCGGCCTAATCACCAGGCCAGGCAAAGACCAAGTCTATGGGTAGTAAGTAGACTATTTTAAAATATAGCTAGCTAGTAGTTGTAGTAGAGCCGGGTTGTAGTTTGCCTTAACCTTGTCAAGTTATTAGTGGGTGTTTTGTTCTATTATTTCTATAGTATTATGAATGTCAAAATTGTGTTGTTTGGAGGTGGATGTGTTCTTGGAGTTGTTTGGATCATAACTTGATTATTTCCAGAACATCCACCATAGCTTATCCTCTTGTTCTCCACAATTGAGTACCCTTCCAATTCTGTATTTTCTCCATAACTTTTTTCCCTTGTTGGAATGGAATTGCAAGTCTTGCATACAATCCGCAACTCCTCCACATTTCTTGAGGATGGAGTTCTTGCCACCAGGATGACAGGCAATGTAATCAGTAACATCGTAGACATAACCACCTGCTACCAGCCAGGCAGATTCCTCAGTGGCATGTCTCCTGATTTGACACATAGTGTACCTAGCTTCCCCATTCTTGCAGTCGCACATTAACTCTTTACACTTCTTCATGGCAGACTTTTTCTCGCAGCACAAGCAGCCGCTGTTGCCACACACATCGTCGCACAGACGGCACGCGGTGCAACTACTATCACTACAAATATCACTTTCCACGCTGCCTACACTTCTACTAGAAACTACATGGACTCCACTACTGGGCATGGGAGCGTCAGAGTGATAGTCAGAGGGAGGAGGATGCACTACGATGCCCATGGTCAACTCTTAACAGTGTTGACGCTTCTCTAGCTAGCAGCTACTGAGCAGTGGTTTTGTGGTTGTTCTTCTGTTGTTGTGTCTGAGTTGACTTGTGTTGTTGTGATCAAGAAAGGATGGTCGTGTCGAGCACGGTGTTTTTGCCTTGCGATGATGTTTCTTCGGCTTCAATTTTTTGTCAATGACTTTTTTTGAACGAACGTGTTCCCATTGTGGTCATGTCACACTCTGCCACGCTCAAACGTGCCTGATTCTTCTTTCTGGCCAATCAAAATGCATTCTTCTCATACGCCTGTCTGATACGGTACTCAAGGCTTTAGTGTATCTCTGCCGTGTCTGGACTCGAGGCGCGTGTCCCGATGTCAGAATCCCATGCCCGGCACGGTCAAGCGGATGCTGGTCAGCCAAACTTTTTTTGACGGCCAACGGCGTTCGGCTTTGAAACAAGGCCATCATAGAACGTACCGGTACTACCGTACACTTACTTGTACCGGTACCAGTACAAGACCTCCGTGAACCGTGAACCTGGTAAAGAATGACACACCGGGATACGGGAGTCAACGTAAGGGAGTTGCTGACGGTGGGCTTTCTCGCGAACGCCATTGGCCCAAGCTTTTCTAAAAGGCTTGGTTCGTGTAGAGCAAGCGCTCGACGTGTCTATGCTCATTTTCTTCCTCGCTCGATCTCTTTGTGCCTCCGTGCATTGCATGAGCCTTCCTCGTCATGGCTCCTTCAACACTGGAAAGAACTGTAGCCTACTCCAAGTGGTACCGGTACGTGTACGTGGTACGTACATGTAGTGCACGTACCGTCTCAACAGAATTCTGGCTCTTTAGCTAAGAAGGGCTCGTTTGGGCAGGCGGGTGGATGCTTCCACCACCGCCAAAAGGTTAGGTGGGCATACCTTCAGCCGATGTAGATGCAAGCCATGAATTCAATACCGGTAACGGTACTCCCTCCATGAACTAATGGTGGCACCTCCATGGTACGCTCGGGGCCCGGGGGTGCCACTTGTACCGTACGATGTACAGTACATGTACATGTAGTTCCGATACCATACGGTATGGCTGGGAGAGCTGCTGGGAGCATGGCTAGCATGATGCATGTTACTCCGGATCGCCATGGAGTCTTAGTTAACCGCCTCTGCAGAGAGCTGGTTCGGGGTACGACGTACGAGTCCTCGTATTGTACAAGTTGTTTGGAAGCAACTCGTCGTCTATAGATAAGGGCGGTTCGTTGTTCGATGCACAGCTTCAGACTCTTTGCATGGATCTGGCTGGCTGGTGCTACAAATTGCTTCAACCACACACCAAAAGTGCGACTGCATGTCAGCCATGGAATCCCTGTAACGACGCCCGCCCTACAACAAACTTCGCGTGCTCATGCACGGTATGCAAGTGTCTTGTTTGTTGCATGGCTTAACTTGCTTTTGCTCCTTCTCCCCCGCGGCCATCCACCATTTCGTTCATCTGCCGTTAGCTTGATTGAGCAGCCAATTGATTCTTGAACCATACTAGTAATGGTACCAGCCAATAATAGGAGGTCAGCCACACGTCTAGAGACAAACGAGCCCCGTGCAAGCACGCTGGAAGCAAAGGTCATCCTTGCATTGCTATCGTCAGGCATCATCCACATACCGGTACCGTGCTAGCGCGCCTAGTTGTAGTACTGAATGTGATGGGCTGCGCTTTTGTTCAACTCGTAGTATTGACCTCGAGTGCTACCGTATGGTGCTTTCTTTCTTTTTTGAACCACCTGCAGATTGGTCGCACAAAATCCGATTTCCACAACTCGAACAAGCACAACAGCAAAACAAACCCAACCGATTTCAGTAGCCAACACGACCACCATGAAGCTCTCTGCTTGTCTTGCCCTCTTCGCACTGGCTGCATCGGCCGACGCATTTGCTCCCATCACTAACGGAGCTCCGAAAGCTACTTCGACTGCTCTCTTCGGAGGAGTCGGTATTTGGTACTCGTCCTCCACCGGAAACACAGAGACAGTGGCAGACTACATTGCCTCTGCTGCTGGAGGATTGGACTACAACGACATTGGCGATGCAACGACCGAGGAAATCGAAGGAGCGGATGCCTTGATTGTCGGAGCCCCGACATGGCACACGGGAGCCGACGAGCAACGCTCGGGAACTAGCTGGGACGAATGGCTCTACGACACCCTGCCCAGCCTGAACATGGACGGGAAGAAAGTTGCTGTCTTTGGAGTCGGAGACCAGCAATCCTACACGGACAACTTTTGTGATGCCGCCGGAGAGCTTTACGACTTGCTGTCGGCCAAGGGGTGCAAAATCTACGGCTTGACGTCGACCGAAGGATACGATCACCAGGCCTCGAAGGCAATCGTCGAGGGCGACAAGTTCTGTGGCTTGATGTGTGACGAAGACAACCAGTACGACTTGAGTGAGGGCCGGGCCCAATCCTGGATTGCCCAACTCAAGGACGAAGGGTTCTTCTGAGCTGCAGAAAATGCCGCTCTGGTGTCATGTACATTCTTCTCTGGCTGCTGAGTAGAAACCTCCTCAACAGACTAAACTAGAAAGTACAGTAAATTGAATCTCTAGCTAGCGAAGCACTGCGTACTTGCTTTGGCTGCTCCAACTTGAGTCTTTCCAATTCGGATCGTACCGGTAAGGTGCGGGAGTGAGTTGAGCTCAGACCAGCCACCCATCCATGCCATGCAAGGGGTAAAGGGGCTGTAAAAAATGGGGTCGAAAGAAAGTGTCAGATTCAGTTCCAGTGCCACAGCTACCGGTAGCTAGCTAGAGGCCAGTGCCACCACAAATGAAGAGACTTAATCTGTGGCTAAAGATTGGGTGAGCTTTTAGCCCGCAATTTAGCTCCAGACTATTCTCTACCAAAGGTGGCAAGTATAGTTGGTCCACCTCGAAGACTCCAGAGTCGGATTCAAAAGTGGAGCTGGTGATCGGTGATCCTGATGTGGCTCTGCAGTCACACTAGGACGGGGGGCTTGGTGGTTCACAGTAGCTTCTTCACAGCCAGTCCCAACTGGGTAGCAGCAAGATGCATCACACTCAGCCAGTGTAGTAGAATGGAAAGGACCCTTCGTGCGAAGTGGGCGTTCTGGGTCGCAGAGGATAGCCTCAGTTCGCTTCTTCATGCCGTTCACTGCAATGTCATCTCACCACTTTGGGAGCGACCTCTGGAAAGCTAGCTACCGGTAGCAAGCCAGCTATGAGCGTACCGCTGCCGGTATGTCAGACTAGCTAGCTAGCTAGTACATGTATGCAGAGAAGGCCAGATAGTCTACTAGATCTTGATGAGCGAGCCGATGAGTCCAGTATTTTTCTTTCGGAGTTCGGAGAAAATTCCCTACAATGATCCAACTGTTTACAACTCGGAATTCCACGAGTACGGCTGCACCGTCAGAACAGCTGATGTTCCCTCTTCCGTTTTCGAAGATCGGAAGGAAGTGTAAGTATGGAGCCTCGAGTGCTCTGAACCTACTACTAGCTACAAGGCAGCTACCGGTACCGGTAGCCAGGAGCGACCCTATGCAGCTCCTTTGCTACCGGGGGTATGGGGCAACTATAGGATATACCACAACAACAGGGGACTGTCATACTGGGCAAATACGGCAGTTACAGTGCAGTTACGTTATGTGCAGTTAAGTTTCGTGCAAGTACGTGCTATGTACAATTTACTATGTAAATTAGTGTAGTTAGTTACGTGCAGTTACGTGCAGTTACGTAGCGTTACGTGCTGTTACGTGCAATTACGCACCACTATGCATTTCGAAACCCATTGTAACGAAGTCCTAAAGTTGCCCCATACCCCGGAATGCTGGAGGTGGAAGGCCCTTGCTCGTCCGAGTGTGGGCGCAGTACCGGTAGGCCAGAGCAAACGCAATAATTTTCGTTGTAGTGCGGTACCGTAAGAGGAATGCAAGACGCACGGAAGCACCCGGATCACAGCCCTCAAGCTCTAGCTAGTTCGAACACGCAAACCACGAGATACTAGCATCAATCTGGCACCAGGTCTGGCGCCACACCAACGGGTCAAATCGCTTTGGGACCTACATTATCATTCGTACCGCTGGCCTTGGCTCCACCAACACGTACTAGCTACCTTTCCCACAGCATCTTCAACAGGATAGAAGATTGATTCGGAGTGCTACCGGTTTAGGAGATTTGGGTGAGCAAAAACCTGCAATCCCTCCCTCTCCAACAGCCAGCAGCCCAAACCACACGCACTCTAGAGAATTATTTTAAAAGTCTAAATACATAAATACATAATCCGCAGTACCAGTGGTCCAGTACTCCATACTCTACTCCAGAGTATTAAGGCCATTATGGTACTCCAGTACTGGATACTGGACTCTACTGGAGCAGTAAAGCTTTTTCTCTGCCCCAAAAGCAGACAGAAGCCTTCCAGAACAGCTGATGAGAGGGCTTCTCCTTTGCTGAATACCGTAACTCTGCGGAACCCTCCATGAGTTAGTTGGCTACCGGCATGTTTGACTGTTTGACTGAAGATGTGCGACTGTACATGTACCGTACAGTCAGAGCGAAACTATTAGTCTACCGTACGTATTCGAGCAGCTCCGAGTTTCTGGTTTGGGTACATCCAACAAAATTAATACGAAGTGTCGTCTTTCTGCGGTCGACCTAGCTAGCTAGCTAGCTAGCTAGCTAGTAGCTTTAGGTCACCCTTCCCTCCTCGCAACACCAGCCATCAATCATTGAGTTACAGTAGTTGGTGGCTGATGATGTGGCAAACTGATATGATTGCAGTGATTAAGATTCCATTCAAATCTGCCAGTGGGAAAGACAACTAAGGTTGCACCTGGCAGTGCCGTCCCCATAGTAGTAGAAGCCCTCTCGTGAATCTGCATATTATTACCACTGCTGGCCCTGTCTGACAAAGTGACCTGCTGACCAGTAACTACTGTAAAATCGTAAAATCAACCACTTTACTTGAAGCAAGTAGCACAAGGAAGTCCAATGGAAAATTGTTCCAACCAGCATGATCCGAATGATTGGCTCTGGATCTGGCTGTACGGTACGCTATCCAGTACTGGCTAGCTTCCTTCTACATGTACCGGTAGCTAGCTAGAGGGCAAACATCGGTCAAATCAAGTCTGCGCTGGTACATGTACTATGAAGCTACGCAGTTGGGTTCTCCTTTTGCCAGTTGTGTTTGGCTAACTGTTTGCCTCCCCCGATGCTGGTTGGGGAAGCATCTCTGGCTGATGGCACTCTGATGGCTCAATGGCTACGGTATTGCAGTAGCTATCGCAGTTGAAAAGAGATCTATAATGTATGTCTATAATGCTAGCTACGGTAGGGTGCTGTAGTCATGGGTGTTCTGAAAGTCAAGGCGGACCGAAAATGGGACCGACTTTTGACTTTTACCCTCTTTGTTCGATTCCATTCAGCAACGAACAGTTCGGAGCAAGATGCCCGTATGTCAGTGGGGCAATGGTGGAATGGCAAACTTTGCACGATCGACGTAAAGTGCACAAGCCTCCTGACTGTCTAATCTTTGCTCGTCGGCTAATCGGAAGCTTAGGAAAGTGAGTTTGCATCTATAGCTATCTGTAGTAAGCTAAACAATTCCCCGGGTACAAAGATATACTTTGGAATACCGAATGTGACTATGAGAATTAACGAAGATTTACCTGGTATTGGGAGCCCATCCAGCGAGAGTTGTCGAAGGTGTCCAAGCTGGCATGTAATGACATGGAAAGGCCTGAAAGAAGTCATTTTCGCTGGTTTGTTTTTGACCGAAGCATCATTGTGATTCCTTCCTGAAAGCTTTGGTACAGCTGAGTTTCCGAGTTCCGCTTAGCTGTACTGGTGGAAAGTCAATCGCATCCAGCACTGACTTACGGGAGCAGCCAAGAAGCATCCATTCATGAGAGCCAAGGCAAGAAACAGAAGGATATTGCTTTTCTCACAATCCTCCTCACAATTTCAAAGAACCAAAGTTTAAAGCTACCCTCTTCTACCTACTACTATCTAGCTAGCTAAAGATAAGACAAGACAAGATGCGCTCTACCACCTCCAACGTGTTGCCTGACTCCTTTGTGCCCAACGAACACACGATCATTATTGGGCGAGGTCGAGTAGTGAAGCAGCACAGTGCCAACCGCAAGTTTGAAAAGATGATTGAAGGGATTGCTGCAGAGTACTCTGCAGCTACTTGCAAAGCTGATAAAGGAATGATTTTGTCTCGTCTGATTGATGAGATCCACAATGCCGCGCCTGAAGCCGGATTTGTCAAGAAGGACCAAGCATCTGGGAGATGGTATACCGTGGAAGAGTCACTTGCCCGCACCACTGCTGCTCAAGCCCTGCGAAACTACCTTAGCAACTCTTATAGGTCTTCCAAGCAATTCAAGCAGCAGAGAAGACTCAAGCAGATTCAGCAGCAGCAAAAGACCAGTACTGCTAGCGGTACCGGTAGCTCTGCTGCTTCAGCTTCAGACAACTCAAGCTTGAACTTGAAACAAGTACCAGTGGCTCGTTGTGTTTCTCCCTCGGCTACTGATTCTGAAGAAGAAGATGCTATGCATACATGTAATCCTGATGCTGCTACAAGTACTGCTACTGCTGCAGTCAGTACAGGTACAGGAATGGCTGATGCCAAGACCTTTGAACTCCTGGAAGCTGCCTTCAGCCAAGAGCTCCAAGAGGATCCTTTCCAGCCAAGACCCATTGCTCTTGCAAGTCTCCCACTGCAAACTAACTTGAACCTGAAGCTCGAGTTACCTACTGTTTCACCAGTGCCTCCAAAGATTACAAGCAATGGTAAAAGCTGCATCACAAGCACCAGCTTTCCTATCCTCAAGAAGACCATTCTCTTGCCCACAGTCACACCTCCATCTGTTCTATCGCTGGCACAAAAGATCAAACTTCTCAGATCCACTTCCAGTGCCTCTGCTTCACCAGCGCAAGCCATGGAACTATCAACTGTTCCGACTGTCGCTGTTTGAAACGCTTCTATTATTTCTGTACATGTACATGCATGAGATAGATCTTTAGAGTTACTAATTACTAGTCATTCATTATCGGCCAACATTACGACATTACCTCCACTATAGCTAGCTAGCTAGCTATCGTAGCTATCAGTTTATACAGCAGCAAGACCTACCGTACCGGTACCATTCAAGAGAGCGAGCTCTCGACACTAAGGAAAACCTCATCGCAGGAACTTTCAACTTTGCTTGCGGCACAGCTTCCTGATGAGGGACCAATAGTCTAATTCAGCCAATAGGAGGAAAGGGAAGAAGATGTCAACCAAAGTTGCATCAGTAGATGCCTTTCAAAGGAATGACTCAAGTCAGACATGATGTCACATGATCGATGCATACGGTACTCTAGCTATTGCCGTCGTGATGTTGCAGCATCCATGATCTATCTCTCTATCTGCGGTGTGAACATACGACATGTATGGATGGATCTTGATCAATTTCATCATGGACTGGTCGCTTTACAGCAATAGTCCCAAAGAGTTGTCCAGAACAGCATCAATCGCCTAGATACGTGTCCAGTAAGGCACTCTTTACTTTGCTTTACATCTCCAGCGAGATGAGTGCGTTGTCCAGGGAAGCCAATGTTCCGATCTTGGCTGGAGCAACACAAGCAAAGGCAGCGCCTTGGAAGCTCGACAGAGTCTGGGTGTGCCCTTACTCCTCAGTACAATCTAGCCATAGCAAACACAGTGAGGTTGGCGAGACAAGCAGATTGTTCGGACAACAACAACAAAATGTAGATGCACTTGGGCTCAATGTTGCATGTACAATGTCATGTACATGCAGTCAGCACAATAAAAGACCGTATCCTTGGCATGAAGAGCGTAGCTTTCAATTATTCAATACTCTTGTACTGCCGGTACCGGTGCCACAATGGAGCGACCGGTCGTTATTTTTTGGAACGATTTACCACGGTTCAAGGTACCAGTACATGTCGTAGTCTGATAAGCATACCGGCTCCGGTACCGTACTGGATAGAACGCCCCAGGTTCATTACCAGCCAATGCAACCAAACTCAGCCTAAATAGAACGAATGATCAAACCACAGCATCCATGAGACGCTCTTCTAGTAGCCTTCGTTTCAGGAGCTGGATGGACCCAAGTGTGCTGACGGGAGCCCCTTTGATACGCAGAGAGCGATCGAGAGGATGACGGGGCTATCCAGACTGTCACTCACACCATTGTTCTAATGGGGGAGGATCCTGCACCAGCCCAAAAGACTGCCTCTAAGACTACCTTGAGGATACTTAACCATCTTGACCACCAATAGCAAGGGGGGTACTTTAGTATCTAAAGATCCCGTGATCAACCCATCTATGCATCATACGCGATACCATGCTGTTCGCAAGATTTCTTTTCTAGGGAATCATATCGGTACCGGTACTCGCAACGGTATAACGGTACAGCCCAGAATGAGACAAGTAGTCGCACCTTTTTACACAATGGAGCGGCAATGGTGAGAATCGCTCGGTGACAGCGGATACGTCGGAGTCGGAAAGGATTCAACCGGGCTATGGAGTACTCTGTGAACTTTCAAGATTTTCCACTTTGTGATCCGTCTCATCGAATTTCAAGGCAGTACTGGGGTGCCTTATTATCAGAGAGATACCTTGCTTGTCGACGTACTGTCTCTTGCGGCATGACACACTGGGCTCAAGAGTTTTGTTTCACCCCTGCTTTGCAAGCAACTCTGCTAACAAGACGACCGAAACTGTTCTGATCATCGATTCAAGCTATGACCATGTCGTTTTGCTTGGTGGTACTAACCTGCGGCAGACTCGGAGCCAAAACCACAAAGATGTCTCAAGACGAGAGGTCACCAATGATTTGTGGAAGGCAATCGTGACGGCTGCGAACCAAATAATGCGAGCCAAGGAGACTGCCGTGACTGTCCAAAGGAATGATCGCGGTGGTTCCTGGACTACTACTAGAGTTCAGTGGATCATCACGCCTTGTGTACCGGTACCGGTAGGGCGCACGCATCTTGCTCTTCGGTTCCATTCCTGTGGCTCCTAGCTAGCCTGCATTCATGAAAACCGTGACATGTACATGTACGAGTTCGTTGGCAGTGACGCTGGTCAAGCCCAACAATTCACAACCGAGTTGGACGCCACGTGATGTTTGTTGGACAGTCATGGCGTCAAGGATCTTGGTCTTTTGTACTTCACGGCAAAGCGCCATCTTCAGCTCCCCAGTACGTACGCCATAAGCCCTCCTCGATTCCAGCCACCGAGGGTTCGATAAGTGACAGGGAGGCAGTGATAGAGATCAGCAAGATGAAAGAGCTTCAAAGATTGTCGGATGGTTTCCTCGTTGATTTGAAGGCTCTCGTGGCTTGCACTATGTCATGGTCGTTGTGGCTTTCGCAAGCCGGACCATCGGCTTTTCGGATTCACCAACCTTTTCGGCGGCTATGGATTTACAGCGGGTTGCACAGTTATTTTGGCCTTCATTGCCGTAGCAGGGATGTTGGGGACGACGATGGAAGCCTAGTGGCCCCGGATTCAATGGTCGCCGTTTCCAGCCCCTTCCTCTTCACCCACAAGATTTTCAGCTAGAACCAGCCCTGGTTGGCTCATGCGTTTGAAATGGATGACAACTGAATACCGTATCGCACGCGGAGTTCCTGTTGGAAGTTTTCTTTTGCCCTTTGCCTTTGATTGCATTGGCCGTCGGCATTGCGATTGCGTAAGCAATTCTTGGCTAAAACAGTGGCGGGCCACCACTTCGTCCTCAGGTCAGCTACAGAATTGAGGAGGATCGACTTCGGAACTGTCTGTTTCAAAGATAATTGTATCTTGCACCGCCTAGCTAGACCGAGGAAGACATCAGCACAAGACAAGAGCGAAAATACTATTTTCAATGTTATTTTTAATATAGTAGGTAAGTAAAAGCTACTCATCTTTAAAATATGCGGCCGTGCATTTGGGAACTCAAAGGCACACAACTCTTCGCGTCTCCTTCGAGCTCTCACACATCCAGATCCGCCCTCCTCGCGTGATCCACAACACTGCTCGAAAACATCATCCTGCTATTTGACATGCTCTTCGCCATACTTTTGGCCATGGCCATCTCATCAACTTTGCTGCCGTCCATCAAGCCAGGGTTGAACTCTTGCGACCCTCGCCGTTCGCCTCCAACACTTCCCTTTGGATCAAAGCCCATGATTCTGTCACGAAGATGATCTGGAACAAACTTCGCAAGAATTGCGTTTGTTTTGGCAGCCTGGAAAATCATCTTTTCATTTCGCTGCGTCACGGTCCCGTCATAAAGGAGGAGCGTGATAGCAATCAAGACAAAGGTTCCCGCAACAACACCAGCGTAAATCGCTGGTGTGTTGGTTTTGTAGTCACTCTCGAAGGCTTTGCTCGGGTAGATCTTCATGGAGTACATACAATGACCAGGAGTGCTTCGAGCGTCAGGGTGGGTTTGTAAGTTCAAATCCACAAAAAGACCCATGTCGTCGAATTCCGAGGGTCGGAGGTCACCGTCACCCAGGTATGTAGCATTGCCTCCATCAATTCGATACGTAACAGTTTGGTTACAGGTGTTTTGCAGCACACAAAACATTCCCTTGACATTGTCTGGGAGAAGATTCTGCATGGAAAAGTCCCTGAGAGTGCACAACAAGAGGTGAGCGACATCCTATCTTGACGAAATGTGTGAAACATGTTCATGTACTTACCAAGCAGTTGCAACAGCAAACATTGCCACAATGTCTGATGATTGATTCCCTGCGACCCGATGAACAGGGTGGAATGTGAAGGAGTGAGGATTGTTGGCACCCTCTGCACCATTAGAGTGCATCTTAGCATGCTCTTCTGCAGGGACATTGGCAAACGGTTTGATGGTAGTGAATACGAGCTCATTGTGGAGTTTCATGACAGCAGCAAACCCATTCCCAATAACCTTATTAACAATCAGATTGTTGTTGATGGTGGGCCCATACTTTCGCGCTGGAGGCGATTGTGTTGTTCGACAGAAGTAAAAGTCGCGATCAATGTCTGGAACAAAAGATCCATTCTTAAGCTTTTGTGCGATATAGGGCTGATAGTTTGCAGTGTCATTGTTGAGGAAGTCCAAGTTCCCGTAAGCTTCCATGTGAGCTTCCTTGACAAAGGTCTGGTAAAGTGGAGTAATGAAGTCAATGTACTCGTCCCTTTGATCATGGGTGACATAGTTTTGAATAGCAATAAACTCCGCATTGGAAACTTGTTTGAAACCACGTCCCATTGTCTCCCACTTGTCCACAACATAGAAGGGCCAAGGGCTGGTCCCTTGGCCAGCCGCCTCAGCTTGTGCTGCGACATTGTCAGCAAAGCTGCGTAGAGAGCGTCGAAGAGTAGATTGGAAATCAACAGCAGCATCTGCAACTGTGGTGGCAAACTGAGCGTAGACTGTTCGGAAATTCTGATCCTCTCGTTCCACAAGCAGGAAATAGGTGGAGGTGGTGACCGCAATAGCAGTGGCCAGGAGCGCAATAGAGACAACAATCCGCCACATCCTGATGCGAGCTGTTTCCTTGGCTGACTGTTCTCGAATCTTCATGACCTCATCCGGCTGAAATTCCATGGGTGTAGCTACGGTCGCCTCCACCATTTCTTCCACAACCAGTGTAGCTTCCACCAGGTTCAAACCGGGGTCTACTGGGGATGACGATTCTTCTCTGTACGTACTCATCAAGGGTGCCTCTTCCGGCAATGGTTCTGGTTGTGGGGAGAGCTGATAAGACGGGGCTACTTCTGGCTGTGGGGTCAGGCGATAGGAAGGTGCCCTCTCCGGCTGTTGGGTTAGATGATAGGAAGGAGCTGGTTGTTGTGCCGGCACGAAGCAGGCCGAATCGACATCATCTTCGTCGTGAAACTGTTCCTGTGGACGTTGATTAGCCTTTTGCGGCACTTGCGAGCCAGCAGTAGAAGAGTAGGCGCCAACCTTCTGCGAGACGGCGTCGTCAGCTTCTGCTTCTGCGCCAGCTCATTTTCTCATCATCGTCGTCGCTATCTGTCGAAAGACCACAACTGGAATCTGACAGCGTTGACATGAGGCTTCTTTCACTGAGACGTTCTTTGCGTAGTTTCCTCTCGCTTTCCTTGGCCTGCTCTGCTGTTTGTGTTCGTTTTCGAGAAGCACCAGCACTGGAATCCGACAGCCCTGACATGAGACTTCGGTCACTGAGATGTTCCTTGCGTAGTTGCCTCTCTGTTTCCTTGGCCTGTTCTGCTGTTGGTTTCGGAGAGGGGGGACTCTTCATAACAGGAGCAGATGCAACACTCGATGCCCCTGACATGAGGCTCCGTTGGCTCAGATACTGTCTACGAAGATTCTTTTCTCTTTCCTTAGCTTGCATTCCGGTTTCAACACTCTTCCCAGGGGATGGTGGGCTTTTCTTGGGAGAGGGAAGTGATGCTCCTGACATGAGGCTTCGCTGGCTGATTTGTTGCCTCCGAAGTTGCTTTTCCCTTTCCTTGGCCTGCATTCCAGTGTCGACGCTTTGACCTGGAGATGGAGGACTTTTCATTGCAGCGGCAGGTGCAACAGGTGCAGGATTGAATGCCTTTTGCTTGGATGCAATCCTGTTGTCCAACTGAGAAAGTTGGTCTGGTGGAGCCGAGTAAGCACCTGGTCGAACAGCTGCCACCATAGTAGGAGCAGCTGCACTTGTACTGATAGGCGGTGGACTCTTCTTAGCAGGTGGTGGTAGGGGAGCCATTGAATTCTGCTTGGCAGCAATCCTGCTATCCAACTGCGAAAGTCCGTCTGGTGGAGCGGAAAAGGCGCCAGGGCGAACAGCTGCGGTCACCGCGGCTGTGGGGGCTGCTGCACTTGTACTTGAGGACGGTGGGGCCTTCATTGGGGCAGGAGGACGAGCAGCCCTCTGCTTGGCTGCAATTCTGGTGTCCAGTTCCGAAAGTTCCCCGGGTGGAGCCGAGAAGGCCCCCGGCCGAACAGCTGCGGCAGTTGCAGGGGCAGCTGCACTTGGACTGCTTGTGGCCGGACTCTTCTTTGCAGCCGGTGCTGGAGGTGCCATAGCATTCTGCTTGGCGGCAATCCTATTGTCCAACTGGGAAACCGCATCTGGTGTAGCTGAAAAGGCTCCGGGCCGCACAGCTGCAGAGGCAGGAACCACAGCTGCAGTGAGCACTTGAGATGGGGTGTTCTGATATTAGAGGATAGGGTTAAGGTTAGAGTTAGAAAAGAAATCGTCGGTCACATCGCCGCTCTAGCCAGCTAGCTACCCGTACGAATACCTTCCGGGGAAGAGTAGCTGTACTAGTAGCTAGCTAGCGCTCATGCATAGCTGGACTCACCATGGTCGCTCCATTTTGCTTGGCTGCGATTCTACTATCGAGGTGAGTGGCTTCATCAGGCGGCGCCGCGTAAGCGCCAGGCCGCACTGTTCTTCCAGTGGGAGCTGCCGCCCGTTGCTTGGCCGCAATGTCACGATCCAGTTGAGACTGCTTCTTGTCAGATTCGTCCATGGCGCTCTCACTTAGCAAGGCTAAGCTTAGTAAGGTAAGGTTAACTTAAGCTGTGCGAAGGGAAGAGATCAGGAGGAGTCGAGTCTATTACTCGTACTACTAGCTAGCTAGGCGGATTTTTGTTGTGGCTGTTGCTTCTTTCCAACCGGTTTTGGTTTTGGCTTTGGCAAGATGTGTGTGCGGAGTGTGCAGTGTCAATGGCATGAATGATCAATCGAAAAAAAGGGTATGACCACTGACTTTGCTTGATCTTGGAACCGTCAGGATGATTTAAGATCTCCAGTGTCCTCAGAGGAGAATGACCTGCCAACACATTATGACAATTAACCAGCGTGAATGTCCGGACCGTCATTGGCCATTCCAACTGTTCCGTGACGTCATTTTGCCTCACTAAGATTTAAAAGAAACAACATCACCGTTCCTTCTCCGGGAGAACTCCAGCATACCAACAGTACCGGTCACCAGGCACCAGGCGGCAAAACTGCGAGCAGATGCTGAGCGAAGCCCGAAAAGCAGAAAGCAGACAGAAGTGGGACAGTCTGCAGAAGCCAGACGATTCTTCATTCACCCAATGGATTACCACTAAGTCTTTGTGAAGCCTGCTTGGCCACAATGCCACAAGGAGAGATTTTGGGTTGCGAAATGTCGCGACCTCTCGCAATCGCCCCAACAAAAATTCATCGAGCAGCGTTGGGTGTCGTCTCTAGCTAGCTAGCTAGCTAGCTAGCTAGCTAGCTAGAGGATCGAATCGAATCTTCAATCCAGTGAAGGTTACCAAGCTACATGTATGTGAATGCACCAAGCTACCGCTAGCTAGCTCAATACCAGGTGGGAAGGAAATTCGACCAGACAACTTAGCTTACCCAAGTCTGAGGATGTTGGGTACCACTTACTTGTAGATAAGCTGAGCAAAGCAAAGCCGAGCTATCTACAGTACCCAGTGGCCTCAGGCTAGCTAGCTGGTTACTCGTACTAGTAGCTAGCTAAAAGAGAATAAAAGGCTTCTTAGTATCTACTCTGCCGCACAGAAAGTAGTACAATGTGTTCTCTTTCGTGTGCTCCCAGGTGCTAGGTAGCTAGCTATCCCAAGGCTCAAAACCAATGTCGGTACAGGTACGAGTAAGGTAACAAGCCAAGCTAGTACTAGTTTTTCAAGACAACTAAAAGACTGGAATATGGGAATATCAGGTACGGTATGGTCTAGCAATTCTATTCCGTGCCACCTGCCACAGCATCATCAACATTCGACCAATCAAGGAGCTCTATTATTGGTGAGTTGAGTCCATGAACATCTCGTCTTCCAAAATGAGAGTGACAATCCTGGAGCTTGCCTTCAGAAGATCCTATGGTCATAGCTACCAGATAACATGTACATGGGCAGGGATCCCGTCCCTACTTTGTGCTGTTGTCCCGCAAGCTGCAAGCAGTCGGTTGCTTGCTTGATTGCTTTGCTTGCTTGCTTGTTGGTTGGTTGATTAGTTTGGATTCCAATAAGCATCACCCTTGTTGTGGTTCTTGTTTCCCCAGCAGTTCTGTGTAATGCCAAATGCCTCTTCGAGTACTTGCCCGGCATCTGGACTGTCAATCTTGACCTGCACAAGGTTATGATGATGATCTGGATGAGCCTGTGTAAAGTTTACGACTCGAGCAGCCTGTTCATTGTAAAAGTCAATCATTTGTTGGTCTGTTTTGCCTCGCCCCTTGCGGAAGAATGGTGGGTAGTGTGCATGGATGAATCGTTTGCGTAGATCCTTCCATCGGTCAATAGAAGATAGCCATTTTTCGGGATCTCTGTAATTCAATATCCAAGTAGCATTTGGAAAGGCTTCGTGAATATCCTGTATCCACGACACTTGTGGCAAGATGACTCCACTGAGCAAGTTGTTGTGCGGTGCATCAATTTCTGAATACAGATCCCAATCATCAATTCCATCAAAGAGCGGTTTGTTGTTTGCTCTTTTATTCCATAGCATTGCTTTGCCACAGCTGAGTCCATAGCGTTCCGCTTTTCCTCCGTTTGTTTTGTTGGCGGGTGGTGGTCTACAGTCGTAATGGGACAATTTTCCCTCCATGCCACAAGTAAAGTATGAGTAAATGGAAGTGGTGCCAGCCTTTTGCAGTCCCATGACAATAATGGGAGTTGGTAGCTTGAGTTGGGAAGGCAGTAGCTTGCGAATGGTAGTGCTTGTAGTAGGTGGTGGTGTGGTAGCAGTACTAGTACTAGTAGCATTGGTCTTCTTGCTAAGGAGTGATTTAGCAAGTCTGGCGGTACCAGTGCCTGGCTTGGCAAGTGTACTAGTTTGTGTAGCATTGGTCTTGCCACGATAGACTCTTTTGATGGGAAATCTTTGGACGTTCTTTTTGGAACTGTTGGTGGGCGTGGAAGTGATCGTGGAAAGTTGTGGGGAAGTGGTGGTCGTGGAAAGTCTACTGACTGGATGGGGTAAAGTTTCGGGAGTTGAGGCAACTTTGTGTTCGAGGTCTTTTACCCGTTCTTCGAGTTGTTGTACTTTTTGTCGCAGCGCTTTGACCTCGGCATTGCTGCTGTTGCTGTTGTTACTATCAGTATCAGTAGTAGAAGCATTGGAAGGCGCATCGATATCCGCCGCAGCATGATCCGCCAGTAGAGCGAGCGCCGTGGAACTAACGCTTCTTCCAGTAGACAAGCTAGCGCTGTAGTAGCTGTGGTAAGCCGCTGTGTACATGACTACTGCCATTCCAAGGGAAAACAAAAATACCCGAAAAGGGCGTAAGGAAGGGTTGGCCATGGTGCCTCTAGTGGAAATGTAGTAGAAATGTAGGAGAGTTTGTGGGTGCGGAGTTTTGTGTTGCTTTTTGTTGGTGGCCGATTCCTTCACGCTGATTTGTAATGTTGTTGCTTCCACGCCGTGTATTTTTGTACAGTGTTCGTAGAGTTTTGGTTGGGACACTGTTTCACGAATGCAAAGCAGAAAGGTCATTCTGATTTGAAAAATGTACTCTAAATCCATACTTATATTTTGAATGACCCACTGGATGGCGCCAAATGACTCTATGACTCACATAGACCGTCCCTGGAGACTTCTTTTGCCAAAATTAGCAAGTGATGATCCCGCTTGTGCACCTCGAGGTTCGAGCCACAACAACCAGCATGCATAGCAACGCTCAACGGACTTGTTTGCCAAAGCTTCGTCGTGTCCAAGCAAGCGTCCAAGCAAACAGGAAGCCCAAGCCGATTGCATAGGGTTGGGCGTTGCCAAAATTGGAAAGCAAGTGGTCTTGAAAAGTTGTTGGGCCTTTACATTGTACTGCTTGCTTCATGCTGCATTGCCCAGTGACTGTCACTCAACTCAACTCAACTCAACTCGTCTTCAATACTATAGTTTTTTAACGCTGTTAATGGCTAGCTATAACGTAGTAGGAGTCATGACAACCAGGGCTGTAGCATGTAGTTTGCACTATCTGGCTATCCGAATGCCTTCCTTTGTTTGTTGCGTGGATGGCCTGGCCGAACCAGAGACTCTTCGATTGAATCATGTAGTCATGCAGTCAGCCCTTCTAATAATAAACTGCAATGTAGCAATAACCAACCCAGCGAGCTCTAGCTAGCGATTGGCTTTCTTAGGCTTGGAATGCCGTACCCGTACAATGTACTGTTGTCTACTCCATAAGCTCGCTATCTGCCTATAGCTAGCTAGCTAGCTAGCTAGCTAGTAGTAGAGCTTGGTCGCCTTGTCAAAGCGAATAAGGAGCGAAGGTTAGCCAATTTTGCATCTTTACCCGCTCTGCTGGATTTGAGATACGTCAGTCATTTACATTGATCTTTCCCTGACACCAACTTTATCCACCGAGAGCACAAGATCTCGAAAGACAAGTGCAGAGATCACAACTAACTTCTTTCATCGTTCGATATAGCTATAAAGCTAGCCAGACAATGAAGTTAGCTGCTATACCGTTGCTAAGCTTCCTCTTCGGTGTGGCGCTGATCACTCCTGGCAAAAAGGTATCTGTGCTTTCTCACTCCTTGTCAAGTTCAAAGTTAGGTTCAGGTTCAGGTTCAGGTCCTGCAAAATTTGATGCAAAGCCTTGCAAAGATCTTCAAGTACCTGTACCTGTACATGTAAATCGCAGACAAGCTTTGCAAACTGCAGCAGCTGCTATTAATAGCGCTGGACTGTGGCTACCTGCATCTGCAGCTGCAGCCAGCACTAGTATCAACCCAATTGCAACTCTGTCAGACGGGACTGCTTTTCCTCTGGCATCCTTTGGCTTGCAAATCTACAATGACGAATCTGCCTATCGATTAACTCTACTGGCGCTAGAAGTGGGATACCGAAACTTTTTTGCTTCCGTCTTGGCGGGAAATCAAAGAGGTTTTGCCAAGGCGGTAAGGGATAGTGGCATTCCACGAGACCAACTATATATCTGTGGTTCCGTGGTCTCCAATAGAGGCGTGGGATTCGAAAAGGCGTACAAGGATACCACCTCAGGATGGAAACGAAACATAGAAGCCTTTGCCGCGGGAAACATTTACTATTTAGATCAAATCATGCTAGATTATCCTGGACCGGATGCTCCCAGTATTCAAGGACAATGGGCATCCTTTCAAGACATGCACGCACAGAAACTCACAAAGACCCTTAGTCTATCCAACTTTTCACCCACACAACTCGATTGCATTCTAAAACCAACCACAATGGATCCCAAGTACAATTTGGCCGTCAAGCCAGTCGTCAACCAGCTGCCCTACTCGGTCGCATACCACCCCGGGGATGTCGTGGCGCAAAACAAACAACGTGGAATTCTCGTACAAGCGTGGGCGCCCTTGGGAGGATCACTTGGAGGACGATTCAGTTCCAGTCTCAAGGGAAAATGCGCTCAAATTGGAAAACCCTACAACAAATCGTGGGCGCAAGTGGCTCTTCGATGGATTGTACAAACCGGCGCATCCTTTACCACACAAAGTCAAAACAAGGATCATTTCCAAGAGGATCTCAACATTTTTGACTTTGAATTGACGGCACAAGAAATGCAAGAGTTGTCAGCGTTGGCATAAACATATGTATACCGGTAGTATAAAAACAAGGAGTGGCAGGCAAACAGTGCTCTATAGAGTCATAAAAAATGACTACGTATGGATGATGAAGAGCCATGGTGCCGTAGTATCAATATGGCCGGCACGTACATGGCGTTCCCTGAGTTTGAAAATGAAATTTGGTTCCATAAAATTACATCTATGTCCCAACCTATCTACCCGTACTCTACCGTAGGCTTAGTTAGATACACGTAGATTGCTAATTGGATAAACGGCACGGTACGATACGGCATCGCACCAGTACCAGTACATGCATATACGCATACGCGTAGTTTAGCACAGTGTTCGAAAGTAGAGAACCTCCATGCAGGATGGACAGCGCTTGATCCAGAACAAAAAGATTGGCATGTAGCCACCTCCAGTGTACATGACATTGGAGAGTAGAGCAATTTCAGCAGCTGTTCGTGTCCTTGGCATCCAGCTGACTCCCGTCATTCGAGTGGCCCAGTGCAGTTCCACCATGATTTGTTGAGGCAGCCAATAGGAAGGTGGATGATGATGTACCCTGCCTCTGGTTCCATCACTCTTGGTGGTGGTGGCGGTGATTGCCATTTCCTCGTTACTATTGGCTTGCTGCATCATGGAAGAAAATACATCAAACTCAAATCCTTCCACGTCGATTTTCAACATTTTCGGTGGAGCCCTGAGTTGCGCCTTTTGTACCATGTCAAAGTAGGTAATGTAGTGTCGGCCATGTCCATCCTTTCGATCGACACTGTCGATACAATAGTTGTAGAATTTGATGTCGTCTCTTTCTGGTTTCCATTGGGGGGTTCCATTTTGTAGGGTGCAGTCGAATGTGTGTGTGGTGCATCCTGGCATGGTTGTAACGACTTCCATTTCGAACTTCCAATTGTCATTGCCACCAATACTGATAATGTGGCAGTCGTTGTTGTTGTTTTTGTTGTTGCTGTTTGAATTTTGTGCATGTTCCATGGGCTGACAGTACCATTTGGTGCCATCGGCTCCTTTTTTTCCCAATCGGAGCAAGTTGGGACAGGGAAAGGTAGGTCCCAGAGAAGCATCCCAACGTTCAATGGAATCAACGGGATCAGCAACCTCCACGTAACGTCCAGCATGAATCAATGGATGATTTTTTGGTTCGTATTCTCCCGGCAATGGACTTCCATATCCTCCTCGAGGGTCGTAATTCTGAGCAAAGTAGGATTTGAGGAATTGGGTAACGTCTTGGGTTCCTTGTTTTTCCGTCATTCCGTTGGGTATGAAAGTTGCCCCCAGCTTTTTGACAGTGGTGTCAATATGCTTGTCGAGTAGATTTTGAACGGACTTTAAGCTTCCTCCTTGTGTGTGGAACAGTCTGGCTTGAGCAATGGCATTTTCCAAGGCCGTTTCTTCAAAGTAGTCGGTGGTTCCAGCACAGTAGGGTCGGAGTTCTCCTCCTGTCTTGGCCATGGCTGTATTAGTGCTACCCATGCTACCCATGGGCAAGGAAAACTCCACCACTCCAGAGGTATCTGTGACTCTGGAAAGAATCCAAAAGACAAACATCCCACACACAAAAATACCCACGCGTTCTACCGTCTGTTTGTCAGCAGGGACATTGTAGGTAGTACCTCCAATATTGACACCGGTGCCGCCATTGCGGGGAGGGGTTTGGATTTGGACCATGGTCGTACAAGTACTGTAATACTCCCGGACTTGACTACTAGCTTAGATAGCAAGATAGATAGATACGATGTAGGTTACAGTAGATGAACAACCAACCAAGCCTTGCTTTCAACTTTCAACTGTGTGGTTCTATTGAATGAGAAATAATAAGAAAGATAGAATCTGATGATTTCAGCGAGGTGGGTCATGAGTGGCAATGACTACTAGCTAGTATGACTCTGGATAGCAAGACTTCATCTATGGATCTTTGGCAAGCGGAAGGTATTTCTGTTGATAGGGTTGGGGTCCATCACAAGCCCAACCAACACAACCAACACAAGCGCTAGCTAGCTAGATAGCTCTAGAAAGGGACTCGACTCCTACAGGTACCAGGTACCAGCATGCAGCATACGAAGGAGACACAACTGTTACAATGCTCAGCTTTCCAGCTCGCTCGCTAGCTACGGTAGAGATGCATGTTACCAAGAAGAATGGATCAAGCTACTGTAGCTACCGGTAGCCCACGACAACTAGATTGCAGAACTTGCTTCCGGGAGCGAGGACGTACACTGTACTGTAGCACAACAACAACAACTGAACTGAATTAACTGCCGGTATGCACCAAAGCAGGACTGATTGATGCATCGTAGATTGAGGGGTGCCACAGCCAGGCAGCCGTCTACAAGTGACATGGTGCATCTACAACATCGGCTTTGGTTATCTTCATCATCTTTGGCACAGCTATCTTGCTTGTATCTATCTTGGTTGTGCTTTGTGGTACGAATACTATCGGTACTGTACCGACCCATGGCGGTATTGTAGCAAAGATCTTTCGTTGAAACGCTATCCCTACTGATCATAAGTCTTTAGTGTGCTTTTATCGACCACAGGTAACGATTTAGGAGGGCTTTTCTTTCAATAAATGAATGTGTTTCCCCAAGTGTGACTACCGAGTGAAGTGTCACACAGTCACAGTCACAACCAGTATCATCTGCCCAAAAAGACTTAGTGCAGACTGCTGTTCCAGCGACCTGGCACAATTAATTCTTTTCCCACCCCCAATCCCAGTCTGGTCCCAGTTTTTGCACGGGCTCATTCGTTCATCTCACAAACCAAAAAACAAACAACGGCAAAAGCAAAAAGCACACAACTTGAGAAAGTCACTTTTTCGAAAGAGTTCTACAGTCAGTCATTATTTTTTCTTTGCTGATCATAACCTCAGGTGATCATAACATACCTGGTACTTATCATGGCCATGACAATGAGCAGCAACTCCCCCACCAGCGCGGCGCCCAAGAGGATCCGGCGTCGCTTTCGCTCTGTCAAGAGTGCAGGAGAAGACGGTGGGTTGTGTAGTACTACTACTACTGCTACTAGTTATACCGGTACTTGTTCAGGTGCTGCTGGTGCTGGTGCTGGTGCTGGTACTAGTACTACTAGTGGTAAGCCTAGTAGTAATGGTAAGGAAAGGAAGAATCTTCGTCGCAATCGAACTGGCTTGGGGAGTCTTCAAGCAGAGCGAGAAAAGAGAGATAAGGATAAGGATAGGGATAGCAGCAAGGTTCCTCTGCGTCGCACCAAGAGTTCCATTGCCAGAATTGGAACTCAATATCGCAGGCCCAGTCTAGTCAAGAAGCTAGAGCAGCAGCAGCAGCAAGCCAATGCTCATGCTCATACTCATGGCAATGTACATGTATTGCATGGACATGCTCATGTACACAGTGTCAATGCTACCAATGCATATGCTGGCTACAGTTTTTGGAGCTCCAGGCCAGCCTTGGTCATGTTTGTCCTGATGGGACTGGCCATTCACTACCAGAACATCAAGTTTGTCTATGCCACCATTCTACTCTTTCTATACGAAACCACCGTCATTGTACAAACATGGACACACTACATCAACCACATCACCATTATGCAAGAGTTCCGAAGTCAATCTCTCGATTGGCTCAAGTACTACGCTCAACAAACTGAAAGATTCTTTGATACCAATGACAGAACCAGAAAGGCTGCCGTGGGAATTTGGATCCAGTTTTATCCTGTCACATCAGAGTATGTGGGAGATTATATTAGAGAACGAAGACACCACATGATTCAAACTGCTGCAGAACAAACACAGACTTTCAAAAACAGATTCTACAACTTGAATGCCACTACGAGTACAAACAATACTACTGAAGACTGAAGAGTAAGAAGCAAGATTATGATTGTGTCAAGATTGTGTCCAGTCGGTTTAGCAACAATACTAAAGAAGGTTGTTTAGACATTCAGTTGATTTCGTTTGACTGTCGCTCATGTGTATGGACTTGTAGAATGAATTCATCATTCACTCTTGCTGCGTTCTCACTTTTGCAAGCGATTTGCACCACCACTGGTGTTCATGAAACCTGGCTCTGACTAGACTCGACTCGGCTTGGCCCTTCGTCGCGAAAGCAAAGATCGGCGACGTTCGAAGCAACGAGGAAACGAGAATGCTCGTAGTAACACAGTCTGCTACTTTCTGGTTGTGTAAGGAAGGAACGATTCTGCTTCGAACTTCCAGTCAGTACCGGTAGCCAGCCAACAGCTCCTAGTACATGCGCTTTTTGCATACAATTAAGAATTGGGACGATACCAGTCACTCTCACTAGTAGAGTCAGACTCGCTAGTTACTCGGCTGGACCGTTCGCTCGGCCGCCTTCTGTCGAAGAACGAAAAGACATTTGCTTGCTACAGGCAGCCAGCCAATGACTCGCACTGCTGTCGCTACCGTATGGATGCGGGGAACGAGCGAGGAGGATCGAACACGCGTCATGCATGGAGTGAGATGCATTGGCGTGGTTCGACTCGACTTGGCCTGGAGAGAACATTGTCGACAAGCAAGAACATTTCCTATCGGTACTACCATTACGAGGACCCAGCAGTCAAAGCACCAACCAAAAGGCGCAGATTTCTAGCGGCCACTGGGAACCACTGCCAAAGAATGTACAATGTCAAGTATGCGTCCCGGGCAGCTCGACTCCTGCAATCGTAACGGTATCGCAGCATTGTTCTAGCCAGTACCGGTAGCCAGTCCGATGATACATGATCAGCTGAGCTCCGCTCGTTTTCGATTCGTTTGTTCGTCGTTCGAGCCTCAAACGTCGACTGATGAGGACTCGACTGTCACTCGATCAGCGCTCTCGGCTGTCACTCCTGAGTGACTTGACTCGACTTGACTCGACTCGACTCTCCCTCGACTCGATGAAAGCAATGCCTCCATGATGTGCGTACTGGTACCGGTACCAGTACTAGTAGCATTTCGGAGGTACGTACTCGTACGTGACATTGTATGATCCGATAGACGCTGAAAACCTTTTTACTTTGTCTGCCACAATTCAATTATTTATCTTTTCATCCGGCCACCGGCAACCGACAGGACCAATCAAACAACCTGGTTCGCTCCCTTGTCGTACCGGTACAGTTCACTTGTAAACATGACATTGTAGTTGCCCTAGCCCTGTGGCCTGCACGCACACACTTTGGTCAGCAGGGGTCCTCATGGGCGGATTGTTCTCGGTTCTCAGTTGCTTTGATTTTTAGTACTGTACCGAAACACGGAAAGGGCAGGTGAAGGCAAGCAGATGGCAGAAGCTCGCTTTTCTAAACAAACATGAGGATAGACCAGTGCGTCGACTGTTTTGCTAACGTAGCTAGTACCGTAGCATTGAGGCAACCGTCCTTGAATCCTTGAATATCTATTCTTTTAAAATACTGTATCTTTGCATTATTGGCTTGCTGATTGAGATCTTGATGTGACTCTCCCATTGGGTTGGTTGGCGACAGTTGGTGAGGCTGCGTCTACTGGATATGGGTGGGACGGGAACAAGGCTGGAGGCTTGAAAGCCAACCTTTGAAGAACTTCTGTGCCTTTTCCTTCACCTGTTCCTTGCTACCTGGTACTAATAGATGCTTCCCCAATTCGTTTCGCCTAGCAGAGCTACGAATAGCTGGCCGCTACCGGAACACAAGCCAGCGCCGATTCTTGACTCAAAGTTCAAGGGGCTCTGTCGGTCAAATAATTATGAGAAATACGGTACTAGCTAGTACAGGTTAAGCCTGCAATGTAAAGAAAGAAGAAGAAAAGAAAAGAGAAAAGAGCTCTTTGACTCTGGGCTCTTGAATGAGCTCTTGAATGTGAGCTGTGCGGTGATTCTACTACTAGCTAGCTGGCTCTAGTAGCTAGCTACTCTGGCTATTTTAAATAGTAGAATTATTGTGGTGAAGGCCATCGAAAAGGTGCGTCTGCTCTGTTTATGTAGAAGTTTCCTGAAGAGGCCATTGTTCTTCACTGCAAGCAGGAGAATGACTTGCAAGACGCCATCCAAGAGAAGATTATTAATAGAGGGAAAGTGAGAAAAAGCACTGGATGACTTTTATGTAGTCCTTTATGTATTCTCGGAACGAACATGAGTCACATAGAACACAGGTTGTGGTAGAAATTCACCCGGTCATGAGCTTTTGGACAACCCCTTAAATAGATGTTTGAATGGTGTTCGGTGCGTACGGTAAGCTTCCTTTTCCGTGTGGCTTCTTTTGCGATCTTAATTTCCCCGTCGTGCCGGTGGTCGGTGGATCTTGGGTGCCTTTTCTCCACCCACAATATTTAATTGCGGTCAAGCAGAACGAAGATGACGATGAGCGCTGTTACTGCTACTAGCACTACTAGTACTACTAGTACTACCGGTTGCAACCCTCAGTTTGAGCTGTGTGATCTGTGGACTGATCCAGACAAGTCAGTGGGAGACATCCTTCGAGGCACCGTGGCTCTGGTGCCTGCCGTCTTAGCTATGGCTTCAGGTGCAGGTACAGGTACAGGTAATGGAGTAGAAGACGAAGAAGCGCACTTTAAAGCACGCATCTCTCTCTATGACTACAGCGACGCTACTACATGTACTACCGGTAGTAGTCAACCAACGGTTTCCTGCAGAGAGTTCTGGAGCCACCGGCGCCATGGGCAAACCATGGACGATTCCGCATCTTCTCTTGATCACCCATCAAGATTAGGGTTAGGGCTAAATAGAGCTTCCACGCCACCTTGGATCACCGTGGAAATGCCTTCTCCACCGTGTCGAGGCAAGGACCAGAATTCAGGAGGGGAGCGGACGGCCGAGACTGGGAGACCCTTGGGAAAGATTGATGTCTTTCAAGTACAACCGTTGGCTCTCAACCTATTAGACAGAGGAGGCCTTAGCTTCAGCAGTCAGAGAAACAATGACCAGAAGACCCAGCACGAACATACACTCCAATGCCTGGCGCAGAGGCTTGGACGAGTTGTCTCCAGTCGCTGGGTAAACCAGGAACAGCAAAAGACACTCAAGATCCTTCAAGACAAGGAGAGGCGTCTCGTTGAGTCACAAGACCTAGCCAAGATTGGACAGTGGGAGCTAGACTTGACCAACAACGCTCTCTACTGGTCACACGGGGTATTTGATATCTTTCGAGTTGACCCTAAACGATTCGGGGCTTCCTACGAAGCCTTTCTAGACGCCATTCATCCCGACGACCGAAAGTTTGTCGACGATGCCTACACAAACTCACTCAAGTCCAAAAAGTCATACAACATCATGCACCGATTGCTGTTTCAAGGCGACGGAGAGGAACCAGAGATCCGATGGGTCAACGAAATTTGTCGTACGGAGTATCATCCCAAGACGGGACTACCACTTTACTCGGTCGGCATTGTACAAGATATCACAGAGCTAAAGCAAGCCCAAGAAATGGATAGACTCAAAACTGCATTCTTGGCCAACATGAGGTGAGTCTCAATGCACTGCTGCCGAGCCGAAATGTTGTGTCCTTGGCAGACTCGACTCGCAACCAACTCACAACCGATTTTGCTTACCTCTCCTGTCTCCATGTTATCGATAGTCATGAGATTCGTACTCCCCTCAATGCTGTCATGGGCTACACGGATCTGATTCTCATGGAACCAGAAGCTCTTAGCGAACGAAACAGAGACTATCTCAAGACGATTCGACAAAGTGGGGAACTGCTCATGGCAGTCGTTAGTGATATTCTAGACATTAGCAAGATTGAAGCCGGACAGCTGCAAATTGACGACAAACCCTATTCCCCAAGCGAACTCTTGGCTTTGGTGGGGCAAAGTGCCAGTGTATTTCAAGAAAATTTCATGCCAGGAAAAAAGGTCAAACTGGACTTCACCAACAACTCGACATCCCAGCTTATGGATGTTAGCTGCGCAAGTCAGCAAACCCTCCTGGATCACAGCAGTGGGGGTAATTCCATCTGCCAAACTGCCCAGGTCATGGGCGACCCTGCACGAATCCAACAAATATTGCTCAATATCGTTAACAATGCTCTCAAATTCACTGGCATTCAGGGGAGCTCTAACGGGAAAGTCGAATTTGGGGTGAAGTTGGTACAAGGGAAAGGAGGTTCATCATCGGGGAAGATGATGGAGTTTTCCGTTTCTGACAATGGTGTTGGCATCCCAGAAGAAAAACAACAGTCCATCTTCGAAGCTTTCACTCAGGTGCATCCCAGCCGAGATTCACATGAACTAGGAGGGACGGGACTCGGGTAAGTGAAGGCAATTGATTGTGGGTCAGGACCAAGCATTACAAGGGTATTATGCCGCTTATACGTATCGCGTTTTCTTGCATCCCTCAGCTTGACGATCTCGAAACGGCTCGTGGAGTTGATGGGTGGCGAAATGCAGCTGTGGTCCTCAACTCATACCATCCATCATGGCACCACCGTTTCCTTCACCTTGCCTTATCGCCCTGTCAATGAGGCCACATCGTGTCAGCTACTGAAACACGACAAATGCACCATCCAGTCACCGCCCTCGCATGCAAATGCCGAGGAACAACTACGACAATCCCTGACAACAACGTCGACTGCGACTGAGAGTGAGGCAAAACCTCCCGCATCTGGTACCACCACCAGCAACGACACTACCAAGGAGTCCTCGGCATCCTCAACATCTGCTCCTGTTGGCAAGGTCCTCGTGGTGGACGACAATCGTGTCAACCTGAAGCTAGCAGTTCGGATGGTCAATAAGCTGGGATATGAAACGGTCACAGCCATGAATGGGAAAGAAGCACTGTCTCAATTTCAGTCGGATCCGTTGGTCAACTGATTCTGATGGACAAGGAAATGTAAGCGTTATGCGATGGACTTTTGTACTCGTACCCCACTGGTCTCCGTTCTCTCATTCTTCACTTCACTTTCGTCTTGTGCACGTGCAGGCCTGTCATGGATGGTTTGGAAGCGGTGCAGGAGATCCGAAAAATCGAACGGGTAGTAGCAAGCAGCGAAGCTAGTACCGGTAATAGGAGAATACCCGTGGTGGCCCTCACAGCGGCTGCCTACAGAGAAGACGAAGAGGCTTGTCTTGCGGCTGGCTGTGACGCGTACTTGACCAAGCCGGTGAAACGAGAGGCCCTGCAAAATATGTTGGCATCATACTTGAAGGATGGATAGACGGCTGTGAGCTCCATGGATCGAGAACTGTTGGTGCAGCCGTAACGTCATGGAGGGCTGCGTGTGGGGCCATAGATATTATGAGTTGATAAAATAGGTGATCGTCTCTCTGGAAGACTTCGGTAGTTTTAAATTCTGCTGACGGGCCAGGCTGTGTGTATGCCCTTCAGAAGCGTCAACATGACAGTTCGCAGCTTTCAACTCTGCCTGCTGCAATACGCGCAACAATAGCATCACTACGACTATAGTAACAGGCAGCTGCTCCTGTTCGCGGCGACCGGCGTCATTCTTGAGTCTTCTGCATTGACATCATCTCTTCTTGATGCTCACTCAGCATTGATATCAATGCCTCGACCGCTTTCAATCGTGTTCAGGCAAACCAAAGCATTCCGGTTGCTTCACCTCCGGCTATAAGCTGTGTGAGCGAGATGAAAGCTTCGAACGAATCGAATCCGGAAGAGCAAGCACATTGTCGAGCCTGATAAAGTACTCCCAAGTTTGTGGCTTGGGGGAAATCCTGCAACTTGACTGCGAAGCACACAATCGTTCTGCTATTTCACATCGCAGCTTTGTGGGAACGTGTGCTCGCTCCGGTGCATCGAGAGATCTTTTGGGTTGCCTTGGCTCCCTCAGGAAAGCGGGGGCTACAGGTGCTTGCTTTGGTATGCATGTTGCAACGATTAGGTTCCCGAGCTGGATTTGCCTGGTTCAGAGTTCCACTTTCCTATTTGGAAAGCAAGTTGCCACGAGGCTTTTTTGAGGACGTGCAGCGTTTCCCCTGGACGAGCGAGAGGCGGCGGAGTTCCTTCGTTGCTGGGTCGAGAGTATATTGGATCCCGTTCGTTTGCTGCTTTGCATTAACTGACACGTCCGTCTAGGTGGGACAAAAGAAGCACTTGTTTATGGGATTGTCGTTTTGCAGATCGGCAATTGAAGGATCTCGAATTCTACATGTAGTATGGTACGGTATCTTTGGGCTCCTATGACGCAGATGCTAATCTCGAGAATAGGCCACCTCCGTCAATGAGTTCCGAATAGGCCCCCGTTTCGACTACGATTCCTTTGTCCAGCACCAAAATCATATCAGCATTCCGAGCAGTCGATGGATGATGGGTAATGCTGATCACCGTTAAACCCTCATCTCGTAGCTGCTCGACCGTTTCAATGAACTTGTGTTCTGTAATGGCATCAAGTGCACTTGTTGCTTCATCTAGCAGGAGCAAGGCTTTTCCCTGAACTACAGCTCGAGCAATGCCACAGATACGTTGCAACTGGCCACCGGACATGCTGATCGCGGATTCTTTTCCTAGTATTGTGTCGTACTTTTCGGGGAGTTTCTCAATCACCTCGTGGACACTCGCTTGCTTGGCCGCATGAACTACTTGCTCCATTGTTGCATTGCAGCCAAAGGATATGTTGTCAAAAACTGTGCCGTCCAAAACAAACGTCTCTTGGAAGACAACCGCAAGAGAATCTCGAAGCGTATCAAGAGACACAGTCGAAATGGCGGTACCATCCATTCGGATTGAGCCCTCTTGCGCCGTTTGAATGCCCATGAGTAAGGACAACAGAGTGGACTTTCCAGACCCAGAAGAACCAAGAACGGCCACGTACGATCCAGCAGGGATCGAGAAGGACACACCTTTCAGAATCAAAGGTCCATTGGGCGTATACGAGAACTTTACATTGTCAAACTCCAATTGCTTCTTCAGAGTCAGAGCTTGCTCCGTCTGCGGGTTGGCGTTTTTTGCCTTATTGCCAGTGTCCTCTCTGCCACTCTTCCTTGCATCATCGAGGATTCGTTGTACTTGCCGCACAGCCCCTGCATTCTGCACGACTTGTCCCGAAACTCGTCCTAGAGCTTCAATCGGTTCCAAGACCCCGTACACAAACGAAGTTACGGCAAAGAACTCTCCAGAATCAATTTCTCCCTTGGACAGGAGCAGCAGAAAGATTATTGTTGTGACCATGTACAGCGCGGATCCCACGGTGCTGTACACGGCCACCACAACATAGCTCCAAAGCCATGACCAAAAGTTGTGTCCGGCCGCTTCTTCTAGAAGTGGATTGTGAAATCGGTTTGCGACAAAGTCTCGTCGATTGCCGACCTGAGCAGCTCGACGGAGATGAATTGTATTTTGGAACCGACCAAAAAGTTCTGCATTGGCTTGATCGGACTGGTCACTGGCCGTGACGGCTTGGGTTTCCATGGGTTTCAGGGATGCCAAGAATGGAATGGCCGTCAGCACAAAGATTGTGTATCCAAAATTGTAGAGACTCAGAAAGAAGAGCGCCGAGATCAAACTAAAGAAGGAGAAGACAGCCTCCATCAAACAAAAGTCCCACACGTTTTCGAGCTTGGCAATTCCAGCCGTAAAGACATTGGCCAACGTAGCAGGCCTGTGCTTGCGTTCAAAGGAGGCGTCTCCATCCAAGACACCGTGCACAATCTCACTCTGAATTCTTTTCGAGGCGTGGGCAATCATTTTTGCGACCATGGCGGAAAGGATGTAAAAGACGACTTCGTCCGCTAAAAAGATGACGAATACCCCCCACAGTCCGAGCATGAAATTGTGTTGATTGTCCACATTGTTGCTCATCTTGCGATTTCAATG